AAAATTATAGAGAAGAACAAGAAGTAAAAAGAAAATCTATGGGACAGGAATAAGAGTACAAGTACGCGACGATCTACGAGGCTACAGAACGCTCTCCTTTCAATGAACTACTGGTCCATCTTCCATAGGATCATCCTCACCCGGGTTACCCTCCGAATGGCTGCGACGCTCGAAAGAACCTGGAGACTCATAAAGGTCATCATCGTCCTCGTCCGCCGTCATATCGATGACCAGATTCGCTACAGAGCCGAAGCGGGGAGGAAGGGAAGGAGGGGAAGCAGCTGAAGCAACGGGGGTAGGGGAGAGAGGTTCAGGGAGGAATAAAGGAATGGCGGTAGTAACTCCACCCTCTCCCTCCTGCAAAGTGGAAACCTCCTCGGGACGAACACTACCTTTTTTCTGACCTCCACCCTCCCTCTCCTGCAAGGCGGAGACCTCCTCGTGATGAGCACTATCTTCTCCTTGAGGATCTCTCTGGGGTGAGGGAGGCTCGGTCACGAAACGAATATAACTCGACATCATTGCTTCCCACTCCTGCATAAGAGTATCCAAACTAGGAACTGCGGGGACGAGGTCCTCCCAATTACCAGCGCCATGATAAGGAAGAGCCGTTTCTAGAGCAAACATGCGGCGATGCAGAGGGGGTTCGAGAGAGTCGCTGAAGGGAGCAATAAAGCCGGCATGCTGCGCAACGTTGAGAAAGGGGGCGTCATCCGGGAAACGAGAATGGGCGAGAACGAGACGATAGATACCCTCCTCCCTCTCAGCAGCATTAGCAAAGAACCATTGGATGCTACTGAGAGATCGAAGGTGGAGCTCGGCGTGAATGAAATGGGCAGCTTCCATGTACTGGAGTGCAAGCTGGAGATTAAGGGCGAGCACGTCCTCGTCCGAGGCATCCAAACCACGTCGAAGGAACGAGATCACCGCATCAATAATCACACCCACGTATCGATTGTGCTGGTGGAGGACGGAAGCGGGATCACAGCGGAAGAGTCGGTGGGCGAAGGTGGCGACACGACGAAGGGAAGCCAAGGCTTCGTTCAACTCCCCGTGCACCTCCGACAAAGGAGGGAGGGAGACAGAATAAGATCCCTCTTCGGGATATTCGCGTATCATCTTCTCTGCGAAGAGAGCACGCTCCCGGAAGCGGTGGACCTCCTCTTGCAGGGCTTCGATTTTCTTCCGCTGCCGAACAGCCAGAGCATTCGACTCGTCCACCAAGGATTGTTGCTGAACTAAGGACGTTTCAAGCTCCTCGTTGCGCCTGTTCGAAGATTCGAAACGGGACAAATACTTGGCCCGACTCTCGCGAGCAAGACAAAGATCCTCCTCTAGTGCCCGAAACCTATCCACTAAAGACTGGGAGAGAAATGAGCAATTGATCACTAAGGAAAAAGGTGATGACATACTTCGTTAGGAGGTCCAGGCAAGGCACGCTTCAACGTCTCAACCTGATCCAGGAGACGATCGTGTAGCTCCTGCTGCTGAGCTGCAGAAGACACGGACTCCCGGAGCTGATCTAACTCGCCCTGACGAGCTTCCAAGGAAACGGAAGTGTCACGAAGAGCGGAGGTAAGAGTGGCGTTCTCCTGTCTGGAAGAAGCCAGCTGGGACTCCAGCAGACGAACACGAGCAGCAAGACGTTCATTTTCCACACGATAGGGATGCTGAGAGAGGATGCGAGGAATAAGTGGAGGACGAACGACGGGAGACATTTTGGGAACAGCTGGGTCCTCGCGGGAGGCCTTTATACTGGAAAAACCCGGTCCCAAGGAACGGGTAGACACCTCCGCTTGGGAACCGGTTCGCTGATCCACAAGGTCGGCTAATCGAGCCAAGGGAGGAGGGTCCTGAACCGAACCAAGCCGCCCAGTCGCATGAGGGGAGACCAAGGGAAGGGCCACAGACGGATGCTGGGAGGCCAATGGAGCTGAACCTGGATCAGAAGGCGCGAGGCGCGAGGGCGGGATGACCAGGCGGATCAGTCGGGGAACCTCCTCAACTACAGGCTCCTCCACTCGGCGCTCCCCAACAACTTTCGCTAACCGTCTTTTCTTGGGACGAACTTTTGACGAAGGAGGGTCGTTGACATACTTCCTCTTGGCAGCTAACAAAGTCTCCTGCTCCTGAGCTTCTTGGAAGCGCCTGAGTTCGGACCTATCTAGCGCTCGACTGTCCTGCTCATCGAGCATGTTCAGCTCCACTAGGACTTTCGTGGCGGACGTGCTCGAATGCAGCACCTCATCATACCTACGCCAAATGGCTCCCGGAATGGTCCAGGACACCCTTTGCGCCGGAGTACCATGCATCTCCAAAAATCGTCGGCTGTAGGCCAAATCTTGATTGCAACGACGAGCAAAATAACGGTGCCGAAGGAGCTTGCCTAGGCTGCAAGTTTTCTTACCAGTGCAGAATGCACACCGAGGGGAACCTTCAGGAACCTTGCAGGTTTCAGGATGCTTGGTGCAATTGGAGCAGGGCAGGGCCACAGCCGCCAAGGTAGACCAGAGGGGGTCATCCCGACAGTAGGCCGCCAGTGACTTTCCGGTATTGAAGACGTTCTCGAACAACTGGAGTTGGGGGATTGAGGGCGACTCGATCGTAAATGCCAGTTGGTCTTGTTCAACCTCCCCATCGGATGCAACCTCCCCCTCGGAAGACGAGCGAGGTAGGGATAACCGAGAAGGACCAGCGGCAGAGGGAGCTTTTGAGGGCGAAGAAGACATGTTGACACAAGTTTTACTCGTGGAACACGAAGTTGTAGACGAGAAAGAGTAGTGAAAAAGAAGGAAGGACTTCAACGAAAAAAAGCTTCTAAAACACCACGTGTGCTCATCAGGTGATTTCCCACGGGTACACGACAGGTCCTCCTCGAGGGCGCGGAGGACTAAGAGGGGGGTAATGTCATGCCTCGACCATTATCCACAGCCCTCTTAATGGTGACGACCAGGACAGCCCCAGTATCAGCCAAACACTCTCACCCCTCAGTACCGATCCACGCCCGTACCTCCCCAGATCCATGCCTGTACCTATCCAAGACAGCTCCTAAACCTCCCCCGACACGCGTCGAAGCCCTCCTACACCTACCCCATTAAGATACTAATCTCGATTACACGCCTCATGGCCCCTGATGTTCCCTTGATCACTTCCTGTACCTATTTAAGTAGCTCTGATACGTCCCGAAGCCCCAGCTTGGTATATTTTGAACACACACCCTTTACATAGGTCCAGTCCCTGTCCCTTTGTACCTGCTACCTATACGGAATTCTCTCTACTCTCTGTTTCTCTACCTCTGTTTCTCTCTACTACTGTCTATTGTCTCTCTGATCGTCTATACGATCGAATATACGCTTTTACTTCAAGTCTAAGCCTTCCGAGTGAGTCTCCGAGCTCCCTCGAACATTACTAAAGCTCCCCAACGCCTACCCGCTTGGTGAGCTACCCTTCCCCAAACCTCCCAGAAGCTCCCTAGCTACTTCGTAAGCTTCGGGACCTCGATCTAGGTAACGTCGAAGCTACCCCTCACGTCGAACTACGTATTGCTTCTCCGTTACCACCTCCCACACTCGAGGACGACCATCCTCAAACCTAGCCCCCAGGGACCTACCCTCCCTGGCATATCCCTTCTCGGGAGCTTACACCCTCGAGACCCAGTTGCATAAACTACCTACTCGATCCTATATTGACGTTCTAGCGAGTACAACTCCTACTACGCAATATCGTACGGTCCCGCACTCTTCCTGAACCTCCCTACGCATTAGGGACCTCCCTGGACCTCCTAGGAACCCCTCAAGGGTCACCCTCTCGTCGTTCCAACCACTACTAGGTCATTCCCGTCCTCGGTCGCGGTTCTCGTAGCTCCCTTCGAGCTCCAGCCTGCTCCTAGCACGCTACAACATAAAACTTCATATACCAAACCTACCCTAAGACCTATTTTGACCCAGGTCTTACAGTGGCACCAGTTGGATAACGATGTCTTTCTACTGGTGAAGGAATTGTCCCTCGGGAAGGTAGCAGCTACTGATTGTGACAAGACCAACTGTCACGAAGCGGCAGAGGCGGCGTGACTAGCAGAGCAGGAAGCGGGGTGACTAAGCCAGGCAGTGAGGCGGAGCGACTAAGCAGGTGAGTGAGGCGGAGCGACTAAGCGGAGCGGAGGCGAACTGGTCCCAGATAATGACAGAGATATATTGAGTATCGTAGTCATAGGTAATAATAAGTAAGCACATACCTGGTCCCAGATAATGACAGAGAGGTCAAGATAAGGGACCAGGCTGTGGAGGGTTGGCTATATATACATAATCTAGTCTGTGAGAAACAATGATGTAATACTGTACAGTTCAGGGGCAAGGAAGGAGGCGGAAGCCGATAGAAAGAGAAGGTGGGTCAGGTGGATCAGTAATAGATAGATCAGTAATCAATGGAGATTGACAGCGATGGGATGATGTATTGTACAAGTAAAGGCGTCGAGACGGTGAGAAAGGGAAAATGATAGGGGCTGCGTACTTTATGACACCAACACGCACAGTCATCACCGCTTCAATTCTTCGGGGGCTTTTGATTATTTGTGCATGCACTTACGATCGTTCTTGACCTTGACGTGTTTGTCACTATATGGCTTATCTATAAGTCCTGACATCGCGTTAGTGCTGAAAATGACAACAAACCTGCAGCACTTGGAGATGTGTCGCATCTGTGTAGCAGACGGAACACATTGGACCAACATATGTTGTAATTCCATTGTCACCTTACACCTTGAGGCTGTTTGTTGGCATGGTGTTGGTTTAGATCTGGAGCTACTCAGAGCATGCAAAAACACCAAGACCCTCGTTCTCACATGGCACGAACAGTCGCACCTCATGCCGTCTCCTGATGACGAATACAACTCCAACGTTGTGTCATTGAAGCTGCTCACGGTAATAGCCTCTTGGTCATTTGATGATCCAATTCACGCTGATCGTCGTTGCTTCTTCACTTTCTTATCAAAATTCGTGTGCCTAAATGTGTTCGAAATCGAGGGAGCGTTGCCCTCGTTTCCTACGCATCTGTGTTACACCTCTATCACTCACATCCCTTTGACTACATACATTGGCCCCATCGAACTGCTTCCCCACCTCTCTCAATTGACAACCCTTACTGCATTGGTGTTGCCCATTTATCACCTTTCCAGCGAAGAACTTCTCAACATCCGCCGTATGCTTTCCATTGTCAATTTCTCTGTTAAACTGAATCCTTCAAAGCTGAACAATGTCAAAAGCATCGTCAACCTACTCCCGAACTTACTTAATTTGAGTGTGTGCTTTGTAGATGAGTACATTGATATTGTTAAGTCTGCCGTCATTTTTCGTCTACAGCAAACTGATCAATGTTAGTAGGATGTGATGTTAATCAGTGTTGAAAGCATCATCAATCTACATTTCAACCTTTCCAATATTACAGTCACTTCCGACAGTGATTGTTATGATGAGCCCCTCTTCAATCGTTTTCGCACTTTGAAACATCGCTGTCCCTCATTGGCAGTGATTATCCTCGGGGAACGATTGTGGAGGTTTAAATGTGGCATTTGGTGGCAATCCATGTTCGTGAAGTCGTCGTACAACCCGTATTCACATAATTCAACGCGCTAGTGTTCATTCTCAATTTCTCTAAACATTTGTAAACTTTATCCCAGTCTTTCTTTCCCTACAGTATTTCTCTCCACAATCCATTTCATTCTAGCCAACTTTGATCTCCTATGTCTATGCGCTCCAACCTCAGACAATGTCTGCGGTATGACCTAAAGTATTCCTTGCTTCCGATCATGACGAACACCTCACTTGCCATTACCGATACATGTTGTAGCCCCCCATTCATTGATATAATGCCATCTATACATGTCAAGATCGCAGTCTATGATGCTTTCAGAACATTGCACTGTTGACCTTGTGAACCAGCCACGTACCTGTTCAGAAACATCATCACTAATGTTGACCTTCAGTCTTTCTAACTTCCACATGACTGAAATTAGTCGGCATACTATTTCTTCTTCACAACTGAATATGTCCAACGTCAACTCCCTCACTTCTTCTACATGTAATGTCTCCTCTCTGAAATGTTGACCCAGAAGACCGCAGTCAGTTAAATTGAGGCTTCGTACTTTTGGTAGTGCCTGTGACAAGTTCAGGAAGTGAATTGGACCCCGATAATTGACCATCTTCACCAACATTGGCTTCTTCTCTGTGTCCGTCTCAAAAAACGGCGGAATGCTACTGTGAATGTGTAGCTCAATGACACTCGGAAACATTCTCAGCATGCTGATGAACTTTACATGGTGTCGTCGCAGTTCCTCCCCTCGGGCTGGCCAAGCCAGTCGGGTGGCGATTACTGCCAGCGTCGAACATGTAGTTTGTGTCCAGTTTTCACCCCAATCCATTTCGTTGGCCCTGTCTGCGTGCCAACTAATCATCAACTTTTTCAGACGCAAGCACACCCGAATGATTTTGCTGTCGCAATTCCTGCCATGCCAGCAAGTACTAACGAGCTTCAGGTCTTCCACTGCTAACAACGCCATTGGCCTACATTCACCTGCGTTATCCATGCAAACCCTCTCCAGTGAACATTCTTTCAATTGCTTCAGGTTCTGTAGGAGGCTTGTGAAACCGGAGTCGAGCACAACCCCCTTTATTTCTAGATTGGAAAGGTTGCCCATACGAATCAGTGCATGGTCCAATGTTTGCGCGAACTGTCCTGTTTGACATTTTGACATTGATTGTCGTCATGCGGTGTGACTGTACTGATGTCATCCGCGTTGGTTGTTCCCAACTTCAGATGTTGAACAAGATTGAACACCCTTCCTCCAGTTGCAGTCCATGACCGTGTAGCTGATAAAAATGTGTCTACAGTTTCGAACCCCATGTTTTCATACAAGAATTCATATGCAGTAAACCTCAGTAACCTGTTCACTGCTGCCAATCGAAGCAGGGATCCACCTGATAATGAACATATTTCCAACCATACCTCGCACGGGAGGTTATCTATGGCTGCGGGCGTGTGTTTGGAATGGGACATATTATGTGCTATGCAAGAATGTATACTATGTGTTCCACCGCTACTTATCACTCCACGTTTGCCAACTTTAGGACGCCAACTCGAATTGCATTTTGATCAGACATCCGGGGGCCTTCTCAATCCTCACTTTGTACCTGAGCCACGGGTTCGATTTCCATCGCCATATTTCCAATTGCCATTGCCTACAAATATGATATGATCTACTTGTTTTTCTGGCTATGACTATGGACCATCACGTCCCTCCCTCCGAAACACGTAATTTGTCGCTTGCTTTACCCTAAGAAGTTTGGCTTTGGATTGGTAAATTGATGACCACCAGTTTACACTCACTGGCTGTCACTTGTACCTCTCTTTCCAGTCCTTCGAATGAGTTTCTTTATGACACGCTTGATTTTCCCTCTGTTCAAAGATTCCAGACCCAGTCACTGGCTTGGCTCGAGGAGGGTGGACGAATATACCACCTGGTTCATCACTTACAGCTAGGCACCATCCACCAACATGATGACGACAATGATAATCCCCATTCTTCAGATCGTTTTAACTTAATCCCCCACTGGCAAACCTTCTTGCCAAATGTCGGACACTTCTGTAATTTACGGAGCATTGCTTTCATTGGAGTTCATATTCAACACAATGTGCTATCCATTATCAAAAATCTTCATTTTCTGCAGCAGCTATGCTTCACCCGCGTATGTTTCGAGCCCACCGTAGTTCTGCCGTTGTTTCATTCCATCTCCGTCAAGGAACTGCAGTTAGAAAGTACGTGCTGGCATGGTGGTAACCAAGACAGGATATTAATCGTCGGTTGTGTAAACTGCATGGCTTCGACAACGTCTTGTAACCTCACCAATCATTCGGCCCTAGCAACGTTGGATTCTAATCTCCTACTGAAATACAACCGTCTGATGATCGATGTTGCAACGTCGATATGGTCCCTGGAAGAATCAATTACTGCCTTTCGCGAGGAATTCCTAAACTACATCTCGAAATTTTCCAAGTTGGTTGCACTCAATGTCTCGGGCAGAATTCCTGTCTTTCTTCCTACCAACACTACACTCCGTAGAATCACTCCCAATCTAACAGTGTACACTGGGTCCATTCATTTGATGGGTCTTGGGCTCCCACTCAGCAATGTTTCCCATGTGAACCTAACTGACCTGGGCCTGCTGGACAACGATGTGTTTGAATTGCGACCCCTGCGTTTCTTCTGGTCGACTTTACGCCTTTAAATTTTCCTTTGGGATGAGTCTTTTCTCATACGGCTCTGTGAATGTTCTCCTTCTCTGCGATCCCTCGTCGTGGATGTAGTTGATGATGATGTTGAATGGGTGGGTGCTTTTCAAATTTTTAGGATGATCCCCCTCTCATCACGTCAATAGAGGGATGTCATTGCCTGTATGGGTACCATGCTACAATCGCGGCCCCGGCTATCGCGCCTTACAATAAATGCCAATATTCCTCCTCTGCAATGGGTGCCTATGAGCAAATTCCATTTATTCAAAGTTCTTTGTCCTTCATTGATGGATTTAGTGGTTGATGCGCGCCAATGGCAATACAGACTGGGTATTTAGTCAGAAGTGGTCGAGATTGAGAATGAGTAGTTCCACTCTGTATTATTATTTATCTATCTTACAATGTATAGAAGTACGTTCTGAATGCAATTCACGTTTACATTCACGTGCACATGAACTGGTTTCCTTCTAACCACGTCTTCTCAGTGTCGGCGCTTAGTTTATCTAACCTCATGTCTTCTCTCCTCAATTCCTCTGACGGATGTGTTACGAAGGTCTTCTTGTCGAATCCACGCAATAATCGTATAGTGTGTCTGCCTCTACTCCATAACAGTGCCACATATGCACCGAATGGTGTTATTCCTTGCCCACCGATTGGTGCACGCAAATCTACTATGACATGTTCCATTGTGTGACCTTGACCTTTGTAGTCTGTGAACGCATAACCAGGCGTTATTGCAGTTTGCATTCTGCTGATTGTCCGCCGTGAACCCTGGCCATCAGTAATGACAAATTGTCCTTTTGAAGGCATGATAGGTAGTATTCCATGTACCAATCCAGGGAGTTCAGTATCGGTTACATTGTCCAGGCAAATCAGTACTGCAGCAAGAGGATAACGCAACAGCGTGACACCACCTGTCTCTGTTAAGATCATGTACACCGTGAAACCGTGCCAGGGCCACAAGGTGTCTAAGTGCGGAAGACGAGTGGGACAGTAGTGAAGTTATTAACAACACCGCCGTTATGCCGTTAGTCCCCGGAGATCGAGAGTATAGAGAGAGGAGCTAAGTAGCAGCCAGGTCGGAGCGGCAGTAACGCCGGTGACAAGGAGCGGACCAAAGAACGTCTAAGTCCTAAGGTCAAGTAGAACGTACTTCGAGGCGTTGAGCCTGAAGACTTAGAGAAGAGCTAGGTTGAGAAGGGAGATCTAAGTTGATAATTAAACTGAGGAACTACAGTAGCGTACAGGCAGTATTTATATCTACGGAACGGCGCAGCGGTGCAGAGCGCCAGACTAACTACTAGGAGCTATACGAGTAGTACCTGCAGGGTAGAGTAAAAGACAATAAGGAGAGACTAGAATGAAAGGGTATGTGTAGCGAGAAAGAACAATAAGAAGAGATTACAATAAAGAGTGGATCTTCGGAGTACCGAGCGGCGGAATGGAGGCCCGAGGCATGGAATTGACAGTTTCCTTCAACGTACTGTCCTTGCGTTCGTCAAGTATGATGTCCACAACCGTGCCCCTGGTGCCGTTTGCTAAGTCTGATTCTGTTGCTATGTTCAAGACAACTGACCATGGTTCCTCGCTTCTATTCCACCCTGAGAATGTGTATAGTCAACAACCGCATTGGGGTTTGCAGAACCTCCATCGATTTCCATGGATGACGTCGTTTGGTGTGTTTGTTGCTTCAATAGGGTTGTCCACATTTTGAACGCTGCTTTGTCCGCGGGCTTCGCGCTGCTGCACAAGTTAACTGGTCCCTGTACGACATATTCCTGCTGGAATATGCCTGCTTTGTATGCACACTCCATTGCAGAAAGACCAAATTCCTGGTCTCTGGCGGACTCATTATCTTGCAACTTGAGTATTTCTTCGTCGGTCCACTCTATGTCGTCCATGCTGATTTGTTGTGGTGTTTGGGATGAGTCATCGTCATCACCATGGGATGCTTCCCCTGTATCAGGTAATGCTTCGTAGGTGCTGTACTCTTTTGCTCTTCGAGCAGACGAATGGTCAGAGCATCGATAGAAATATTGAACATTTTCCAAGAACGAATTATATTTCCCAGACGTTGCATTTTCAAAAGTGTACCAAGCGGCATTAGCAGATACGTGGGCGGATGTTATATCGGTGAGTTGTCTCCATGGTTTCAAGATGGTCAACATGGTTAAAATGTACTGTAGCCGAGTCTCCTTGCGGTCGTTGCACGGGAACCATTTTCCAATGGATTGCGGCATTGTTTCATGTCAGGTTGTGCATACTAACCGTATGTGCTTCTCATGATAATTACCTATGTATGGGTGCCTCGTACTCGTTGGTCATCCTCGCCGAGGTGTTGTGGATGGTGGGGAATCCACGTTATGTTTTTTGTTGTGAGTTTTGTATTTCTCATATGTGTTTGTAAAGAAGTCTAAGAGGTCGTAATCCTCCAGTGTTTTGCCTCGGTGCACATATGCCAATAGTTGGTTTTTTATTTTCACCGAGCCATCCTCTACCTGCACTTGTACTTGTTCGAACTGATGGTGTTGTCAACAGGATTTCTTTTGGCACTTATGCATGTACTTACCTCGGAATCACAGTCAAATGCGACCTGCTCATGTACTTCTTCACCTCTGTCATCCAACCTCGTCACCCAACTACATGTTCACAATTACACTTTAATATTTTATGCCACTGATTTATACCACTCACTGTTTTTCTTGTAGAATCAGGAACACATTCCTCAGTGCATGCGATATACCATCAAGATAAATAGAGACAAAGTGATGGGATATGTACCGATCGCCCCAGCCCATCAAATGGCTGATGACCTCGGGGGCACTCATCTCCTTCTCCCTGTTCAATGATATTGCACAACGAGTGATGAGCCGCTGACTGGCCTTCATGTACTCATGCGATTGCAACTCTTGTTCGACATGAAAGGCATGCTGTTTCGCGAGTAGCGCTGATTCATTCCAAGTTTTAGGTTGTTGTTTCAAGGAATAGTTCGTGGCATACATTGTCATGTCCTGCATTTCATTGCCATTGGTTACTAGCTTCACGTCATGATTACAAATTAGTAACTCTGATATCGTGGGATTGAAGCCATTCAAGAAAGGTATTACTCTCCGCATTCCCCACTCCCCGTTTTCAGTCACCCAGTCTGTATCTGATAGCTGGAAAGGTGCGCGGTTCTTACACACCAGTCGTTTGTTTTTGACAATCAAACATCTCCCAACCTCACAGCTGTGAAGCTGTACAGTGCGTGCAACGAGCTTTGTCCGACTATCACGCTTCTCCGAATATTTTGGGTCACTCGGTGGAATCGGCCGATTGAAATATATACCTGGCTTGGGGGTTAACTTGAGGAAGTCTGGTTGACTTAAACCTACGTCTGCTTGTACGTTGGTCTTAATGAATGCGACAATCTTCTTTCGAAATTCTTCCGATAGTAGGAAGGTTCTCATCTTCGAAGGTGATGGCGAGCCATGCAACCACATTATCAGGTGCACATGGAGCATGCCACATCCTTGGGTTTCTACCATGCCGACATATGCTTCAACTGTAGCGTCGAAATTATTGAGATCGATTTGTTCTCCTGCAAACACTTGCGCGATTGGATTGTTGATGTCGGATGGATTCAGCGTCACCCACAAATTAGGTGCATTGATCATCGTAGACATGGACCATATTTGGGAGCGCACACTAGTTCGGGAGGAGTCAGTCCCCGGTACACTTGAACGCACAGAGCGTAAGTGGTTCATGAGCGACCGCATCACTGGGTTACTGAAGCGTGAACTGTTTCTCTCTTCTTCAGCTGTGGTTGCAAAGTTGCCTGGTTTCAATCTCTCTATCGCATACTGATTGTGAACAAAGTCTGCCCTAGACATCTTCAACGCTGCCGAAGTACATATTGCTCGTTTTTGAATAACGCCAAATACCTGGAAGACAAACTGCATGTCATGACGGAATCGTCGATCCCCGTATTGCAGTGCCCATTTAGCATGCGCAGCATAACTAACTTGGCATTGGCGTGATGTCTCGAATCCACCACAACCATAAGGAAATAATTGCGGAAAGCAGCCCAACAAATGATTTGGATTTGAAGATGGGCCGGTGGAAGGGGTACCATTTGCTTCACGTCGTCCATACTCATTCACATAGCCCCCTATTCTAACCGCATATTGCGGTGTTGTCTGGCCCTGCCCCACCTGGGCATCCTGGCGTTGCAGATTTCCCAATGCATTACTAAGGAGCTCACTTTGCGGGATGCAGTTGCCTTCTAAATCTACGACTCCACTGGCGCTAACTTCAAAGACTCCTACAAACGGGTAAACACAAATGCAGGTTTCAATTTTTGTATTTACCTGGTGTGTCACTTGCTGTATTCTCCTCTTCTTCCGATTCTGATCCTTCACAAAGTGGCTCATAAGGATTGTTCTGGTCTTCGGCCCAATGTTCTTCATCTTCCTCACCATCAGGCACGTACCCTTGTCGCTCTTCTTCAAAGTGAAATTTGTCCTCTGAATACTTGACAGTCGTCAATAGTTCTTGCGGAACTCCATTTTCAGGTAATGCATTGATGTTGATACTGGACATTTGAATGTGCGAGTAGCACTTATTGTTTGCAATGAGCCAATGCAACGCATTCACAACTTTAACGTGCTGAACCATGAACAGAGTTTTCAATGTGTTCATACTTATGTTTTGCTTCCCAATGAAAGTAATCGCAATCATGGCAGCGAGTATACCCTGCCTTGGTGGGAGGTGTGAATCATCAACAAGGTGAGTGATTTCTTCACTGTTCATAAAGTATGACGATATGTTGCCCTTCAAGGCACTGGTCAGCTGATCTTTTGGAATCCAGCAAGCAGACCTCTTCTTTGGGTACATCTTCACAACATATGCGGCGGCATGAAAGCGTGACACGAGTATGTACTCTGGGAGGGTGAGGATGTACAACTCGAAAGGTGTTTCTCCAATCCACATGTTGTTAGCGAGTGAAAGCTGTGGTCTTTTGGCTTGCAAAAGATCGCTTATGCAATCAAGGCAAACAGTCTCTGGTGTTCGCAAACTTTTCGGATCTCTGTACAGCAAGAGACCACCAGTTAAGTGATGTGCAGCATGAGCCTCTTCCAGCTCCAACAATCAGTTGTTGGGAAGGTGTTCCAGAGATACCTCGCACAAGTCCACTGCTTGCATCTCCCGCGCACAACAATAACATACTCCCGAGTTGGTACTGTCATTATTTGTCCTTGTAATGAATTCAGTTACAATTGCTTGGCGTTGTTTTTCAGTGGGTGTTGACAAGAACGGTCCTCGGATCACTTCCACTAGCTCCATCGCCTCAATGCTGTCCTCGTCTTCACGGTGGTTTGCCACAACCCGCCGCCATTTGGTGTTCGGGGGTGCACCTGCTGTCGCCTTCCTCTTATTACGTGAAAAATTTCCCAACTGTGTTATGATCTGTTCAAGGCGCTCGGAGTGAACTTGGGTCAGTCTTTGCGCCATTGTGGCTTTTGACCGTACTTCTGCTGGGGAGAAGGTAATACTGAATGCGGCACAAGTATCAATTATGGTTTTCTTGGTTGCTCGTGCTAACTGTTCCGCAACAGTGTCCAAGGATAACATTGCCACCGTCTTGAGTCGGAAAGAAGAGGAGTTTGATGGTGCACTTCGCAGTCAAGCCACAGACATTGTATTTCTCCAGTAAAATGTTGATCACACATCCGACCATTTGTACTGTGCTAAGACGGCCCCCGCTGACTATCGCTACCAAGTACGGGCACTCCTGAGGTGGCCTCCGCTTCCTATCAGTTCCCGTTCTCGTTTGGTAGATGTTTAACAGACTTTGATATTTCAATATCCTATCTGTAATACTGTCTAATGATCGAACTATATCTGCAAACCTTGTCGACATCGGATGGACATTTGAGGCTTAAAACAGAGTACATGTAAACATTGCTTGCATATTTGCCTACTTCTGTAATCTCCCAAGTACTGCGTATCACTTCCTTCTTACAGTCTGCTCTTTACTGATTCTTTTCTCTACCAGCATGCTGAACGATATCAGTGCCAATAGGCGTGAACATTTCCTGTCTCTCGATAACTACATGGGAAAGCCGAATAACACCATCATGTCGTCCGGTGCATTCTTTCGTGATGACAAAACATTTCTGTTTTCTAATGTTCGCGTGCCGGGTGGTGGTAAACCTAAGGCAAAAGTGGTCACTTTTGTCAGCCGTGTGCTCAATAATAACAACTTCACTGGTATGACCGGCAACTGGGTCCCTTCCAAGAAGGCGGCTAAGCATGGAAAACGGACAGCAATGCTAGGACCTGCATTCAATGGCAAATTCGAGCTTGACTGGGACCAATCCATTCAAACGTTGAAGGACATTATGTGCTTACTTACCAAGGACCGGAATCACGATGTCAAGTTTCTGTGGTATGAAGAAGATCCGACAATGAACGATGGGACGTTCAGGTTCGGAAGTCCACTATTCCGTGTTTGTTCTCGAAATAATAACTGTGCACAATAGCTGATGATTTTGCAGGCGTTGAGGGCTGGCGAAGATCCTGACTGTGTGTATCTATTAAATGTGCATATTCGACGTTGCCTAACCAACTTCTTCCACAAAGCTACCATTGTGACCATTACCCCAGAAGGTCAGCAGAACACTCCGTTCTGGGTGGAGGCTCGGCAAGCGCATGCAATAGTTGATTTTCCGGTGTTCGACTCTCTCGGCTCCAAAGTGGCTGCAAATTGTGTACAGGGCGCAATCAAAGGTGCAATGGTCGCTGTTGACGTTGTTATCCAAGGATGGAAGTTCAAGTCCGACCCTAACTGGGGGTTTGCACTGGACCTCAAGAGGTTGACAATCCTCGAAGATGCACACGAGGCTGCTGAGGATGTGGATCTACCCCCCTTGCAAATTCACCTGCCGGGTGGGGAATTGATTTTTTTGCTAAAGGCAATTCTGTCTGTTTACTGATGATAATTCTTTGATGTTTTGTAGATGTTGCAGTTGACAACGCTACAGTTCTACCTTTGAAGAATGCAATGGGCAATGAAGACGCCCCCGGTTCATTCGCACCGCTCACACGTAAGCCAGTTAATTGTTGGTTGTGTGGTTGATATGCTGATTTGTTGCTGTAGCCCCTCCCTCGCAATCGACAGTCAATGCAGGTGTTATGAGCACGGCTGCATCTGGTAGTCATGATGTGCAGGTGCCAATCGCTGGTGAGTTGTGTTCCTACGACATTGTTAATGGCGTCGGGCGTTATTCAATGTCTTTACAGGTGGCACACCTGGAACAGCGAAAAGACCTGGGAGCACTTTGGTTAAATCATCTGCCACGAAAAGAGCCAGGCGAGGAGCGGAAGGGGAGACAGGAAATACCAATTAGCATGATCAGCTGTTATCACTACAGACTTGGATCCGGAGACAGATAGATATATTGATTGATTGACCCTGTATATTAGTTGCTCCTACAGACTCCGATCCGGAGACAGATAGATATATTGATTGATTGACCCTGTATATTACTTGCTTGATAACTTATTTGAACCTGACAAGATTCAGGAATGGCTTATCAGCGGGGATTGAACAGTACTTAACACGGGACAAACTCCACATACAGAAGCATACAGAGGACGTTCTTCGGACATGGTATGTACCGCTCACCCACTTATTGAATTGAACTCAGATGTGCTTTCAGTCGACATTGTTTCACCCACGAGGATGACAGACATTCATTTACAATGAAGTGTTACGACATGTCGACGCAAACAGATTAGGAAAAGATGTCAAACAATTGCTTATCCTGGTGCACGGAAGCGCGTCCAGTGGCAAAACCTTGTTGTTGTGTGGTCTGTTCGATTTCATCAGTGATCACCACAGTCCCACATTGGCTTTCAAGGGCGCCGCTATGGAGCATGGTGCTGCGCTTATTGGCGGTGTTCCGATGGAGTCCATTCCACACGCGACTACAATGGATTGCGGCCAGGAATATTTCTTTGTCGATGTGGGGAGTGCGTTGGAAATGGGTGTATTGACAGGATGGTCTGAACAGTTGAACAAAAGGTATGGTTGTGAAGGTGCCACGACCTATTTTGGACACAGGAACGTCGTTATTTTTGCAGACATTCATCAGCTAGCCCCACTTAAGAATCATAATCAAGCATTCTGGCTGCACGATAATCCCATCACTCACAAATTTTTGTCCAATGTACACTGGCTTGACACTGAGCCTATACATGACAGGACCTCAAACACATTTCTGGACACAATCAGGCTCGCGACAATCGGACGTGACCATATACAGTTGTTGAATGCAAGTGTTGCTAACATGGCCTCCTTTGTCAAACGACATGCAAGGCGTAATGCAGTAGTCGTTAGTAATTCCAGGGAGAGATGCAAACAACTTAACCAGTTCCTTCTGATTGAAGTCGCGAAGGCTCTCAATGCGACGTTGTACATGTTCAATTCCTTCAACGACATTACGTTTTCCATTGGTGCAACCGTGACTAAAGCTGAACTGAAGCTGTTGCAAGATAACATTTGCGACTGTGGTGCTATTCCTGGACGTATGCCCGTTTACATTGGAATGCCCTGCTCAGTCATCATTGATTCCACGCCTGTATGGGGCACAATATTTGACATTGAGCTCGACCCGAGAGAATCTGCAGAAATTCCGAGGTCAGCAGTTGTTGAACTACGTTATCCCCCTGCAACAGTGGTCATCAACGTATTGGCAGCACTGTTGCAGAATAACCCTGACCTGCGTCCGGTCCTATGATTAAAGCCGGTTCGCAGACAATACGAGTGGTTCATGGACGCCGATGAAGATGTGATTGGTTACGTGGTCAGGACACAAGTGCCTTTAGCTCCAAGGTGGGCTGTGTTGGAAAAAGAGGTAGATGGCCAGCAGTATGACGCACTGCTCATCGACACTGAAAAAGGATGGGATAGTATTCAAAGTTGGTACATGGTTGGTAGCAGAGTGCAAGGACATGGTCTTATTAACATAAGCCAGCAAGTTGATGGAAAGTATACGGACAGTTGGCTCCAATCAGTTCGTGAATGCATGCTCCAGTTGCTTTGTCTGAAAACTACTGTGTAATGTACGATTCGACGTTGAATTATATTTAAAGTGTTCATTACAAATCGGGGAGCAAGGTTTTTAGGGCCCCGCAGGGGTACACTAGTATCAAATTTGCGTTCCGAGTTTACATAAATATTGTTAAATTTCGATATTTTGACTGAAATGTTACTATTGTTCCACTAATCTACTACATATTGTACAGTTTATGCACACATTATGTATAGTACAATCGAAGTAATCAATAATTGAACACTAAAATCATATTATTGTACATAATATAATAAATATATGAACGCATATGAACGCACGAAACGCGAACGTGAACGCAGAACGCACCGACGGAACGCAAAATTCTACCTACCGATATACAGTGGTGGTAAAAGCGGAATTATGTATGAGAAATTGCCGGACCAAGTATTCAAATGATCACACAAAATTGAAGCTCGACCCTCCCGCCTACGAGAATATAATATCAGAAATCTGATGGTTTTCAATTTGAATTTTCTTTGCATGCACATGTTGTCATGATACAGGTTCCATCAGAATCCATGGGAGGATATTTCCATTGAAACATTGTACATATGTATGCTTGACAAAAGAATATATATATATAGATATATAGATATCATCATCTGACAACCCACCGCCCTACTGTGGGGCTTGGACTTACTGCGGAACATTGACTTGTCAGTTTCAGGATCAAAAGAAAGAAGTCTCAAATATGGAAATCTGAATGGTATGAAAGGATAGTCCGACCCCTATGTATAAGTTGATTAATGGATGGACCCTTGGAGAAGTATCGAAGTCCCTGGGACCACCTGCAAGAGCTTGCAAATTTTATCCTAATTCATATATAAAGACCAAAATTCCCTGAGAGCCATTTTCTTATAACATACACCTTGCCACTGAAATTATCAGTACCATTCTATGTCAAATATCTTCAAAACATACTCTCTACCCGAAGGAACTGAATTATCCTTCACAGATAGTGGAGCACCCCTCAACTCTGATGACTACACCACTGTTCTTATTATACATGGCTCAGCATTTAATGCATGTACGTATAATATATCATTACACGTCTGCATCCAGTTTAAATTGAGTTTCCCATTTACTATTATACTACATAGACCAATTTCACAAGCTGCATTTGTTTGGCCAAGCCCTCAATCTCCGCACAGTCCTTTTTCATCGAAGGAATTATGTAGGATCTACACCCTATACCTCTGCAGAAGTTCAGGAGATTGAACAAGGGAGTCAGACATTTTGGGAACGATTGAGTGCTCAGCTTGCTCAATTTTTGAAGATTTTCATTGAGCAAGAACAAATTCCCAAGTTGAAGATGAAATTGTCATCCAGCATGTCTGGGGGTATAGCCATCATGGGCTGGTCCGCTGGATGCCAGATGATTTTTTCAATTTTTGGAGCAGCTCATAATCCAATGATTGCTAATGAGGAATATGCATTGTTGCAACAGTACATTGGGAAGTTTATGCTCTATGGTAAATTGTGTGGTCAGTTCTTGATATCAAGGTTTCATTTATATACACTTTCCAGACCCGCCTCATGTTGCTTTTGGGTATCCAGTACCATTCGACAACAAAAACTATGTTCCTTGGGAGGACACCAGCCTCAAACCTGAAGATATCCCGGTTGCCTTTTCAGAATGGGTCAGCTCATACTATGATCATCCATGCTATGACTTTGCCACTCGAAGTTTACCATCATCAGCTACTATCCATGATTTGAATGGTATTCCTAAAAAAACCAGGAGAACCTCTGTATATGATTGGTCTGAGGAAGATAAGGCAAAGGGGATTGAAATGGAGGCCATGAAATCAGAGGTATTGACGTAAGTGAATTTCTTTGTTCCACCCTGCCAAAATTTCATATAGTATTCAACTATTCAAACAGGTTTATGCCGCCTTCTCAAGCAACTCTCTGTAAACTAAGCGAGAAGGCATTATTTGATACTGAGAGTGTCAGCTCTTGGTTCCCAAATGTGGATGTCACGTATATTGGAGTTACAAGTACAAATTGGATGTGTGCTTGGGGGGAGATTGAAACCAAGAGATTGTATGAGGCAGCTTTGAAGAAAAATGGTAGAGTCATTGGTAGGAAGATCCACTTCTTAGACATGGTCGGATTAAACCATTTTGTGAGCACTCCGACTTCCTTACCTGGAGAACTAGATTGAAAATCAGTTTTCACTGTTGATGCAGGCACACTGGGACCAACCTCATGAATTTTTGCAAGTTGTGGCAGATGGGATCCGCAAGAATGACTGTTAGGCATTTGCACAAAGGGTGCTTGAAACAAATATGCTGCTTCTAATACTGATATTCTGTATACTGGTCCTACAGCAATGCAGTTTTTCATTTTCCTTGTCAAAGCATGTATGTTCACCTCTGACTCAAAAGTAATTCTTTTGAATTTTACTCCTACAATATAACACCTACCGTGAATGATATGGTACTCATTCTTGAAACTGGAAACATCACTGAACATTGGAAGCACCAATGAATGCAATGCTGACTGGAGTCAGCACCCCAACTTAGCCCCGATGATCGGGGCCACATCTGCAAAACCTGTATTTTCGGCTAAATAGACGAAAGCACCCAGAGCAGGCTTTGATTTTTGCTCTGGGTGCTTTCATTGCTGGAGAGCACTCTCTCCAGACAGTATCGTTGCTCTGGCGAGTATACAGGTTTTGCAGGTAGCAATGTAACAAAAGCTTTCCCTCACTGCTTATTGCATTGAGTCAAAAATTATTGCCGGCAGCAGGTGATTCTCTATGAGGGCTTGCACCAATGTGTATGTGGATAAATTGAGAGGACCTTCACACTCATTGCTCAAGTAGGGATTGCCAAGAGTGATTGGTCACTTCATACTTAAGATGGTGCAGACATTTGTATTCACAATGACTTCCAGCATTTGTGCATTTGTGTTAATCTGGGTGGCGGCTCATGGCGGTGTTCATACTGTTCTTAGGCTGTCCCATGGTCATTGTAAATAAATGCAGAAGTAGGACACTCCACAACCGTTGATTGTTCAGTCAAAGATGGCTTCAGATCCATGTCTGTTGCTTACCTTCATGTTCAATTACCCTCCATTTTAATATTTCTTTTCACAGGAGCAATTTCATGAAATCCTAATTGCTGTAGGCAGCCACCCACATCCACCAATAATGGTAAGATTCTTTCCATTTCTCTTCAATTCATACACCAAATTTTGCATTAGACAATACCAGCTAATGATTGAATCTCCCTCCCTTCCATCCCACAACCTATTGTTCGAATTTCAGTGGATTCCGCGAGAATTTGTGGATTGCCAAAACCCAAATCATCATTGCTTTTATGGGATTCACAAGATTTTCATTGATGAAATCGTGTATAATCAAGAGTTTTATTCCGGCTATCTCTGGGTTTGATTGGGTCTGTTGTATAAGAACAGAGAAAGCACTCAGTAATTCCAAGCTCAACTATCATTTGACACCCCCTTGCCTGGGATGTTTCCCCATACTCCCTCGGGGCTCAGTAGAAGACATACATGAATACCTGGAAGAATTACACGCAACGATTCAGAGTGGATGAACGAGTATTGTATATCCAAAACATGGTATATACTGTAAGTGTAATTGTAGAATCGTGTAAATTCTGTTAATACCCTCTACCCCAAGCATTCAGTGGTTATATACCTTGGTCTAGCTATATCCAAACTGATCACCTCCGTAAGCTGTAGGGTGACAAGCCCATGTGTTGCTCATCCACCGGACATCTTCCCCTGGCTTTGATTGAGAGAAATTCCCGAAAAAGATGAGCGTGTACGTGGCACGTATGGTCTTACCATTGCGAATGACGATGACGGTGAAACGTCAGCAGCAGCAGCAGATGAAGCATTAATTTCTTGCGTTGGCGTTGTGCCGCCTGACATCGAAGACATCGAAGATGATGGGGAGGTTAATCGGAGATCATCTTCGGAGTGTGATGCAAGCGGTGTCGACAGGCTAGATATTGGACCAGATGATGAGGATGATGAATGCAGGCTTGATGTTGGTAGGAATGCTGAAGAATGGGGTGGCGAGAGCGGAGTAGATAATGCTGAGCCACCAGCGGAAGGGGATGAAGTGGAAGGAGTCAAGACGGTCCCATAATCATCTGGGTCATCTATCCGAAGGGACCGTGGTGCGGGTCGTTCAACCATGGCTTCGAGAAGCTAAAAGAACAAAGTTAGATGAATTAGTATCCGTTTTATATTAACCAGAGAAAGTAAAAGGTGTCATCGGAGGAAGATAAGAAAGTCAGTGGGAAGAAAATATGGGATATGGGTTGAAATGGTAAAGCAAATCTACACACCTCCCTTCGTAACTCCTCTCCATCGTATTCTCCCTCCATTTCCTCCGGTCCAAGAAGAACATTTCCTTTTCGGAATACCTCTCCTTCTTCTGCAACCCAACTTCGAGATCTACCAGGAAGGAATAAACTCAGGACCATGATGAAGCATCTCGTTGATTCAGCAAAACTCACCGAACTCCAGCCTCTGCCTCCTCCTCGCCATTCTCACCTTCATCTCCACCTGCACGATCTACCGCATCCTCATACTCATCCTCAATCTCCCCTTCTCCCTCACTCTCACTCAACCCGTCATCGCTCAATCCTATTCCTACTCCCAAGCTGCTTAACGGACTTCCTATAAGACCCAAGCTCGAAGCACCTCTCACACCGTTCCTCAACAACACCGCAGTCGGACTGAGTACTGGCTCATGTCGCTCTGGTTCTGGAGGAGCTCGGGCTTTGCCTTTGTCTGAAGTCGGTATTAGTACGTCATGTTCTTCATATGCGATAGAAGCGTCGGAGGCTTGAACAGGATGTATAGGACTGGATGGTCTTGGGGAAGTACTTGGAGGTGGTGAAGGTGTAGGCGAATCTGTAATCGTGAAGGTAGGTCCGGAACTGGAGACAGTAGAATCTGACAAGGTGTTTGAAGCAGACATAGATGAAGACAATGATGTTAAAAAAGCGACAGAGGGAGTAGGATGATTTAGCGGAACTTCAACACGTAGGCTCGGTTTCTCCTTCCAGGGAAGACTAGTTCGACCAGATTCTTTGCCTTCTGCACCGGGAACATCTACCGCCTCGTTCGTGCTCACACCAGCCATCCCTTGAACTTCATTTTTCTCATTCAACACCGACTCTTGAGCAGTGTTCTTGCGAATAACTTCCTCAAGATTCCCAACCAGTGCACTAAGCACATCACTCAACTCCAAAACTTCCTGCATTTTCGCTTCTTTGACAGGACCGTCGAATGATAACTCGGACGTATCCTCAAGCAGGCCAGAAATGACATTCGTGAGGTCATCCAGCGCAGACTTTGAACGCTGTAGGAGTGTTTCGACGTCGGCATTGGCATGAGGATGTGGGTATAGAGATGTGTTAAATGTTGTCGGGGATGAGAAGGTGGTGGAAGTGATGGAGGCTGCGGAATTCGTGGAAGAGACTATTTTGAGGTATTTCTTGAGATCCTCCATACAATCCTTTGCACGATGAACTGGGTCTTTTGTGATATTCCAATCGTCCTGTTGTTCTCGATTCTCTCCACCCCGTTCAGCCTGTTCGGCCTGCTCTCGAGCGCTAGCTTCGACATTCCGAATACAAGTGTTGAGTATTTCTCTTGATAATCTGAGTGAATACAACAAGAAAAAGAATCAGAACAATGGTCGTTCACAGTCGCTATTTGTAAAGCAGGTGAGAATGAAATATATATATATATTAAATTTAAACATGAAAGTGAACTGGTAACGAAATGAGGAAGAAGCAGTATTACAACCAAAAGAGAGAGAAGGCGAAGGAGGCAAAATCAAGTAAAAGAAAAGACAGATAAACTTACTTCGCGTATCCCTCTACCCCTGGTGGAATCTCTACGTCCAAACACCTCAGCGTCCTATTCACCTTGACGCCCTGTGCCAGTGCCATCACCCCCGCTTGTCCCAGGCCGCCTAGCCCTGATCCGCTTACTCCACTCAGACCCAGAGACTTAGAGCTCACCTCCGCAGCAGAGTTCCTCGTCAAATCTAACCACCTCAACCCCCTGTACTCGCCCATCCACTCCGCCAGCGCAATCGCGCCTGCGTCGCCTAGATGAGTAGCGGAGAGGGAAAGACGAGTCAAAGTAGTATTGAGAGCGAGAGCAAGACGAAGAGCGTGAAGGCCTTCGAGGCCGAGGTTTGGTTGGGCTTGTGGTGGGGCAGACGAAGGATGAGAGGAAAAAGCAGAGCCTGTCGTTGAAGGATGGGGATTTGAATAGAGTTGTGAACGTGGTTGCGTGTGAGCGGTTGTCAGTGAAACGTTGGACGGTGGATTCGGTTTATACGAAACGAAGGAGGTTGTTGAGGATGTGGGCGTTGACATGGAGGGCGTGTAGGAACTTGCGTACGACCGTATGGAAGAAGATGATGAACTCGTTGAGTTCGTCGAAGAAACGGTAGACGATCGAGTCAACGTAGGATCGCCTCCTGAGGCAATCCCTACCCCACCGACTACGCCGCAACACGGATTCCTACCTAAATCCAATTCCTCCAATGCTGCATTATACTTCAACGCTTCAGCGATGACCACCAGCGCCTTCGGGTCGAGTTTGTTATCTTGGAGATTAAGGGACTTCAGGGTTCGATTTCGTTTCAGCACTTGGGCCAGATACGTAATGTGATTCTATACATGAAGAAAAAATTCAGAGTCAGAAAATGAAGACCCCGAGAGATAGAAAAGGAACACCAAAATCCCAGAGAAACAAAGATCCAACGAAACACCACTCACCCTCAACTCATTCCCCCTCAAGTCCAACACCCTCAAGCTCCCTATCCTCGGTAACGCATCCAGCGCTCTCACCTGAGTCAACAACGCCGCTGACGCAGAGTTCAACGCTGCCACAGAAGGCGGCATAGGCTGCGCACCGAGAGTCGCCCCACCATGATTGTGCGTTATAGCATTGATAACATTCGGGTTTAAAGAATTCGAATTCGAATCAATCGCATGATTTGATGCAATATCGGAAGAAGAAAGGTTGTTGGAATCGTTGGTAGAAGTCAGAGCCGTGACGCCTCCCCGACTGACGGTTGTCAAGGTTGGAGTTATCGGTGTATGGGTAAATGGTGTGGCGGATTTCATCGGGGTTAAAGGTCCGGAAGGTGTAGTAGGGGTGGGTGGCCCAGATTCGGTGCCAGGTGCGGCACCAAGGACAGCTCGTTTTGAACGAGGAACGTACGGTGTATAAGTCGTTTGAGGAGGAATTTTTGTCGGATGGATCGGTGGAGGTGGTGGGAGATTCGAAGAATGTGAAAGCGGGTGAGCAGCAGGTGGCGGCAGAGAATTAGGCTTTGAGGTTAACTCCATATTAGAATTTACAGGATGTCTCGGGGGCGGGAGAAGTGGTTTTTGGAGAGGGGCAGATGGTGACGGCTTGGCTGATAATGGTGTTTTGGAAAATGATAATGACTGGAATGCTGGGTTTGTAGTAGGAGTGGATGTCACAGGCGGAGAAGTTACGCTATCGAACAAATTCGTGAGCGCGGCAGGTCGACGAAGTCTTTGGATGGAGGTTGTAGACTGAGGATGCGAGGTATTGACTGGAGTTGAAGATGACGGATTGAGCATCGACACGGACGCCGAAGACGAATTGCTCCCCGATGCATTCCCAGACCCATTTCCACTTGGTCCTGTACCTCCTGGGACACTATCGGGCCAATCCCTCACCATCAAACTAACTGCTATCCCTCCTCTACTCCCCATCGCTCCGATCCGACAATTTCTCAATGAAAGAGTACGAAGCGACGGCGAAGTACGCACGGCGCGCGCAAGAACGTCGAGAGCAGCGGAAGATTTGATAGTTGTTGAGTCGAGGGTGAGCGAAATCACGGACGGAGAAGGAGAGTAAGAGTGAGAGTGAGAATTATGAGGTTCTAGGATTGCTGAAAGAGATTCGGTCGAAGGCGAACGGGAAGAAGATGAAGTCGAGTCGTCACCCAATGACCCGAGAGCACCTCTGACCACACTCTCCATCGCTTTCTTATCCAATACGTTCATCGATAAATCCAGAACCTTCAATCTCGATTTACTCAAATACGCCTCGAGTACGACCCATCCAGTAACAGCTCCCCCACTCACTGCACCCTTCAAGCTGCCAAAACCACCGCTAAAATTGAGTCCCCCACCTCCACCGGCAACGCTATTCTTACTCGACCTTCCCAAGCCGGAGTTCGACGCCACACTCAGATAAATCAACGTATTGTTGAGTAAAAGCGCGTGTAATATCGGTTTGAGTATTATCACGTCCAGGTTAGATTCACAGAGAATGAGCGTGCGTAGACCCCATTCGATAGAAAGCACGTCTGCGAGGATCTCGGCTTGCGTTAGAGAAAGAGAGATACCGGTAAGATCAAGGGTACGTGGTGCAGATGCTGACATGGAAGACGGCAAAGCAGAGATGGGGTTTGGGTTGGCGGTGATTGGCGTTAATGCATTATTCGTTGAGTTTGGATTAGTGGATAGGGTTGTTAACGAGGTGGATGCTGCAGCGGAGGTAGAATACCTCAATAAGGCTTTGGATATAGCTGGATCTGGAAACTCGTCTGATGCAGCGCAACATTCTTTATAGAATGCGCCGACCTTATCCATGCTCCACCATCCTGCGCCTGATACTCCTATCGGTGTCGGAGGAGAATCAGTGGAAAGACCATAGCGATAATCCTCATTGACTGGAGTCGTATATCCGCTCGATTCGCTCTGGTTGGTGGTAGACACAGCGGAACCACCGCTACCTATAGAATCACCGCTCACAACCTTCCTCCTCCTTTCCCTCTCCCTATTCTCTACCGCCTTTTTCTCCATCTGAGTCGTTGGTGTCCGTGGAGGCGCAGAACTCGATATGGGGTACACAACAGCCATATGCGGGAGAATAAAGTGTGCGCGTTTGAGAGCGGGATTCAACGGGGGCGTCGAAGAAGGAACAGTATCGATTGGCGGTTCTGGAATGGTGGCGAGATTTGAGTTCACACTTGAGGTAGCATTACCACCAGTTCCGCTTCCAAAGAACTTGCCCAACCCACCCATGCTCATTCCTCCGATACCATTGACGCTGATTCCGCTCGTGATCCTCGACAACAGCCCAGTAGGAGGTGGGGGTGGCTTTTTCAGGATGCTCTTCCCTGGGATAGGGATTGTCACCGAAGATGTGGATGCGCGACGAACAGGGGGTGTTGGACGAGGAGAGAAGGAAGGTGAAGAAGGTATTGGTGAGTTTGGGATAGGCAAAGGAACGTTAGGAGAGGAAAGAGGGTTGGGAGACGCCAGAGGTGGTGATGATATGGGTGAAGAAGCCATTATAGCTGTTTAGGCTTAAGTTCACGTCGGAACGACTAAAGACAGATAACATACCAGGATAAATGCGGAGTATAAATCGATTATATTCAAGGCCTAGTAAAGGAAGCGGTCGCTCGGAAGGGTAGATCGCTGGGTACCTGCTCGCTGTTGATGCTTTTAAACATACGCCTCCTTGTTCCTCCTAAATTCTAGTCAAACTACGGCTTATAAGACGTTGAGAGTGCCACGATTCCAATTGTACTCTGCAACCAAAGTGAGTGTTGGCAAATAGATTATCCTGTGGGCGTAGTCGAAAGTCCAATGTATCCTTGATCTTATGTTCCGCTATGACGAGTTAAACTGTAAGCGGGAAAACAAGCCTTGGTAAGCTCATAGCGGCGCTAAATAAAGATGAACGTACGACTACCAAGGTTTGTTAGGCCCTTTCTCTTGAGTTTTCCGTCCGTCCGTTTGATTTCAGAAAAAGGAAACTTGGAAAGGAATATGCATACACGTGGCGTGGAAATTTGACGCCCATCTGGTGTTGCGCATCAATCTGGCATCAATGCATCAAATTTCACCTCACACTTCAATCCTCCGACACAATTTCTTCGACCAGCATCATATTATGTTTTTCAATCATGCCACTCATGTGCTTGCGTACTTGAGCCACCATGGAATTTGTTATAAAAACCTCAACTAGCTTACCGAGGAGGCTGAGCGCTGAGCAGCTCTCTGCAGCTCTCTAAAAGGCGGCAATGAGGCAAGTGTGGATAGTACAGGGATAGTACAAATCTTGGGTCTAAGGGAACGAGTTGAGTGATGATCTGACCGTTTCTTCGTATTAATTGTCAGATGGTCAGGAGATGTCATGATCTGCGAGTCGCATGTTCGATCTCTTCTATCTCTGTCCACAGTCGGATGGGACGTAAATGCGCCAACCCTCATTAATGTATTGCTGTTTCTGAGCGTCGCAGTCACTATTTGGCTGACGCTTTAGAGGAGATCTACGCTAACCACCACTGCACGGGCCAAAGTCCAAACGACTGTCATCTTTCAACAGCAAACTGAGTGTGCTTCCACACCGATACGAACTCAAAATATCTTGAATCTTCGAGTTTCAAGGCAATAATTTATCAAAGAAGTTTGAGAAACTGCAATGAGATAAAGTCACTTGATCATCTTTGTTCACGAGTGCTGAGACGTATGAAAACTGTGGATAGATAAATCGTATCGTGAAGCCCAACTCAGTACGATATAAAACCTGAGGAGTCTCTGCCTATCGATCTATCAGTTCGATTCGAAGCATTTGCGGTGCGTAGGGCTTATCATGATTCAATGTATCGACCCACTTGACCCCTGCGGCGCAGTTTTCAGATGACAACCACGGGGTGATACAGTGGGCGTAGTCAAAGACTAACATGAACACCCTCCCCTCTCGGGCACGTCCTCTACTTCTATCAAGGTTCATCTTGGCACGGTCAGACTACGCAGGAAATTGCCGCGTCGTCAGATGCGCAGTGTATATAATGCCCTTCGAGCCTTCAGAAATTCCAGGCAAACGCCTTTCCTCACTTTGACTTATAACACATCGCTGCTACACTCTACTATCAAATCATAACTACAATGCCGCCACGTCCAACCACAGAAGGCGGTACAGCTTGGGGAGGAAGAGGGAGAGGCGGAGGCGGAGGTGCCCGTGGCGGCGGACGTCCTCAAAGTATCGGACGCGGAGCTCAGACGACTAGTGAAGGCCTCCAGCCCTCTGGGTCAACAGGTATTACCTTGTATCATGCCCCTTTTGCATTTGTTTCATCAATATCGAATTTTCTTCTTTTCTTTCTTTTCTTTCTTTTCATTAGCCCATATAACGACCGTTGGCGTCAAACGCCCAGGATATGGAACCGCAGGAAGAAATATCAAAGTCAAAACTAACACCTGTGTGGTTCAGGTGCCCCAGAAGATCATACACCACTACGATGGTATGTTGATTGAATGGCTTTGAATGGTTGATGATCATGATAGCTGATCATCTTATCTGCTCTCGGAACTACTAGTTGGTAAGCCATTTCGAACCAGGTCATTCATTGTCCCGTATCTACAACAAGTGACTCATGTTCACCAGACATCGTCTCCGAGAAGACACTGCCTCCACGATTCACAATGCAACTGGTGAAAGAACTCCAACAAAAAGAGGAATTCCTTCCCAAAGGGAGTTACGACGGAAAGAAAAATCTGTTCATGCCACATGTCATTGATTTTGGAGGTGCTGATATGCGAGAAGTAAGTCTCCTGCGTAGCCTCGTTATTGAAGTTCCAACCGACTCATTTGTGAAAAATCAAAGTACGATGTTGTGGTAAATGGTAGTTCCCAGCCAGGAGGCAGACCACCACCTGTGTTCAAGATTCGAATCAAGAAGGTTGCGGAGATTAATCCAGTGTGAGTTAGTATACTCTACGCGAAATTTATGAAGCCATAATGCCAAATATTCTCTTTTTTCAGAGTATTGCAACGTTTCATTAAGGGGAAACAATCGCAGGATGAAAGTGTCCAAACGGCACTAACGGTCAGTGTACTCTAGCAGCACAGTCTAGTGCTGATCCTTACTAACAAGACTCACAGGCATTGAATGTTGTCATCCGAATGCTTCCAATGCAGAACTATCCTTTCAACTCCAGATCATTCTTTATTAAGACTGATTTCAAGAATGTTGGTCACGGATTTCAGCTACGCAGAGGATATTTCCAATCCCTTAGACCTTCACCGGGTCATCTTCTCCTGAACATTGACCTCTCCACAGGAATGTTTTACAAACCAGGACCTTTGATCAGTGTTGCACTCGAAATCGTGAGCAATGCACGTAACCCCGACCCAAATCTCTTATCCACAGACCGCGGGCTTCCCGATCGTATCTTCAAAGACCTGGAACGGTTTTTGAAGAATGTTCGTGTATCGGTGCAGCCAGCAACAGCCAGGTCTCCTCCAAAAGTTCATACCATTAGTTCATTGACACGGGAAGGAGCGCAGGGCATTACATTCAACACAAGAGATGGCACTCCCACAACTGTTGCTTCATATTTCCACAATCTATCAGGAAGGGCACTTCGTTATCCAGATATCATATGCGCAAAGGTCTGTCATTAATCAATCATTCTTGTACTACTACTTTGCCTTGACCAATTTGTGTCCATGCCAAGACTGCAAAAGGTGCAGTGTTACCTTTCGAACGCTGCACTATCTTGGATGGACAGCTTGCGAGAAAGCAAATTCCACCAGATGTTACCAGACACATGGTTGATTTTTCAAAGAAGAGCCCAGCGGAGAGACTCGCGAGTATCAAAGATGGATTCGGGGTTAGCAATCCCTATTGATTTTCAATTTAGAGTTGCTGATACACCTTTCAGGTTCTTGGTCACACCGAATCTGAATATGTGCGGAATTTCGGATTGGATGTCAATGAAGATACATTTCCAATGGTCACTGATGCGCGACAACTACCTGCTCCGAAACTCAAGTACGGTGAAGGAAGCAAACCCATATTTGCTGTGAGCATTGATCTATCTATGCTTTTGATACCTCAATGGAAATTATTTGTCATTTAAGGAACCCCGGAATGGCGCATGGGACATGCAAGTTTCTTTCTCTTTGGCGATAGAATATTCATTCACTCCTTCCTATCTATCCTCTACACAGGCGAAACAAAAAAATGATCAAACCGCAACGTTTCAACAAATGGGTTATGATCATTTTTGAATCAGTAAACCGTTTTGGGCAGGAAACTGCTGAATCAGTGGCTCACGATTTTGTCAATGGCTGCAAGAATTTTGGTCAGTGATTAAAAACTGTGTTAGCTCAATTGCTGAAGGATATTCATGTGTCATAGGTATTGTTGTTGGAGATGACAACCCAATTATCCAATATGGAGCAGGGCAAGCAACCACTTTGGTAACAAAATTTTCCATTCCCCACAAAGTAGACAGTTTGCTCATTCTTCAACTTGTGGTTGACAATGCCAGGTACTAAGAGAAGCTGGTAAGAAGTGTTTGGACAAATATAAGGTTGTCCCAGACCTACTACTTGTAATCCTTCCGGATGGCGGGAGGGACATTTGGCATGCAGTAAAGTAGTGCGTCTGATCATCTTCATTCTATAATTCGAAGGATCAAACATGTAAAATAGCTTTGGTGACGTTGAAGTATGGTTCCTCTATTCTTCAATTTCATTATCCTCTCACCATTCTCTGCAGCAAGGAGTGGTCACGCAGTGTTTGATGGCAACTAAATGTAACAGAGCAAGTGGCCAGTATTGGGCCAATGTTTCTCTCAAGTAATTGGCTAACTCAATTCCTTTTTCCTTTCCATTTGTCTAAAAATCTGACTCGGTGGTCTTCATATAGAGTGAATCTCAAATTTGGAGGAATCAATGCTGTCCCTGATGATGCAAATTCTACTATTATCAGTGACTCCATAAATCCAACGATCATAATGGGTGTGTTTTGATCCTCATGTGTCCTGTCCATTTGCCTCCTCATTATTTGTTTTCTGGAACTTTGAGGTGCGGATGTCATGCACCCCGCTCCTGGTTCAGATGCGCCGTCATATAGTTCTCTCGTTGGAAGTGTTGATAGTAGGGCTATCAAATATATTGCAAAGATCAAAGTGCAGACATCCCGCCAGGAGATCATCGCTGACCTTCGCACTATGGCTATGGTCAGGGATGAACTGTTCGATTTCTTTGAGAAAGATGTTTGATAATACTTGTTTGATTTTATTACACAGGATATAATCCGGGATTACCAAGATTATCAACAACAAGTTGAAAAGACATCTGGGAAACCCAAGCGGTTAATCTTCTTCAGAGATGGCGTGTCTGAAAGTCAATTTAAAGAAGTGATGCAACAAGGTACTTCTTCACAGATAATCCTATGTTTACCCTATCCTCATGGCATCCATTCCCTTCTCACTCATGTAGAGGTAGATGTCTTAAAAAGTACGTTCCTTTAAGTTCAACAATTGGACCACCTCATGTTCAAAATCTTCATGTTGCTGTAACAGAGGTCTGCGCGGACCTCGAAATCTCTCCAAAAATAACTTTCATCATTGTCGGAAAAAGGCACCATTACCGGTATGTATGTCTTCTCCCACAACTTTATTGATATTCAAAGTTCACCTTCCTCGAAAGTTTTTTTCCTTCGAACCCTCAAAACAAAACAGAAGCAGATCCCAAGGGAAATTGCCTCGCCGGAACCGTTGTGGACAAAGGCATCACCCACCCGCTCGAGTTTGACTTTTACCTCCTAAGTCATGGAGGCTTACTGGGAACCTCTCGCCCAGCTCATTATTCGGTATGTACTTAGGAGTGACTCCTCTGACAGGTATTAGTAGTAATAAAGTTCTTGTGTGCTGATAAATACCGTTCTTGCCAGGTTTTATACGACGTAAGTTTTCCAACTCGATCGGCCTTTATCATACTATCGATGAGTTTTCTTGCGCTCATGTTTCTTACTACCTCAGGATAATGGATTTAAAGCTGACTCAATTCAATCCATTTGCAATCTATTGTGCTATATGTATGGACGTGCGGTGAGATTCTAATATCTTTTTCTTCCAGTATTGCCTTTGTGTACTTGTACTCATGCTCGTTTTAGTCGCGGTCTGTCTCCATCCCCGCACCAGTCTATTGTATGTTCGTTCCCCTTCTACCCGCTGTATACATTCGAGGGAAACAATGCTTATCACTGACTTAGATGCCGATATTGTCTGTTCGCGGGCAAGAAACCATTATGATCCCAATGCTGATGGGTTTTCGGAATCTTCGAGTATTGCTACCAGCGATGCGCTACAGAGCTTCAAACCGCTCCATGTTCGACAATCGAAGAGGATGTATTTCATGGTAAGCCTTTAATGGTTTTCGCATCTACATCCCTTGATTTTTCTGTCACCTATTTCCTTTATATAGTAAACGGACTAGGAGTGGGCCCGAGTGCGTTTTTTTTTTGTTGTCCTTGGTAGTATGTACAGTTCATGTCTACTATCTTGTAACTTGTTATGTACGTATATCAATATGCCGAGTTTCGATAACTCGGTTATTTAAAACTTAAAGGAAAATTTTTTGTTTGATCAAATCATGATGACTGAGACCTCGATTATCGATTCTTTCTACCCTCCATAAAATCTCCAACAACCAATCTTCCAGACTCCCGGGCCATTAAAGGTTCGTTCCTTGGCTTGACCATTGCATCTTCAAATTACAATCATTATCATTGGCGCAGGCATCGGTGGACTAGCCACATATCATGCATTCCGAAAATATCTCCCCTTTGCCACTATTCAGATCTACGACGCCCACCCTTCTCCTCTCCAACCCTTGTCAGATGACAAATACAACAGCAAACTGCAAGTTATCAGAGGAAGGGTCCTCGGGGAATTTCCGTTTGGGAGTAAAGAGCGGTATGGGTATGGGCAGCTCATGGCTACACGGGCGATGGTCCATGAGGGATTCTTAGTTGGGGAGGATAGGGAGGTGGATGGGAATGTAAATTGGAGTTCGAATGTTTTGAGGGTTTGGGAGGAGACAGATAATGAAGGCTGTGTATGTGTTGAATTTGTGGATGGGAGAGTGGAAAGGTGTGATTTGCTTATTGGTGCAGACGGGGCAAGGAGTCAAACGAGAAATGCGCTTTATGGGGAAGAATATAAACCTTATTACGAGTTGAGTTGTCTCTTTCATTCTGAATGTTGAATTGACTTACCTTCTTATTGCAGCAGTCTAACCGGCTTTGGCGGGTTCACCCCTCTTTCCTCCTTTACCCCATTCACTCGAGATGCCTTAATCAAAACCCCAAAACCTACCATCGCCATGTCCCGGATCGGCGGGCTCGGGTTCTCTCTCCTCGCACCTCTCAACTCCCCCGACACCCAGAAAAAACTCATCTGGTTTTCCCACGTTGAGACAAAGAACCCCCTCCCTCCGATTTGACATGATGCCCCTCCTCCTTGATCGTCACGGGAGTTGGAAATCCATCTACGATGATCCTGGGGATGAATGCAAGACTCTTTTTCGGCAAATCATTACTGTTGCTTGTGGAAGCAAGGAGGGTAATAATTGGTTGATGTTGCCCAGGCTCTATACTCCAGCTTGTCACCTTATTGAACTTCGGTAGGTGGTTTGTCAGGGAGTCAAGCAAAACACGGTTGTGGAAGGATTATTCTTGTCGGTGATTCGGCGCATGCTATGCCACCTGAATCTATGTAAGGACTCACTAAACATAGCCCAAAGGAAAAGCACTAACCAAATTATCACTCAATGAAAACAGGTGCTCATGGCGTGTCGTGTGCAGTTGAAGATTGCCTTACTCTTGCTCTACTCTTGAAACACTTCCTAAATAAACTCCATTCCGAAACTGGCGTGGATATCTTGAAAGCAGACATCCCACAAGAAGTCATCAAACATGCTATCTTAAAATCAGCTGAAGCTTACGAAGCTATCCGTATACCTTGAGTCAACAAGATTCTGACCCAGGTAAAAGGGAAAGCGGATCGAAAGAAACAAATTGGGTGGGTGCAGGATAAGATTCGGGAAATTGCGGTTTGGGTTATGAGTAAGTACATCCTTGTTTCTTTTCTTTTGGTGTGAGCTGAAGCACTGATCATTATGTTCCCGTACAGGCTATCTTCCCGAGTCATTCCTACACGACGAAATATTTGGGTACGACGTCAAAGTACATGTGGCCAATTATCTTGATGTGTCTGAGGATTCCCTGTGATCATCCACTACTTAGTATATCTAGTAAAAGATTTCAGGTAGACCAATATTGTAACAAAGCTGGCTGTCGAAGCATGTAGAGTCCCGGCACGCGAAACAGTTTCAGTTGATAGAGGTCTGGTGTGAGCAAAACCAAGGTTGAAGTAGTAGTGTAGTATGAAATGTACCGGTCAAGAAGTTTGATTTTTCCTCCATCTGTTCTGTCCTTCTCATCAGTTAGACTCTGTGATCTTACCACAAATCTCTAAGAACGCATTCGCAAGCTTCTCAAAATCTTCTATCTGCTCCAAAAACACATTAAACATAGTCAATAAACGTTGGAGTTTGCTCAACACGAGTACTACATACGTCGTTGTAGATTTGAGCGCTCACTCGTGTCCACCACTTGTCTTTCCATAAGAAATACGTGGCGTATATTTTATATGTCTCCAGAAGCTGCTCAGAGAAGAGGAAGTATATCTCCTTGAAGGACTTTCTTGTGGTACTCGATAATGGTAGCTCCACGTTGACCTGGAAACATGGAGAAATTTGTGAGTTTGACGCACCAAGTACGGGTGTAAAGGATGGTTCAAGGGAAAATGGGCAGCATGGTTGCATTACTTACCATATTAGCAATCAGCTCTCCAGGATTTTCGCGACAGTCTAATAGTGTTGTGTTCATGATCTCCGCCATACGTCGACCTCCTTGCAAAGCAAGTTCGTGGCAATATTTCTGGATCATTACCTCTCCCCCGATCTGCTGTCGAAATTTGATTGCTATTTCGAAAAATGAACAGATAATTGACGAAATTGTTTTCCGAGTCAAATGAACCAATATAGCACAGCACATACCAAATACAATGCTAATAGGGGGAACGGGATCTATCAACCCAGTCCCTGTGCATTGTGAGGATACAAGGCATCGAATAATCATGGTATAAATGTAAGGTTCATGATCAGAAATCGAAAACTTCGTATACTTATACAAAGGACTCAAAATACTCAACAATAAAATTCCTGCACAAACCGAGTGGGCGATAATCCGGAACTGGCGTACTTTAAACCAGGCAGTACTCCCGAAGTAATCATATCTTGATTGCTGACGATAGATGAATCAGTACAAGATATTCATGGGACTCAGATACCAAGGGGTGTGTGCGTACTGACCGAAAAGGCACATATAGAATAGCGCATCCACGTTTAGCATAACCCCACTTGGCTCCGTTCTAATCCCAAAATAATATGCAATGATAAATCAGTGAACGAAGGGAAGTAGTGCCAGTCCATACACACCGATACCCAGAAATCAGGATCTAAAGCTTTGAGATCGGTATTAAGTTCCTGTCCCAGCGAATGAGCAGCATCAACAACACTCCAAGCTTCTTCCGCTCGACAAATTTGAACCATATCTTTCCATGGCATGAGGATTCCTGGAGAAGACGTTATACTTTCGATGACGACTACTATTTTGCCTGCTGGAGCGGTCGTTGCACCCCTAGCAGCAGCGCTGGTACCAGCGGTAGCGTGGATCTGAGTGTTCAGCAAGCGTAAATGAAGACGAAATTGATCCAGGATAGAAGAATGAGAGAGCGGTAGGTTCAACGCGAATGTAGAGTGCCGAGGTCGGTTTTCTCCTGCACATATTTCTTCAATAATTGATAATATGGTATCGTATATTGTGTCAGCTGTTTTTTTTTACAAGCATCAGTCTGAGAAAGGATATATGTGAACTAGGATACAAACTAGAGACAATGATGTCTTGAGATGTCCACTTGAAATTTCGTAGGACCGTTGCAATCCCAGCAGAGACGCCAGGTACAAAGACACATGTATCCCGATCCACACCAATATGGTCTGCAACTACCGCCCTTGCAGCATCAATCTGAGCATTGTATTCTTGACGGATATATCGATCTGGATTACGCTCAATGTACCGGGACAATATTTCACCCGCTTCATGAACAGCCAGAGGCACTGATCCAAAAGATCCTGTATGTATCTCATCATCAGTCACAAAGAGTGATTTCAACATATAATATAAGCTTACCGTGGTTCAAGTTGGTGTATTCTTCATCCAGCATGAAAAACGAACGGGCTTCTTTTCCATATGTTTTTGGCGGAGAAGTCGTCTTGAGAACATGTAGAATACTGGTGTTTACCTCCTCTGCTGTACTGAGTTTTGACATTTTCTCCACTATCTGGAAGTTGTCGTTGAAATTCTGGGGTATTCCTAGTGTAGCAAGCACTTATATATAAGTATCAAGCAACAGATGATCAGGTAAGTTACAGACAAATCTACATCATGATATGCTGATGAAATTGTTACGATCTTTCTTGACCATTTTCTAGGGCTTGGACCATATTGGTTTGTAACATATCTGTTTGGTTTGATTATTCGGTTCCTTGGATCGGATGGATTACTATGGATAGATACACATAGTATGCCGCTAGTTTGGCATTCAGGTTGAATAGTGTCTGATCCAGTTTACTAGAAACCGTATCGGTGGCGTTGAACAATGGCATGAACTGTCACTATCACTAGAGGGAGCCCACTTTAGAACAAGTGGGTGTTGAATGCGCCCTGTAATCGTAAATATCACACAAACCACTGAAATAACGGTTGAAGGAGACGTGAGTATGTACGAAGCGGGAAAGGAAAGAGAACCGGAACAAAGAAGGGGATAGAGCATTATCCCAGTTAAGTATCGACTGCTGAAAGCTTTCACAGCGGACATGAGAAATTGTGTAGTCCAGGGTAGAGAAGAGTGTAGAAAGAGATGCGACATACGTAAGCTCCCAAATCAAGACGGACACTAGAGTATTTGCTACGGGATAAAAACGCGACGCGATTTTCACCCCGAGATGACGTCGAGATGGAATATGTGACGTCTCGATTCTTGCTTGAACAAAACAGAGAGTGACCCACGTGTTTTGACGACCTTCGAGATAACGACGGGCTGAAACCCGCTGCAAATACTCTAATCACAAGCAATAGGGTTCATACAACCGAGTCGAAGAAAAAGGTTGTGAATAGTCGTGAGGGTAAACGAATTGTATGTTATCACCGACTGAGCAATATGCAGCTTTACGCGAATATCAAAAGGTAAGGCCAGCTCTGTGTATATAACCTTTTAGCTGGGCGTCATACACAACGAAAATCAAGATCAGAAAATACGTTTCTACGCCAAATATCGTATCCCCCATCGTTCCAGAAGATCGTGTCGTGAAAAGACTCCGTGATGAGTTAGGAACAGCAACACGAAAGGACGTTGATATGAGGTTGAAAGCCGGAGGCATGGATGGGAATAATCACAGACGGGATCAATGAGGCTCAATTAGGCACTGCTAGGGAGCGCCGTCTCTTCAACCACCCTTCGACTAGAATCCCCTACCCAGGCTCAGCGCGATAACCGTAAGATTTGCAGGTATTTGACGACAACGAAATTTACAGATGTGCTCAGTGGAACACTGGGAAGAAGAATTTCGGGGTTTCAATTTCACGTGGTCCACTTCGTAAGTGGCGAAGTTAGTGTGCTATTTGTTCTTCGGCCATATTTTTTATAACGTTACTCGTTAAACGCAAGCTCTCGGAGGAACTACTCAAGGAAAAGATGCTCTCAGTATCTATACTGTGTCCCGCTATAGTTGCGCTCTATGTCATCTTCTTGTTGGAAATTTATTGAAATAGCACTTCTCTTGCCCAGATGCCAAACGTCGAATAGCTGTCTGAGCCATCGGACTACCATCATGATCCTCTTAGCTGGCGGTGTCCTTCTAAGGACGGTCACCTCTGACACAGCCAGTCGTCACGCTCTCAATGGTGATCCAAAGTCCCGCAGCGACACACACTTGTCACTCTCGACGCTGCCTATTTCTATACTCCCTGCTCTCTCTCTCTCAATTTCGAGGCCTTTGCTCAATGTTACCCCTCATCGAACACGGAGATTTTGCGCTCAAAAACCTCCGAAGATAGTCGATGAGATCTGCAATCCATTCATAGGGAACTCGTAAAGTTCGCCCTTCCATCATGATATCAATGTCGATGCAAGATGTCAGTGCAACAAAGGATTGTTCGGGCGCATTCTCCGTGACCGTCACTATCATAAGTACTAGCCTGGCAACTCGTCTAGCTCAATCATCCTTTTACTTCTATACCCCCCTTTGACTCATTCCTTATCCCTTCTCCCATTGACGACTTTCGTCAAAATGCTTTTCCTCTTGGCCTGGTGAGTTATTGTCATAATTGACGACCGTTATTAAGATAAAAAATTGGTTACAAGGTTGCCGTTTTTTCTTCACTCTGTTGTTCAAACAGTGTCATCCGCGAGGGTTATCGGACCTACTACTTCAGGCCCTACAGTGACCGTCTCTGAAAAAATAACGGCAACTTGGAGTCTCGATGCGGGGGACTCTACTCTATCTCAAGGCTTCTCTATGGTTCTCGTCAATGACGCCGCCGGTAAGGCAATTGAATGGTCTACAACGGTGAATCCCTCCGGGAAAAGCATTGGCGCTATACATCCCATTCCGACTGCTACAGGGTACGCCCCCAAGCTGTGTTCTGTCATTATCCCACTATGTCAAATCGTTTAATGCGTCATGATCGTCCAGGGTACATCGCGTTGAGATCTTAGTCTTTGGAAACTCGTACGCGATATTTTTACAACAGTCCTCCCGTTGAGTCTAACCCATTAGTGCTAGTGACTCTACGAGTTCGTCGAGTTTCGGTGTAGCTCTGTAGGCATTGTCGTCCAAACTTTTCGTAAATTTTGATAAAACTCAATACTACCGTAAAGGAAAAACAACTCGAGTTCGGACAGTGTCTCGGATACAGATAGCTCGAGTTCCAAGGAGGGAAAATCAAGCTCGTCGTCGGCGTCAACATCGATCACGACTAGTCAGCAAACATCTTCTGATTCTTACTCGTCAGTTTCTAACTCAGTCTGAATTAATGAATTGTCTATTTGAACTAAATAATGACATCAGCACCCCCAGTCCATCCCCTACTAGTGCAAATTCGAGTACCGGAGGGTCTGCATCGTTGATGATGAACGTGACAACTTCTACCCTGAACTTCCGTGCAACGTCAACGCCAACAACTCCCACCTCGATCCCCCATCCGAATTCCGAAGGCCTCAGCGATTCCGATATCGGCATTATCCTCAGCGCCGTATTCGGCACAATTATTCTCATGCTACTTCTCCTTGCCATATTCCTCATCCTTCGTCGCCGCCGCCGTCTTCGTCGTTCGAGGCCCGAAAATCAGACCCAGACCAGACCTTGGTACCAATCTGAGCGTTTCCGGTGGGGTCCGCCTCTAAGGGGATCAGAGGGCTCAAGAGGGGATAGTCCGGAACTGTACGAAACGTCGAAGACTGCCCCGATGTCAATATTGAATAACCCGGAATCATGGGATGTGTCTACGATAGCGCCTTCTGACTCGGTTTCGCGGTTTGTTTCGTTGAATAAAGGTCGGGAACTACATGGAAGAGAAAGAGAACGGGGGCGGGGCCGGGAATCGGTGCAGAGTCAGCGAATCCAGAAGAATCGGCAGAGTCAAAGTAGTCGGCAAAGTAGACTTCATATACCTGCAGGCAGCATTCATTTTAGGAAGAGTAGTAGGGATCGTAGTGATGATAACAGTAGAGATAGTACTCGAAAGAATGATCTTCAATGGAGGGAGGAGGGATCGGATGTGGGAACGAGTGTTGTGGAAGCAACAAATTGGGTCCATGCTGGAGGTCCGCAACTCATTCCCCAGATTCGCAGCAATGGAGCGGAAGGTGGCCGTCCACGATAGGAAGCTTTTCTTGTACATATGTACCCTCATCTTCATAAGTGCGTTAGACATAGACTGTCACATATACCCTTTGGACTCTTTGTGTAGTATACCACAGCAGAACAGCTTTTTCGCAATGTTTGTGCCAAATACATACTTCTACTAGCGAAGTAACAACCATGTTCTGTCGGATTGTTCGAGCGTCCCCTGATGCAACGTTTCGCAGCTGTTCTTTTCCGGCTTCAAGTCTATGAGAATGAGTAATTCCCTAAGTAATTAAAGAATTAAGAGCCATTTGTGGTGAGATGGCCGAGTGGTCTAAGGCGCTAGATTTAGGTCGTTCGAAATCTAATCTCTAGTCATTCGTGGCGTGGGTTCAAATCCCACTCTCATCAATCTTTAGAAGAAACGGTTGAATATTGGCCCCATTTTTGATTCTTGATTGAAAATCTCCGTAACACGCTTCAAAACCAAACACTTTTCTTCCATGTTTTGCCTGATTTTGTGTCTTTGCAAATGAAGATCGAGTGTAGAGATGTTTAGAAAAATTGTAAGGGGTAGAAGAGTGAAGGACTCCATGGGTGTTACCGTAAAAATATCGATAGGAGTTCAAAAAGTAAATGAGTTGATTACATACAATGTTTGTTGTTCAGAGGGTTCTGGAAATTTTATCTGCCAGCCATCATGGAATCCAAGGAACGGCGGAATGAGGGAGGGACAAGATAAGCGCAATGACACCTACGTGGCTTGAGGCGGATGTTTAATACTAACTCGTACATTGAACGGGGCCCTGGGTACAGAGAGACCATACGAGTATTTATGTATAAAAAACGGTCGGGATAATGTACAAGCGGGGTATTCGAGAGTTTCAAAGAAGAATAAAAGCAGAGAGAAGCGTGCACAAAAATCACGGGAGTTATCGGAGGATATATTTGTGTATTGCTTGAAGCAGTGGCAACATGGTACATGGTATTCTTCAATCCCGGGTAGTGATGTGCCGGCTCCGGCTCCGAGCCCTTGGGCCCTATGAGCCTGGCCGGATTGAGCCTGCCCGGGCCGGAGCCGTCTCTAGGGCTGTGGAAAGCTGAGGGCCCGGCTCAGAATTTTCAAAGGCCCCAAGCCGGGTTCTGAGCCGGGGCTGAGTACCCGAATTTTGTGCTGAAATTCTCACTTGGATGGCTCAATATTTACCTATGTGGGCATCACTAGCACCATTCTCAGCTGCAAGAATAATTAGTAAATGCCATAAACCTAAAGGTAATATTGTTGAAGTATACAATTCTGAGACTTTTGTCATTGCAGATAGGTTGGAGGTTGAATCAGATCAGTGTATTCACAGTGAATTCTTCTTAATGAGGATTGGGAAGATGTTATATTGTAAATTTCACTATAACATGATGTGGCAGCATCTTAATCTTAGTTAACAAGTCTCAAGGAAAGAACCACTTTGATCCTATTTGAAATTGACAATAGTTGAAACAACAGGCAATGATTTTGGTGCTTGTTACTTTGATAAGTCCAGTGTACTGGAATTCTACTGTTTGATTGATGTAGACTATTATTCTTAATGTTACACCCCTCTCACAAAGCTGGAGCATTAAGAAACAATTAAGCAGTGTTTTCAGACCATTGTGGCAGTGTTTTTAGACTAACACATCAAGAAATTTTGGACACAGTTTCCGCCTACCACAGCCGGGGCCCAGGCTTGAGCCGGAACCCAGCCGGGCCCTGGCTTTCATGTAGGGCCCGGCCCAAAATTTTTATGAGCTTTGGCCGGGGCTATATGAGCCTTAGCCGGGGCTTTTGAGCCGGGCCCCAGCCGGCACATCACTAATCCCGGGAGAGTCTTTAACCCACTAGAAAATATCAAATGGCGTAGCGAGCGGCAACCTGAAGAAGACGGCAGGACACAGCAAGAGAGGGGAAAGCGTCTGCGAAAAAGAAAAAGCAGCCAGAGGCGGCATCATGACGACTGAAACATAATGCGCCTGTATGAAGTTAGTTTTTACGGAAAATTCTCGAGCTTTCGTGAGAAATCCTCCAATTGTATTGATTATCTCTGCTTCAAGCTTCAATCACCATCAAATCCTCCAACCTCCGTCCTCAAGCGTCCAAAATTTCATTGAATTGCATCTACCATCTTGCAGATGCTCAGCCTTGCCTATGACACTATAACTATACTGTGCATATAGGCTGTCTCTCTTGATTAGTTCCTCATTGCACAATTAATTTAACTTCAGTTGTGTACTACACCAACTGAGAATTCATTCAGAATTGAGTCTTAATAGCAGTGTAAGTGTTGATGTAAATTGCAGAGATATTACTATAAGTACTACCAGATCCATAGTTTTTTGAATAACTTTAATAATTTTATTTCCATGGGTAACCACTTATAGTAAGTATCAAAGCAGAAAGTCCCCCTGAGAGTAGAAGCTCAAGAACATCCATGTCAATGGGGGAGGTATAGAGCACATTCAGAGGCAGTTGTTGCAATATTAGACCCATTTTCCTTGAGACACTACACAAAGTTGTTTGAGGTTCGACGTCGGACGCTTGACAACTCATCAATTGAAACTCCGGAATTTTCCGTGAAATCTGCCGTCATACGCCTGTCTCGGCGTAACGTTCTGATTGATGAGTGAAGCGTGTTTTGAAGCAGGAATACGGTACATAAGTATTCGTCAGCACTTCACAAGTTCTATGTAAGTTCGGCAACTCATTATACTAACCCATGCCTGGATATACATGGTTTCTTATATTTTGTTCTATTTTTATTGTGTTGTTGAATCAGGAATTACGAGGCTGTAGTTTACGGAAGTATCGTCCTTATATACGCCGCTGCATACAATTTTGATTTCCTTTTATGGTAGTAGTTTCACCTTATTTGGCCAAATGTAACACTGAGTTGAATTGTATTGATTTCTTGTGACCGGCACGGGATATCACGGGACTGTCACCCTCTGTCACAATTACTTTTTCTCGTCTCATTCGGTTATTCCCTGTTACTCCATATGTAGATAAGTAAATTTACTTTTATTCTGCTTTTCTCAAAGAATCAATGTCGGCGCCTGAAAGGCGCCCCCGTTTTTTTGATTCCATAATATTTAATTGATATTTAATAACCCACAAGGAAGGAGCCGAGTTTTTGCCATGCACGGTAGTGCAGTGGCCTACAGTCGCATGTAATAAGTTCGAGTACCTTAATATATACAAAGCCGCTATGGACGAATCGTTGTAACTTGTAGCAGGATTCCTAGGTTTTAGACCTTTATTATTATTAAGAGGATTGATTCTTGATCTCGGTTGGTCCGTTCGTGCCATAGACAGACTGAGATGGTCATAGATCATTTAGATGCATAGCCCGTCGTGGCCGTTCCCCGAGCTGGGGATATCATTCAACTGTAGTGTGATAGACCAATAATACACCTACGAAATATCTATATAACTCAAACAGCAGTTGCCACAAGTATTAGATAGGGTATGAGAACGAATCAAAGTGCTTGATTGGGATAACGATGAAGCGCCGCCGTTCAAGTCCGAGGGGAAAGGGGAACCTGGAAAAAACATTCGAAGGCGTACAGGGGATAACATCTTCTAAGCGAGAGGAACGGCCGAAATAAAAGCAGCCAAGCAGTGGCAAAGCAGCCCAAAGAACGAGGATGGAAGCGTCAAATTAAATGAAAAAGAGGCGCCCGGGGTGGTTTTAATTCGGATGGTATTACCGATAAGTCATTGGTCATACACCTTGGCATCGGCAAATCCAATTTCGGAAAATCTGGCAAACACACACCTGTTCTGCAAACAGTTGCACAGCGCCCCCCCTCAAGAGTTCCAGCTCAATTCACTCCTTTCTTTAAACCTTCAACCGTGCTGGCTCTCGGTCTGGGCGCTTATTACTGCTTTCAAAGATGTCCTTTCTCAAACGACCTTCAACCGCAAGACATTCAGACAGCGATGAGGAAGAAGATGACAATATCGATCCAGAATTGCGGTTAAGGACAGTCAGAACTGCTGCTTCAGCTCTAGAAGAGTCGATACGTACAGAGGAAAAGGCGCAAAGGAGGAAAACTAGACGAAGAAGACGGTTGTTCGGTAGTAGGTCAGAGAAGAAGCGGTCGCATGAGCCTCCAACTGGCGTGGATAGTGGTGCTCCTTCGACAGAAATTCCTGGAGTCCGGAGGAATGTTTATGTAAACCATCCTCTGGGTCATTCCGAACTTGACCAGGATGGAGAACCTATCGCCAGGTATGAGCGTAATAAAGTCAGGACCACAAGTGCGCTATCTATTTCTTCAAATTTTTGCTCGTTCTTATATCCTCTATGAAGAATACACAATCATCACATTCCTCCCCAAGAATCTTTTCGAACAGTTTCGTCGGTACGTCACACGTTATACTTCTGTTCAGTGATTCTTTCTAATACATTTCCACAGTGTCGCCAATCTTTTCTTCCTTGTACTCGACGTTGCACAATGTATGCATTCACGCATAACCTTACATCCTGCTGCTAACCTGTCTTTACCGTAGTATTTCCTGTATTCGGTGCCGCAGCAGGCGCTATATCCGTCCTTCCTCTCGTTTTCATTCTCGTGGTGACTGCGTTGAAAGATGCCATCGAAGATTACAGCAGAGCCCGCCTCGATGATCAAGTAAACAATTCCGCTGTCACCCGTATTGGTGGCTCATGGCGTAACGTGAATCTCGCGAAAGATCCTCGTTCGTGGTTCGACAAACTCAGGGGTGTGCCTCCTCCAGGGCAAGTCACCAAGGGTGTGCGGAAACTGCGGGAACGGGAAGCATCTGAGGCTGGCGCCGTGATGCGAACAGCGTTGATTCGGTCGAATACTTCTCAAACCGCGTTCACTGACTACCCTAGTAGTTTCGATATTCCCAATCAAGGTGCTGGAGGGAGGAAACTCGAAGATATCCAGAGTGTTGACTCGCATAGCTATCCGCCCGCAGGAGAACCCATGTCAAACCGATCATTTTCCGAATCCTCAACTCGGATTGGGCTAGGTTCTATGTCGAATTATGCTCAGAGCCACTACTCGCGTTCGAGTATCGGTGTCGTGGACTACCGAAAGCATGTCGCAGGCGCAGCTACCTGGGAACGGACTCTCTGGAAAAAGCTCGAAGTTGGTGACATTGTACTTCTCAGAGACAATGAACAGGTTCCCGCAGACGTCGTCGTTCTAGCGACTTCAGATCCAGATGGCATGTGTTATCTGGAAACCAAGAACTTGGACGGCGAAACCAATCTCAAACCTAGACGTTCTGTCAAAGCTACCATGGGGATCACTTCCGAGGAGGACATCGAGCGGTCATCATTTTATCTTGATTCGGAACCTCCACATCAGAATTTGTATTTGTACCACGGTGTTCTTCGGTACAAGGATACCATAACGGGTGAACGCAAGCAGGAGCCGGTGACGATCAATGAACTGCTGCTTCGGGGGTGTACGATACGGAATACGGCTTGGACAGTGGCACTAGTTGTTTTCACAGGCGCAGATACCAAGATCATGCTGAATGGAGGCGAGACACCGTCGAAGCGGAGTAAGATTGAAAGGGAGACGAATTTCAATGTTATGGTCACCTTTGTTCTGCTTCTTGCTATGTGTATCTTTGCGGCAATCTTGAATGGGTTGCAGGATGCCAAGACGGGTACTAGCGCCGAGTTCTTCGAGATCGATGTGGATGCGACGGATTCGCATATCCTGAACGCCCTCGTCACTTTTGTGTGCGTTTGCTCTTGTTTTTGTTCACAGCCAAAAACCTCGTCTAACTGTCTTATCTTCAGCTCATGCCTTATTGCCTTCCAAAACTTAGTACCCATTTCCCTCTATATATCCATCGAAATTGTCAAAACTATCCAAGCCTATTTCATTTCCCAAGACGTCGACATGTACTACAAACCCTATGACACTCCCTGCGTCCCCAAAACCTGGAACATCTCAGACGACCTTGGCCAAATCGAATACATATTTTCCGACAAGACGGGTACCCTCACTCAAAACATTATGGAATTCCAGAAATGCTCTATCAATGGTGTAATCTACGGTGAAGGCGTTACAGAAGCCCAACGCGGAGCAGCCACTCGCGATGGGAATACTGCGGATATGCTCAATCCAGAAGAACTGAACGAGAAACTGGCGAGTTTGAAGCAGCAGATGATCAGCGTCATGGAGAGGTCGTTCAAGAATCGGTATCTGCAACCTGAGAAGTTGACTTTGGTCGCACCAAAATTGGCACAGGATTTAACGGATAGACAGGGCTCCTCGCCTCAGAGAGCACATATCATTGCGTTCTTCAGAGCGTTGGCCGTTTGTCATACGGTCTTATCTGATAAACCAGACCCGGAGAGGGATCCGTTCCATTTGGAGTATAAAGCCGAGTCACCAGATGAAGCTGCTCTTGTCGCTGCAGCGAGGGACGTTGGATTTCCGTTCATCAACAAAGGGAAGGATGGGATAGATATTGAGGTTATGGGTCAGAAAGAGAGGTATGAGGTGTTAAAGGTTCTGGAATTTAACAGTACCCGAAAACGAATGAGCGTTGTTGTGCGGAACCCCGAGGGTAAACTCGTCCTATACACCAAGGGAGCCGACAGCGTCATCTACGCCCGACTTGCATCAGACCACAATGCGATGGTGAAAGACCAGACGAGCAAGGATATGGAGGTATTCGCGAATGGTGGGCTGAGGACTTTGTGTATAGCGTATAGGGAGCTGGAGGAAGACGAGTATCTGGGGTGGGCGAGGAGGTATGATGCTGCGGTGAATGCGGTTGAGGGGAGGGATGAGGAGATTGATAAGGCGAATGAGGAGATTGAGCGTGGGTTAAGGATCTTGGGAGCTACCGCATTGGAAGATAAGTTGCAAGAGGGTGTTCCGGAGGCGATCGAGACGTTGCATAGGGCGGGGATTAAGTTGTGGATATTGACTGGTGTGTTACTCTTAATCCTTCCTCCCTCATTTCATCGCCTTGTTTCTTTGTTTCATTTTTTTGATTTCTCAATTCAACACAAGCTAATCCTCCATGTAGGTGACAAACTTCAAACCGCAATCGAAATAGGCTACAGCTGTAATCTCCTCAAACAGCAAATGGATGTCATGATTATCTCGGCAGACTCTCCACAAGATGCGCGCGCGCAAATCGAAGCTGGGTTGAACAAGATCGCGTCGGTGCTTGGCCCCCCATCGTGGGATATCAGGAAACGCGGATTCGTACCGGGGGCACGAGCGAGTTTCGCGGTGGTTATAGACGGGGATACGTTGAGGTATGCGTTGGCGCCGGAGTTGAAGGAGCTCTTTTTGAATTTAGGGACGCAGTGTGAGACTGTGGTGTGTTGTAGGGTGTCCCCTGCACAGAAGGCGCTGACGGTCAAGTTGGTAGGTATAACGAATTATCCTTTCATTCCTATGATTCGTTTTCTAAATTCGTTGTGTTGAATGCCTTTGTCAGGTCAAAGAAGGACGCAAAGCCATGACCCTCTCCATCGGCGACGGAGCCAACGATGTGGCAATGATCCAAGAAGCCAATATTGGATGTGGGCTCTTCGGGTTGGAGGGTTCACAAGCTGCGATGTCGGCTGATTATGCCTTTGGTCAATTCCGGTTTCTCACGAAACTGTTGTTGGTGCATGGGAGGTGGTCGTACCAGCGTGTGGCGGACATGCACGCGAATTTCTTCTATAAAAATGTGATTTGGACGTTTGCGATGTTTTGGTTTTTGCCATTCAATAAGTGAGTGGGGCTTTTTTCGAGCGCCTTGGTGTGTGTGGTTATTGGGGACTGATGAATGATTTGTTGTCCTTTTTAGTTTCGATGCGACGTATTTGTATCAATATACTTTTATTTTATTGTACAATCTTGTATTTACTTCTTTGCCCGTTATCGTTATGGGAGGTAAAGTTCTTTTGATTCCTCTTGCTTACATCCCTCTCTCACTCTTCCTTTCTCCCTCTCTCACCCAGCCTTCGACCAAGACCTTAATGCGAAAGCCGCACTCGCCTTCCCCCAACTGTACGTTCGAGGAATCCGTGGCCTAGAATACACTCGGACGAAATTCTGGTTGTACATGGGCGATGGATTGTATCAGTCTATAGTGGTATTCTTCATCCCGTACCTGGTTTGGACTCTTGGGATAGCGGTATCTTGGAATGGCAAAACTATTGAATCGCTTTCGGATTTTGGGACGACGGCTTCGGTGGCTGCGATCCTTGCGGCGAATTCGTACGTTGGGATCAATACCAACTAGTAAGTGCTTTGTAATTGGTTTTGAGGTGGTTCTTGTTTGATGAATGGTTGTGTTTGTATTAGCTGGACGGTCATTACTTGGATCGTCATCTTCGGGTCGACTATCTCCATGATGTTGTGGATCACTGTGTATTCATTCTTCTTCAGCTCGGACTTTATCAACGAGGTCATTATTCTATTTGGAGAACTAACGTTCTGGACTACAGTGATATTTTCTGCTGCTGTAGCACTAGGTGAGAGACATTGTACCTTCTCCTTTATGATACTGCTATTAATTTCTGGCATACATCTTTTTGAACAGCTCCTCGATTCATCATTAAATTCATCAATTCAGCATATTTCCCCCTCGACAAAGATATCATTAGAGAATCCTGGGTCCGAGGTGACCTCAAGGATCAACTGGGAATCGGTCATCGGAAGGGGAATCGACAAAAGGATATTAGTGTCAGCGCGCTTGAAGCTGCACCTATGTTCCATGATGCCCACAATCGCTCTGCATCAGAAATTTCTCAGAACCCGTACGAGCCTACCTTGACATCAAGTCCTGGCACCGGAGGAGTTCCTCTCAGACACACGTACCTCGATACGCCTCCGTTAACAGATATCATTGAGGAAACAACGATGGCGTCTCCAGTACAATATGCATACGCTACATCCGACGATTTGATGCCTCCTTCGACAATTTTACCAGATGGACCATCGAGAGCGTCGTATTATTCGGCATCAGATCTTCCACCTCCCTCACCCCTCCCATCACCCAAGTACAAGTACTCTGACGGCACGATCACGAGTACCCCTCCAAGTCGTAGATCAAGTGTCGCGACGATGAGGACAGTACCACCACAGACACCACCAGCGAATGTCCCGTTACCTCCACCTCCCCTACAGCAACGATCACCGAATACTACCCTGATGCTTCCTGGGGCTATGGGCGATCTGACTAGACGGCTAAGTGGTGGTGGGGGTGGTGGATCATATCAACCTCCACTGAGTCCTCAATCGTATGAGATGCGAATTCGTAGTCCGCCTCTAGGGAGTCCTGGTACTAGTGAATTTAGCCATGCCCAACGATCTGCAAGTGCAGCGTCGTATGCTACGGCGAACGATGATTACTTTACGGCGGAAGGAGAGGCTGTCGTTTCTATGCCTCATCATCATCCACAACATCAGATGTTCAATTCTTATGGTCCGGGGCAGGGACAGACGCTCTCTCCCTACTATAATCAGCAATATCCTGTCCAAACACCTGGAGTGGAGGAAGACTTTGATGCTCAGACTGTTAGACAGTCGCAGTACTCGCAGTATTCTCAATATGACGATCGACGGGCTAGTGCGATTTCCGGTGTGTCGGAATTTTCTTGGCAGGGAGGGAGAGCGATGTAGTAGTCTTTTGCGGTCGAAGGTGTGTGTGCACTGCGTGTACAGTATTTGGATCGGATGGGTGTTTAGTAGTCAATCTTGGGTTGATCAAGTAGAGATGTATCATTGTCATTTACCGTTGCTTCCTCGTCGCTCCCTTTTTCTCTTTTTTCGCTTTTGATTCCATTCCTACATATTAGTCGCCTACTACTTCTTACTGTTACTTTCTAGTTTAATATTTGGTATACAAATTCAATTATCCCATCCCCAGATTATCCCCCCATCGGCTTTCTATCTATCTTTCTCTTTCCGCTTTTTTTCGTGGATCGGACGGACTCCTGCAATTCTTGATTGATCACTTACATTCGTTATCGTTGTTTTTGTACATACAGAGCGTACTGCCTGCTTTATACCAGACTCCCGATGCGATACATTTAATGGAAACTAAATTCTTCTGTAAAATCTGCTCGTAGCCGAGCGCTGATTGGTTCGGGGACTTCGGGACGAATTAACGCCCATGAAATTAATTTACACATGACTGAATGCTTCTTTCCTCAACGTTACGACGACGACATACCGCCTGGAAGTGTTGAGAGTTTTTCCCATTTCTCAGTGGACTAGCCATACATTCTCGAAGCTTTTGACGGAACCTACCGCTTGCGATTTGTCACCACGATCACTTGATAGCGTACACCACAAGAGTACATATATATCAATTCTCATGTTCCTGGAGCTAGCTTCTTAAACCTCTCCAGCTTGACTCTGTGCGACCATCATGCCTCCAATTACCACTGCTGATACGGCTGCTGAACAGCCCAGTTCATCTATACTCAAGGAAAGAAGATTCAAGTTAAGCAGGTAAAGTTTTACCTCGATCTATCTGTTCTTGCCTACTATATTTACCTATTGATTTAGAGCATGCGACAGATGTCGGTGAGCTTAATCGTTTCGTGTCAGTGGAAGAAACATGTTGAGGACTGTCGTAGACGTCGAAGAATTAAGTGTGATGAGGGACATCCTTGCCAGGCGTGTCTAACGGCGAGTTCCGCTTGTACTTTCGAGGAACCTGGGAAGAGAACTCACCCTCATAAATCCAAGTATGTCATACATATAATATCGGACCTGTATACAATGTTGAAGTGCGTTATGCTCAAGGCGTACAGCAACTCTTGAAGACCGGATGCATCACCTTGAAACCTTGATACAAGCGATTCCTCCCGCAGTCTTCGCGGCAGGTGGAAACCCAGCACCCAATCCTCTTAACCCGCCACAATCTGATACTCCAAACGCTGCTACCGCTGTACCGTTCATGTATCCTAGCTTTCCTTCAGGGATACCTCCACCATCGTTGCACGTCTTTCCTCTTACCAATCCGTCCACTCATTTCACACCGGAATTGAAGCCGGATGATATGCAACAATCGAGCCCCTTGAGCTCTTTCCAAACATTCATGGGTAGCTTCTATAATACTCAGAATGCTTCCAACTCCGAACAACTTGCAGAAGAAGCTTCGAGACTTTCCCTGACTGCTTCATATCTCTATTTTGACGATGAAGGCTATACGAGATGGCAAGGAGAAACTTCTGGGCTTCCCTTGCTCGATCTTCTGATTGAACGCAAAGCCCCAGAGTCAGCCACGGTGACCAGTATTCCTTCTGAAGCATCCCCTACAGACGCTCCAACCGCTAATTCGGATTGGTTTCCGAATCGTAGCCTTCGGAGAACAGATGTCAATCCTCAAACCCTTTGGAGAATGATCACCTCCGTCATTCCCCCAGATCTCATGGACAGGTACAATTATTCTTTTTAATCTTAAATTTTCCAAACTGACTTTCTTCTTCGTTATCAGTCTCGTTCAATGTTACCTTTCTACATCATATTACATATTGCCGTTCCTTCATGTCCCTAGTTTTCTCTCGGTGCGTCTGAACCTTGTCCACATTGGTGTTCCGCCTTCAACCCTCTAACTCTATCCATTCCCATCAGGACTACGGAAATCCGCAAAAATGGGGTGAGCCTGGTTTTGCAACCTTTATCGTGGCCATCTGCTGTTTAGCTTCGCGACATATGGACGATCCCCGAGTTCGCGCCAATCCTACAGATGGGATATCAGCTGGGACACATTGGTTTGAATTACTCGGGCGGCTTCGCACGCTGCCAATTGCTGACCAACCCACCCTTTACACGATTCAAGCCGACCTTGTTGCTGCTGTCTACGCCGTTGGCCTTGGACGACTGTCTAGAGCTGCTGCACTCCTTTCGGAAGCTGTCACTGTGTCTATTGATGCTGGCCTACACAGGTCTGCAGATACGTATGATCTGTTTGACCCCATCGAGGACGAGATTCGAAAACGCACGTTCTGGTGCGTTTATATCTGGGACAAGCAGCTCAGTGCACATTTTGGTCGCCCGCCTATCATTCGCTTGAGGGATTGCGATGTGGCGGAGCCGGCGGCGGTCGACGACGAGTTCATCACGAAAGATGGCCTTGGTGTACCGCCGCTTGGAACTGAATGTCGCATGACTGCCTTCATTTCTGCCATCCGAATCATGACTGTGTTAGAATCAGTCACCGACGTCCCGCCCATTAAACAATCCTCTTCTCCCTTCCTTGCACGAGCTACCGCAATGCTAACAGGAATGAAAATCTTCAATGACTTGCGTGATGAGGAGGCGCTGCTGGATGAGATTCACAACAGTATTCCCGCTTATTGGGCTCATTCCACCGAAACTCTGGCCAGTGACGACACTATTCGCGTTACACAGGCTCAGAGAATCCACTCCGCTGAACAATTTGTACGGATGTTGATATACAGACATCGTTTCACGAAGCGGGTAGCGGAAAGGATGAACGGGGACGAGGACCAAAAGCAGAAACAGAGTAATGAGGAGAGGGATGCTATGATGTCTGCTCATGCTTCTGCGCTAAAAATTATAGCTGCTCATGTACATATTGCTGGCAAGGGTTTAATGACTTACTGTGAGTCTTTCTCCTCTGCTCATATCTTTTCATTTCGAATTTGCACTCATGCAGAGTCTTCTCGTTCACATAGTTGGTGTCCATGTAATTCATCAGTTAACCCAAGCGGGAAGGACATTGGTTGCCATCCTGCTCAATTGCAAGTCTGACGTGATGCAGCCATTGATATCACCCGGCCTCGACGCTTTGCGGTCTTGTGTTGCTCTACTTCGCAGGTTCAGTGGACGTTATGTCTGTGGAATACGCTCTGGAGATCTTCTGGAAGAGTTTTGTCGATGTAGGTCTTCACGTTATGTCGTCCTATTTCAAGGTTAATGAAGCTTTCCATGCTCTAGTGACCGAAATTCCCCTTGAACCCACCAGACAAGGTAGTCCCCAAAATGACAGCCGTCCCGCGTGGATCAGGCCAGTACGCAAGAAAACTCTTTCTTCCGCCACAAGATCAAGTCAAAGTGGGGATTCGCCCTCGCAACTTGACAACAGTAGTCCAGAAGCTTTCTCTCCTTCGGATTTTTTCATGGACCCTCCAAAACCGGCGACGTTCCAGGCCGGGCCCCAAGCCCTTCCTCTCAATGGGGTTGTTCCGATTTCCACTACCACTAATTCGTTCGGCAATAATGGCCCTGATCAGCAACAGCAACAACGGTCTCCATCATCGCAGTCATTCCTAGACCCTTCTGCTATGGATTTGAGTTCCCAATTATACTTATCTCACGTCGATATGATGAACATGTTTGGTGACAACGGGGTGGGAGGAGTGGATGTCGCTCAGATGTTTACACCCGAGTTCATTCGTGCTCAACAGATATCTACGCCGACACCTGGCCAAAATGGGATCGACATCGGGCAGGCGAATGGCGGTAGCCTCCATTCTGGTTTCTCAAAACTCAGTGTCCCTTCGCCGTAATAACGTGCCCAAATCAACCAAACGGAGTTTCGCTTCGCGGTTTTATATCGTCTATGTGTGTACGGTCTGTGTATCTATATCGGTTACAATTATTTTGGTATCCTTCAACGGACCCATTTGTCTCATTGTACTGCTTTCCCTGTTATTTCTTTTATTCTGTATTACTCTGGTATCACTGTACCACTTGATGTAAACACTGTTATGTACCATCTCGTAAATGTTAACGATGTTTCAGGTTTCAGCTTTAGAAGGCCCTGGAAGTGCTGCTGGAAGGGCTGGAAGTGGAGGGAAGGGGTTGGCAGAGGGTGGGCTTCCCGCCTACTGTAGCCTACTGTACATAGAACGCTTATACGATTCGATGGTGGGATGTTACGCAAAGGTAAATCTTCTGATGTTCTGCTGTAACCACTATTTCGCACATCTAAGAACACGCCCTCCTATGTGCGATGTGCTGCTGTGCATATCGTCCAAAGCTGAAAATGGCCATTACCTTGTACTTTGTCACCTTTGTCAACGCTATTTGTGACCCGCCCGGATGTCGGTGTTCTGCCATGTGTGAAAATCGGATCTGGAGATTGATGGTTGATCCCTATTTGCGTTTCTCTTTGTTCGTCTTGTTTTGGAAGTTACAGAGCTCTGCGTCGAGTTGACTCGCCTTCCCTCGATGGGCTTAATATTTCTTCCTCATTCTCAAGTTGCGGTAATATGTATATTCTTCTACACCCCACGGACTATCGTGTTCTAACTTCTTGCTTCTAGATCGCCTCGAGTGCAGAGGAGGTCTTGTTGGGTGAACCATTTCTTTTGTGTTTTTCACTTTGATATCTTTGAGACAAAATAACAATAAAGAGCGTTCAGTTAGTCCCGATATGATCTTTGTTGCATCACAACTTAACGTTCAAATAATCGGCTTTTTCGCATGAACAAAGGTACAGTAGAATACTTAATTCGCTGGTGCTTGCTCAATCCCGAATTCAGGACGCCCACATTTGGTCCGCTTCTTGAAAGAAATAAGCGCTATGCGTTCGAGCACCGTTGCCTCTCAGTCTCCTATTCACTCACTTCCTCTCGAGTTGCTCTCTTACATCTTTGTTCTCGGTGCACATTCACCGCCCGACACTCCCGAAAATAAAATCAAGCGCCAGGAACCTCCACCTTTCAATGCCGACAGTGTCAAGACGCCTTTGGTATATTCCACAGTCTGTCGACATTGGAGGACCGTCGCACTCGGAACAGCTGCCCTATGGACCAATATCTGTATCACAGCTGGATCGATGGAGATGTCAGGCCTTGAACAGGAGAAACGTGTCAACCTTACCCACCTCACTTCGTATCTCTCTCTCTCAAAAAATTATCCTTTAAACATTCTCCTTGATGCGCGCGACATTGATTGGGATTTTGCAGAGCCTGAGTAAGTCTTCGTTTGCGGTAGTCCTATATCCAATCTCAACCTCTTTCTTCTACTCAGAATATCTGGCTCATCCGACTTTTCCGATTACATTCCGCCTTTCACACAGGATGGCATTCGAAGTGTTTTTTCCCTTTTGCTCCCTCACTTATTCCGTTGGCGATCCATAGACATTCTTACGGATACTTGGGCCCCGATGCATACCGCGCTGTGTATGTTAAATGGACCATTGATGTCTAACGGAGCTCCTCTCTTGGAGTCGCTCACGCTCATGCGCTGTAACGACTATATCAGCCATTCGCCGCTGTTTCAACCCACGAGCATGAGATCCCCCACTCTATTCAGCTCTCAAACAAGTTCGCTTGGTACAGATCGTTGTCTTTTTCCTCGATTGCGTAACTTGACCCTTCGAGGAGTTCATGTGAACTGGTCGAGTTTAGCGCACTCGCCCCCGCCACTTACCTCCCTCGAACTTTCATCCCACGCCCCTGATGTCCGACCGACACAATCAGATTTCCGCGAATTGCTGAGCTCTTGTCCGAAGCTCAAATCTCTCACTGTCAACGGTTCGGGTTTTATCTCTGACGATGAAGAGCTGTCTCTGAAGACGGGTGTCCACAATATCGACAAGAGCGCGAAACCTATTGCGCTTCCACTTCTGGAGAAACTCAAGATCGGATACAGATCAGCGCCCGAGGGTTTTGACATCCTGGAACTTGTACATGCTCCTAATATTCTTCAGCTCTCATTGGATGATGCCACTCATCCCGGTGAAATCGACGAGGTCGAAGCCGATGATATGTTGCTATATGTTGCTGGCTTGCGTCCAATGATCAATCCGGAATCTTCCTTTTCCACTCCCAAACATTCGTCTCCTTTTCCAACTATCCAGAAATTGGCCTTAAAAGGACTGCGGGCTCAAACTGATACCTTTCGAAAGCTTCTAGTATCAACTCCTACTCTCCAATCTCTCGAATTGTACATGATGCCCAGACCTATGGATGTAATTCATGCGATGTCACCTATTACTACCATCGCTGTCACAACTCCCGCAAGAACAAGAACAACTTACCAACGGCTGCTCATCTCACGGCCCGCGTCTCCCGCGTCTTCACGTTCATACTCTTGCCCATGTCCTCGGCTTCAAGAGCTTTGCCTATGGACTGTGAACCTTTCTAGAGATGATATCCATTTTATTGCAAAGGACTTACTGCTAGGCCGATCGGAGGCTGGCGCTGGGAGTCTGGAACGCCTCGATATTCATCTTTTTGAAGGTACGGAGTCGGCCTCTGAAGACCTAGAGGGAACGGGTGTACATATCTTCAATGTCCCTTTGGACATAAACGGCAGCAGTGTCGTGGCTATTGCTGACAGTTCACAACAAACTAACCTGGACGAAGAGTTTCAGTTTGGGGGGATTTTCAACGATCCGATTTTCGATGCTCAGTATAGTTCTTCAGTTTTTTCTCATTGATCTTTACGTTGCCGTTGAATATGATCAAATACAATCATCATCTTGTCAAACATTGGTGTTATTTGCACTGTGATAGTCATTATAAAAATATAGTCAAGGCGGAGTAAGCCAGGAGTAAGCTGATACGTCTATGTAGAACCAAAGGTGAAGCCAGTTAAGGAGATGAATTTAACTGGGTCATGGGGGATATAAAGTATTGAATACGGGAAATACAAGAGAGGATAACGATCACTCAGAGCGTGAAAAAATGCTGAAGGAACGTATCTAGCGGAACCGAGGCTGATAAGGGAAGAGACACTATGGGAGGAGAAAGGAAACGGATAATAAAGGCCACGGAGTGAAAGAAAAATACATCAAAAGACACGCCCAACCCAGTGATCGTTATTGTAGTAACAGTCAGGACTGATTGAGGGTGGTTCATTTTTGTGAACACTTCGATTAGGAAGGAAGCTCAACAAGTCATGAGGTAAAGAAAATTTAATATTGAAGTAGACGGATGGAGTTATACCAAGGCACTAGCCGCATCTGTAGCAAGAATGACACGAGGGATCGCTGTGAGGAAATTCATTTCTTCCACAACACGACTGCCCTTATCCCGCTCCCCCCGATACGCTTGAGCGGCTTATGCGCACCAGGCATCTCCTTCCGGTACAAGAATTTGACAGTCAACTCGCGAAGGGAGTTCGCCTGCAACGCCGACGTGTCCAAACATGGTTCATCGAGCGTTTGCTCGGGATCCATCGAGATATGACGGTGTTCACGAATAAAGCATCCTCGAAGCGACGTGACCTGAAGACGAAGAGGGCTAGTGATAAGCATGAAGACTCGCTATGAGCTGCAAGGTGATGGGACTGAATGTGAATATATATCGGTGTCAGTGGGTGTGTAAGTCCAAGAAGGTCGATATGCGAAGGGAGAGGAGGTTGACATCCGAGAGGGCTAGACTCTGTATAGAAAACGTTGTTAACAGAAAGGAAGATCGACGGACGAATGTCATGAAAGTACTGAAATGGAACCGGGGGATTTTCTTGCTTTCGCGTGCACTCCAATCTTGCGGCTCAAGATGTAGCGTCTCCAGGTAGGGAAGTGTCATGAGAGAATATACGGAGCTACTACCGTTATGTTACATGTTATTTTCGAAGCCAAGAGTCATGCTGAACTTTAGTCACCATCTTCAACGTCGAGGGCCTTCCAGGATTTGCAAGCTCGGGATCCCATATATTTTCATCTCGCAACAGGATTCGCATAAACTCCGGTAACAATTCAAATGCTGCAGGAGTTTTCTGTGACCAGGAAAGAATTCGAAGTGAGAGAGGGATGGCTTGGGGATTTGGCTGAAGAACGGGAAATTGTGTTCTCGGGCAATATTTGAAGTGTATCTTCATTACGGCGTTGCTTGACACAGTAGATAGCATTGGGTCTGTATATATCGACAGATCAAGGAAAGAACTGTGGCCAAGGAAAGCCGAATACACATTATCGAGCCGATATGAGCTCGGGCCAGCAGCCTAGGTCAGACAGACAATGATAAGATCGACAGTGGCCACGACGTACCTTCAACCTGCCTTGATGGATTATATCTGATGGCTCCGAAAGCTAACAAAATATGCGTAACTTGCCAATGCATCTAATAAAGCTGCAGAAAATAATAGCTGCTGGGCATGGAATTGAACGGACAATACCTAACCCCAGCTGCGCTAGCTTCTCGTATGCTCCAGCTCAGCGGGGCGCTGCGTCGACGGGCTCAACCTGGCAAAGTAACCACTAATCCCTCTCCCCCCTCTCCATTGCTCCTGGCGCCATCCTCTCGGCGCAGTTTAGCTAACCAGTCAGCAGAGTCCTTCTCCTCCGCTGGGGGCATCTCCATAGCTCCATCACCATCTCGCCTCCAACCTCCTCCTCCTCGAGGTTCTCGCAGTCGCAAGAAAAGCGGCACTTCAGTCAATCGCAAGCCTAAGGATCCGGACCCTGTCCCTCGTGCAATAGTTTACCCAGCTTCTTCGGAGCTACAACAGAGGCCGTCGGCGGGGAAAGAAACCAATACGAACCAGATTCTCCGGGTTGAGGCCAACACGGTCCGCATTGAGCAAATGCTTCAACGTATGGTTGAGGAGTTACGCTCCTCGTTAATGTCTGCGTCAGCTCTACGTCAGCAGGAACTCCTCCAGGCCTCTGTCACAGAGAGGACTCAGATGGAGGCTCGACTCATGGGCTCCCTACGTGACGACATCAGGGATATAACCCGTTCTGAACTGAAGCTCCTTGAGGTGAACCTCCAACAGAAGCTGACCTCTCTACTGCCCATGGACGCTGTCAACCGACTGCTGTCCTCCCTGGAGAACACTTTCACTCATCTCTATGATCCAGTGCCTCCTTCCCAGGGACCACCCTCTGAACGACCCTCTATGCTGTATGAACCGCCCCAGTCCGGTAAACTTTCCTCCACACATCCCAAGCCGGTCCCTTCCTCCCTTCAACGACACACTCCCAGGACCTCCTCGGCCGCTCAGTCGCCCTCGCTGCTGACTCGCTTACAGGATGGACCTTTGTCATCCCAATCCGAAACGGTTTCCTCAGATTCCAAGCGCTCGATGATCAGAGCTGGGAAGCGCCGCGCAGTGGAGCATGAGGAGGATGGCAGGGACTCAAAACGTCGCCCCTATGATGCACGAACGGCTCACTCTGCCTCTGTCTTCCTCCCATCTGAATGGGACCCTTTGCCATTCACCATAGATCGTATTTTCACCATGTATTATGGGTGGTCATCCGACTTTGACGCTGCGGTGCATGTCACCCTTCCTCGTGTCGGCTTCATAACTCGCATCGGCGGCGACCGTCTGAAACTCTCTTTCTCTCCCGAAGGCTTAGAAGAATTCCTTCGAGCTTGGAATGCCTACCATAATGTTGTCCCAGGTCTGGGTAACGTCGTTGTTTGCAGGGACAATGCTGATTGACGTTTCCAAGGGGGGCGGGCACCTGGGCTCTCGGACCTTTCTACTTCTCGCCTCCTGCCGGTCCTTCCACACTCTGCCTCATCTCATCCTCTACTTACACCTCTCTCTTCTTCCTCTACCTCTGTAAACCTACCCCCTTCTGCTTTCTCACGGCCTCTGCCCCCTACTTTTTCCACTGTCTCTGTACCACCACCCATGCCTCTTGTTACCTTACCCTCCTCCTCTCACTCTGTTTCCTCACCTTCTTTCTCACCTCTTCCCCTTCATCTTACTTCATCTTCTGTCTCTTTATCTAATCCAACTCCTCCTCATACCTCTGCCCTCTGTACACCTAATGGCTGTAAAATTCGCATTTTGTGCTGGAATATTAACGGCCGTTACCTCGCCAACTATCTCTGTGATGAATTTGTTAGAATCATTAGCGACTATGATGTTGTCCTGCTACAGGAGACTCGCTTGCGCTCCAATTCGACCATGCAGTGCCCGTATGGCTTCACCGCCTATACTCGTAATCGCCGCCAGCTGCTAACAGATATTGAGAGCCCATGGGGTGGGGTAGCAACTCTGGTACGTGACGGGTTACAGAGCCGAATTGCAGTAGACCTCTGTGGTCCAGACTTTCTTGCTATCGACATAAACGGTCTGCTTCTATTCAATGCATATGTCCTCCCGGAATCATCACGAACTGATTGGACCATCTGGGCGGATGTACACCCTTGGGATTCTTTCATCCGCAGCATTCGTCTGGCCATTGCACTCAACATTCCATTCATAATAGCAGGTGACCTCAACGCCCGCACTGGGAGTTTAACTCCATCTCTACACCACCCGAGCCGTATATCACCGGATTCTGTTTGCTCTACACGGGGTCGCCGCCTACTGGACTTCTGTGCGGAATCGAACCTGACCATCCTTAATGGTAACACCTCCATCCCTGGCACCCACAACCGATGGACCTCCTTCCAGAAACGTCGAGGAGACAATGGTCTCATGGCTATCGCCTCCTCTATTATTGACTATGTTCTAACCTGCCCAGTTTCCACCTATTTTGTCACCCACCTATCAGTGAGCTCAGAGACTAAATGGTCGGACCATGCTCACCTGTCCTGCGAGCTGATTATACCTGGCCCTGCTCCAGTACGCCAACACCCACCCATCATCCAACGACCTCAGTTCGTTATCCCCCTTACCTCCGAAATTGACCTCCTTCAGTCCGAGATCCTTAGTGCAGAGCTGCCATCACTTCATGACAGGCTCCTGGAGGTCTATGGTCATGCCCACCGATCATCACACTCCTCACCTCTGAAAGTATACACTGATGGGTCCTGCCTCAATGGCAACACCCCCTCTGCTCGTGCGGGCCTAGGGATCTACTACGGTCCCAACCATCCCCTGAATCTAGCCGCTCGGATACCCGGCCCTCAACGTAACAACCGCGCGGAACTGTTTGCTATCCTCGCCACTATTCAACGCACTCAACCTATGCGTTCACTTGAAATTCTTACTGACTCCACCTATGCGATTCAATCACTTACTTATAATGCAGGAGACAACGCACAATGTGGATGGGATTGTAAGAATGGCGACCTCCTTAAGGTGATTGCCGATTGGATTGCATCCCGTCCTGCAACCATACATTTCACCCATGTTAGAGCTCACTCCGGTAATGCTCATAATGATGCCGCAGATCATCTCGCCAAGCAGGGCTCCTCTTTACCTCTGCCTCCCCCATTCTCTGATTTAGACTTTTTCACACTGACCGCCCCCCCACACTTCCTTCCCCTTGATCCTACCAACATTCCGAAAGTATCCACCTCTCTACCAGATCCGCGGATCACTGTACCTATGCATAACTCAGTTCGACAATCGTCGGTAGTTGACTCCTCCACTTCTCACCGCCGTCGATCATTCCGACGACAGCTACAGGACATATCTCTCAAACGCCTCCGCAATGCAGCAGCAGCAGGGGGGGCCGCTTTCTGGAAGCACTACAAATCTCTCCGAAACCCGACCCGCTCCTCCGCTAAGGTTACTATTGACCAGCTCACAGACTGTTTCATTCCCCGCATGAACCCACCTGACCCCCTCACCACACACTTCGACCCTGTCCGCCTGCAGGAAGAAGCCACCTATGCTAATGCCATTCCTCTACCCTCGCCTCCATCCTCTCACCCTGACTTTAACCTCAACATCACGGCGGTGGATATCGCTACAGTTAAGGCCTATCTCAAACGCACCGCCCATTCAGATGCCAAAGGAGCCGACTCCACAACCTATTCTCAATTAATCAGCATTCCAAATGATCGCCTAGCTCTCCTCTTTGGCCGGGCCTTCAGCAACTCTGAGTTCCCCGCATCGTGGCTCACTTCTATTATTATTGCGGTCCCAAAACCTGGTAAGGACCCTAGCAATCCTAATAGCTACCGAGCTATTGCACTTGAGAGTTGCACCCTCAAATTTGCATCTCTGCTTTTACACCAAAAACTGTGCCACGTTTTATCCCATGCCAACATCATTCCACCCTCTCAGAATGGATTCCGAGCTGGCTATCGAACCAACAACAATGCATTCATTCTCCGTACTCTGATTGACAAATCCCGCTCCTCTGGCGACTCTGTCTACCTTGCCTTTGTGGACATTTCCAATGCATTTCCCTCCACAAACCAGAACTCCCTGTGGCTCAGGCTCGAGGCATATGGCTTGACAGGGCAATACTTCGACTGGCTGCGTTCACTCTACAGGCAAATGACCTATGTCATCGCACACGAAGGCAGCCTTTCCACAAACTTCCACGCCATGTGTGGAGTCTTGATGGGTGACCCCTCATCACCGACCCTCTGGAACATTTTCCTCTCCACCTTCCGCCTTTGGCACGACCCTGGTGACATCGAGCTCATGGGTATCATCATCTCTCACCTCGAGCATGCAGATGACATGGTCCTTGGCTCTCGCACAGCACACGGCCTCCAACTACACCTCCATGCCTTCCAAACTTACTGTCTTCACAACAATCTCACCGTGAGTGCCGGAAAATCATGGCTCATGCTATTTGGCCACATTCCCATCACCCTCCCCGTCCTACTTCTCGCTGGTACCTCTCTACCCTATCATGACATGGTTCGGTATGTCGGCATCCACTTCCAATCAACCCACCGCCACATGTTTGCTGCGCACTACACTGCCAAACGGGACTCGGCAATTACTGCAGCTGGAGGTATTGTCGGGTGCGAACTGGTTATCGGTCGAAATCGTCTAGATCCGACCGTTTCCCTCCAGCTATACTCCGCCCTCGTTGACTGCCATCTCATTCATGGCTGTGAACTGATTATTGACACCGATCCTTTCCTACTATCCATGCTGGAACAGGTTCAACTCCTGTGCCTACGACGGCTTCTGGGTCTATCTCGGCGTTCCATGGTAGCTCCGTTATTCACTGAGACGGGCGTTATGCCAATCCGCTTTCGCCGCGTTATCCTCGCACTACGTTACCTCATATACCTCCTCAAACTCCCACTCGACCACTATGCCAATCTCGCTCTCCAGGCCAACCACGTCCTACGCTCGTCCGGCAATTCATGCTGGCTCTCTGACCTCGACTGGGCCATTCGACATCTACCTAACTCCACCCTTGTTCTTCCTCCCCTGACCCTGCTCTCTGAGCAAACAGTTCTTTCATTAATCAAGTCCATCTCGCAGAATTGCAATCAATTCCTTCAAAGTGAGATTGACAACAGCAATCGCCTTGCGCTCCTCCAATGCCGTCGAGAGCCTTGTGCGACTGCGCCCTACAAATACCAAGCACGAACCCTGCGTCACTACCTCACCCGCGTATTAAATCACAACCATCGGCTCACTCTTACCAGGCTGCTGTGTGGTGACATGGTCCCGCTTACATTTCGGGCTTCTCCTACCCGCACTCATCCTCTTCAACCCGCTGACTGTCCAACAAAACAGTGCCGGGCCTGCAAATCACCCGGTCAACCGGAGTCCCCACAGCACGTTCTCCTTCAGTGCACATCTGTCCCCGGTCTCAGTATCATTCGTGAACAATTTCTCACTGACATTGCGTCGCTACTTACCCTTCCCAACTCTCGCATCTTTTCTGACTCAGAAGCTCTCTACTACCTCAAGACTTTTGTTTTTGGTTGGGATTCCATTCGTCCAACGGCACGCTTCATTAACGACGCCATCATCCTTTGGAAGCAACTCATGAAGCAGGACTTAGATGTTGAGGGAGATGATGGACCGAGTGACGAGGAGCTCTGAGAAACGCTCCCGCACCACAGAACCCGTCTGTTCATTGCTTTATCTCTATTACTCTGATTCCGTCTGTTTATTGCCTTGTCACTATTGCTCTACATTCTCGTACTTGTACTATTTACCTCTGCCTCGCTGACCTGGCGGTAGTCTACCTTCTCCTTGCGGGTTGAGCTCGCTACCGCCTGTGCTTCGAGACCGGCTGTTCCGCATTCGGGACCACACCTTAGGGTGGCGCCGTGTATCTATCTATCTATCTATCTTGGAGATTAACGGATCATTTATTCAATCAATCAGCGTTCCGCACCAATTCTTTGTAGAGTGAATGTGATACTTGTGGCCTCGCCAGCCTCCAGATTGCGTTCGAGGAGCAACGGAGCTTTGTGAATGATTGAATGATATTGAACTTGTCAAGGCGATGTCGGAGACGACGCCCACGATGGACAGTTTACATGTAAGCTGCCGACATCTACCGGTCAGTTACCACCACAATGTTTAAATGGATACCTCATCACGTCCACAAAAGCCATACTTTGTACTCAAACGCCGACCATATGAGGAATAGTAATGCTCAAACATGCTGCAACAAAATTGGCTCACAGTACTACGTTGCCAGTGCTGGGAAACAAAGAACTCAAGCCGCTCCAAGACTTGATCATTGCTGAGAAGACTGTACTTGTTTCGTGAGTATCGAAGCTCACATTGACGACCACATCGCCAAATTTAATCATTGTACACTTTAGCCTTCAGAAACTGAGCAGTGACTTGAGCAAGGCCTCTGATATACTCAAAGTATGGGCGTCGAACGAAGGAGAGGAACTCGAGGTACTGGTTTTGTCATTCAAAATAAATTCCGAATTCAATAGATTGATCATAGGATATTCTCGGTGCATCTTCCAAACTTCTCAACCAATTTTCTGTCGCGTTATATCAGTATTCATCTTACCAGCATGCCATGCGAGAGCATATGAAGGCTGTTCGTGACCGGGAAGAAGCTCTTGAGGAGCTCAAACGACGGAGACGTTCTTTGCTTACACGAAGCCAAACAGTCAACAGGAAAGTGAGCAAACTTGGCTCTGCTAGCCGGCCCAAAGCGAAGAACCTTGCAGATCAAGTTGAGTTGGCTAATCGCACCCGAGAGCAAATCGACGCGCTGAATGAAGAGATAACGAACGAGGAAGCGGCGTTGATGGATTACAAGAAACGGAAGGCGAGGGCATGGATGGAAATTAAGTTTGGTGGTCTTCTGGAGTGCTGCGAAAAAGGGAGCATTGCATGCGATTTTGGAAAGTTGATTATCAATGTGAGTCATATATTCTAGCTGAAATACGTCTTCTCATACACGGCTCTCCTCCATCTAGGAAATTTCTGATAAGCACTCTCAACCCGGCCTGCCTCGTCTTCCATATACGAAGCAAAGCAAAGTTAAGTCTATCTTGCAGGCAGCTCTCCAACGCGGAGAGGCAATTGCGTTCACATCCTTCTCTCTGGAATCCAATCCAAAAGAGTTTGTCTCACGATCCAGGGCAAATTCTGTATCCTCAATGTATGAAGAAGAAAACGACGAGCAGACCAATTCTCCTGCTCAAACTTTACATCCCCACAACCGGAACGACTCTGTGCCATATCTATCCAATCCCTCCTCAAACTCTGTATCCTCATTCGACGACCGTCCTACACGCGGTCAACCATTAGAAGACTCGTTGCAACAATATTCATCAGATCTTACTTCGGGTCGTTTTCCCCAACCACAAGATAATACTCCTATCACTACCGCCTTCAAAACCGGGAGCAACGATCTGCCCGGGACGAGCTCGAACTTCGAGGCGGTCCCCGTTACTACCGCTAATATGGAACTCATCGGGCTTCAGGTAGAGCCAGACCCAGTGATAACACCTACTGCAACGTCCTCCTCTACTGCGCTTTCATCTGAGGGCAGCACTCTCCCCTTACCGTTATCGGAAGAGGCTAATGAGGAGGCATCTGCAACAACAGAGCGACCTAAACCTGCTAGTGTTCCGGGCGGAGGACGAGGAGGGCGTTTTGCGGCCTTTCCTGTGAAAAAGCGTGTACCTACCAGCACAGATCGTTCTGTGGCCCAGTCTGCATACGTCGCGACATCGGGTTTTGAGACTAGAATTGCGAATCCGGTGAACGCGAGGCCGACTACTGCTATCTATACTGGTCCTGATACGAGTATCTCGGACTCTGTGGAGGGGGATAGAAATGTTGAGAAGGAAGAGAAGGAGTTTGCAGCGACTCCCCGTTCCAGTGCTCTGATAGAAGCAGGTATACCTCTCCTCTCAAGCGACTTGGAGTCATCAACTCCAGTAAGTTTGGGCTATGAACCCCTCGAACTCAAGGCCCAGACCCTTGAGGGCCTAGAACTCAACATCCCTCCTACCCCTCGTCACCACCTCCCATCCCCCAGGTTTTCATCTCATTTCACGACCAAGGCTTACTTTGAGGTGTTATCTCAGAGAAAAGCTCAGGACTCACTTCCGCCGTTGCCTCCGTTGCCTGTGTCAGCCCCGAGCAACGTTGGTGTGGATTTTTCCACTTCTTTCGCCTCGGCAGAAGAAGAGGAGTTGGATGAAAGGAACACCGTCTGGGTTAAGTCTGAGACCAGCTCGGACCCAAGTACTCCTCGGGCAGTTCTTACACCGGCGTTTGTGTCGAATGCGAAGTCCGAATCACCATCAAAAGCGTCTGTCGAGGCGGACGAAAATAGTACTTCAAACAAGTTGACGCCGAACACTTTTCAACCGTCATCCTCGTCGACGCTTCAGCCACATGAACCATCTGAATCACCATCGATTTCATCTTCCTCTCCACTTGAACCTTCCACTGCATTGGATTTAGAACCCACTCTCGATTCAAGTCCACAGCCGACGTTATCCCCAGAAATAATCCTTGCGCCTGCTCCTATCCATCCAAATCGCGTACGATTCGCCTCTAATCCGGTGGAAATACCCCTGATGCGTCCAAGGGACTCATGGGACTCTCTGTTCACGGAGGATGATGAGGATTTGTCATCGTCCAAGAATGTAGACCTGGGGCAACAATTAGCTTTAGATGGCATCGCAAATGCTTCGTCGTCTGTTCGTATCCTTTTAAGTTCAGATTTATCAAGTTACAATTCTGTCCAATTTGACGCCGCTCGTGCTTCTCAATCTAGTAGCATGGTTGAGCATCTCTCCGAAAAGAATTCAGGGAGTCTCACCTCCGGTGTATCCCCAGTGTCCTCTGACATATTTGATCTTCTGAATGCCGCTACTACCCATGCAAGCTCAGTTATAGCAACTCTAGAATCCGACTTTCCGTCAACCTCTTCGTCACCCTCTCCTTTAGCCTTACCAGAGTCCACACAACCTTTGAAAAAAGAGAGCCTAGCACTTCCATCGTCGTCATCAACTTCACGATCACCACCACCTAAGCGTCTGACAGAAGAAAATCCCGCTTCTGTTTCTACTTCTATGTCATCCGCTACACACGAAATCACTTCCTCTTCCCTTGAGGATATATCTACCATCCGTGAGCCGCCTCCTCACACTACTACGAATGTACTTGGGCGCAATCGGTCGATGATGAAGAAATCCCTGCCAAGTTCTCCGTACCCACAACGTCGTCTGGAGAGATCGACGTCGCTTTCTAGGTCAGTGAGCACAAATGTAGGCTCTCCGACAACTTTCCCCAATGTCAAAGGGCCTGGCTCTCCTTCACTCTCCAGATCTTCCAGTGCTAATGCGACAGTACCAAGTGGACCTCTTCTCTGAATAGTCCTGATTTGGGAATCTCCTTATTGACAGCCGCTCTCTCTGTCTCTCTCTTCGCATCTCACATCGAATCTTACTCTTCATTGCATCTATTTACGATCAAGCAATATGTTGTATTTAATCTACATAGACCATCCTGTTAAGAGGTAGACAGTAGGTTGTCTACTCGTCCATTGCGCATTTGTACTTAATTTATCTCTGAACATGAGTTTTTCCGAATACGAGTAGATTTACCTGCATTCATACCGAGCTTATATCTGAGTTATATCGTTTTATTTTCAGTTCTCACGTCCATATGGGAAATAACGCTTTGACCAGGTCCGGGCGCTGAGACATTTCTTGGCTTCCTACGTCCATTTCTTCAGCTCTCATTCATATCAGTCTGTGCATTTTAGAAACTTCTTAGCCTTCAACTTCATATCTCATGGACCCAGAAGAGTCCAAGGTCCTCAATTTTCAGTATGCCCATTGGCCAGAATTGCGCCTTTATGAACAAGAAGAACATCAAGCCCGAAGCGAGCGCTCACATCTCATCACTTCGACCTGTGAAGAAGGTCTTGCTTCAGTCACGCTATGCCCTCCAGAACATCACTCAGCAGAAGAATCTTCAGCGGTTAACGACCCTGATTACTTCCGCTACTACCACATGTATCGATTCTTTATGACCATTCAGGGCTTTTTGCAAGTGAGCCACCGACGTGTATCTATGACTGGCGGACTAAAATCTTCCGCAGGGTGATTTAGACTTGACCGGACGCCACCAGCATAGATTGGACCGACTCAAACCTCTCTGGAAGCAATTTTTTGAAGATTTTCACGCACTGAAAAAATGCGCGCGTGTCTCTGTCATTGAATATCAAGATCATGATGGTCAAATCGAACCCGGACTTTTCTACGACATTGGTAAGGACGACTGGACCTCGTTCCGGCTTAAATGGAGAATTCCTCGCGTTATTCACTTTGATGATCTGGTCGTGGAGGCAGGTTCGTCTACCTATTTCAGAGACCAGGATCCAGATGCATGACTAGATTTAATGTCCTTTTTATACAGATTGTTTGAGTAAATACTACTTGCTATATCAAGATGGTCCGAAAATCCAGAGGCTGTGTCTACTGGGCCTTCCGGTCGAAATACTTGATCATATCTGCTCTGTTATGCTCCTCCGTGACGCACGACTATTTTCCGCTTCCTGCAAACGACTCTATACGATAGGACGCCAGTATATCTTCCAGGTATCTTGTCTTGAATGTCATATGTTCTCTTTTCTCAGTCGATATAAACAAATCACATAGAAATTGGTGCTTGGAGTCCGACGTCCAAGATCTTCCGAAACTCGACGACTATATGCGTCAGACTCTGCCGATAGCGTTGACCATCCACTAAAGATTTTACCAAGTTTGGCGCTCGAGGCACGGCAAGATTTCATTGAGGCATGTCAAAACTTTCAATCACAACCCTCAAAGGCAGGCTGGACAAGGAAGCTGTCGTTTCGAAATAGTTGGCGGACGTTTACCCACAACACTGATGGAAGTCTTTCGTCGGATATTCTTGATCCCACATCTTTCTATTCTCCTATCCTTCCAGCCCTTGTTCAGACACTAGGCGTCGTGAGAAATCTTCAAATCTTAGAACTATCGGACTTGGATCTCACCTCCGAATGCTTTGTCGCGATTTCTCAGCTGTCTTTCTTACGCAATGTGATCCTCAGTCGGTGCATACAAACTGAGAATTTGACGGATGCGATTATTGGCGACGTCGTGCAGCTGCCAAGGAGTCCTCAAGTCAAACTCTTAGACCTCGGCCTGTATTCCCTTGAACATGATCAATCCGAGGATGGGCTTACTTGGTTGATTCTTCTCATTTTCCCTACGTTGACAACACTTCACTGTGCCAATCCTCCACATGACCGTTTAAACACACCTCTCATCCCTGTCGCTTTGTTCGAAAATCTTCCGAGTTCTCTGGAACTGTTCACAACTATTCAAACCCTCTTCCTCACTCACTTCCATGATATACCGTTCTTTGCAGACATGTTTCGGCTCAGTGGCGCCGTGTTCAACAGGTCTGGTTCTCCGCTACCGCTCACCCACCTTAAGATCCATAGTTGCTGGGGTCAATCGGACGAGGTTTATATGGACCTTCTCGCTGCACTACATTCAGGGTCTGCTCGTCTGAAGGCCCTCATCCTCGAAGGTCTCCAAACTGCTGGTCTCGCCCTGTTCGACTGTATAACGGAGTATTTCCCTGACCTTGTTGCACTGGGGCTCGTCCGGAGAGAAAATGCTCGGCAGCACACATACAAGGCATGCCCATGGCCTCACCCTACATGGGAGTATGCACGATATTGTTCGAGGTTCAGAAAGCTCAAACATTTCAGTTGGAATTCGAGGTTCAATGCCGACATGCTTCCCGCCATGCTACTTGTATTTGAGAGGCAAGCAAAGCTTGCCGTCTTTCACTCTTCCACGGAGCTAGCCCAGATCCTAGAGATGGATACAGAACTCCGTGCTTTGGAGGAAGAAGCGGAGTACGGTAAATATGACACTTATGGGATGAATGTTGCCAGGCTGTTCAGTGTTCATTGTCCGACACTAGAGACATTTGGGGATGGGTATAGGACATGGGGTGGCATTTGCATCTCAAAGGATGAGAAAGGCAGGGCGCGAATTGAAAGTGAGTTTCCACAGAGGTATTGGTGGAATCCAAGGGTAGATACAATGTAACGTATCGGTAGTGCTGTGGTACATGGTTCATTACTTAACTTGCGTATAGTGTAGTGTGATATCTTCGTTTCTGTCGTTCTCAATGCACTTCTTTTTGATTCTACAGAGTGATTAATTCCAATCGATTACACTCAAATCTTTTGATGCTCAGAGTAAATGGTAGTCTCAATGAACATGCCAACGTACAACTTCATATGGTTGCCTCGTTGCATGTTTGACTGCTGTGATACGCTGCGTCGCCACGTGAAGAGCTTGGTAATTCGTTATGCATACTGACAACTTGAAGAATAAATCACCGAAAATTGAAAATCCCAGTCCTTATTTTAGCGTACTGATATTACATTAACAGATAGATGAGACCGTACCAAAGTAGGGTTCGCCCAGCTCAAACTTCTTCCCACTTCACATTTTCGGCGACTAGCTCTATCGGTTGTTCTGGAACCTCATCAAGCTTGCCTAGTTCTGTGAGCCAGAATACAAGCTGCCTTGCCAGCACGCCGACTATAACTCCAGTAATGCACGCGACACCACAGAACACATACAACGGGTATATCGCGTCCACTAAATAGATCACCGAATTATATGGCATGAGCACTAAAACGTCGAGAAGCACTTGGACAAATACGATCACAGGAGCAAGGAGATACAGAAAAACCGACAAGAGGACGGAGAGTGGTGAGAGAATAATCCTCTTGGGGTAGGAAAAGGAGCTTCGTATGAGCCATGAGGTTAAGTGGAAAGACGAGCTGGTTATTTTAACGATGTTGGACGCTATGACAGGAGTATATTGCATGAGAGCGGATATTGGGGCTGGTTCGAGGTCAATAGATGTTGCTGGCGGAATTGCTGAAGTCGTCATGGTGGTTTGGTTCTTGAAAGAGAAATTTGCCGGGCGGCAAGATTTTTTGCAATCTATTATTATAGATTCTCACACCGCGTTTATCTTGTACATGATTATGTCGCGTTTTTCGCTTTCCCTCTATAATCGAATCCTATGGCTTTTGAATAGAGTAGAGAGCATTGTCAGCAATATATGGTCCGGTAAGCGGAGCTTTTTCAAAAAAACCCGCAATAAGGAGTATTGAATGTTCATAACCTCCCAGTTACATTGGGGCGACTCATTTTTGTCAAGATACTCGGCATTCGAGACGCCACAGTGGAAGTTGCCACCATGAAATTTGTCCGTCAACGTACAACCATTCCTATCCCGAGAGTCCTTGCTGTGGTGCGGTACCGGGGAAGACATCATATATTCATGACGCGACTTTCCGGGAAAGAACTCTCTCATCTCTCATCATCAATGGAAAACGTATTCTCAAGATAACAGGGACGCCGTACTAGCTCAGCTCCGGAATTATATCTCTCAGCTACGTGAAATCGGGCCACCTCCTCAGTACCCTCCCTATATATGCAACATTCTTGGAGGTCCAATAATGGATCACAGACTTTGTGTTAACCATCCTTATGGACCTTATCGTGATGAGGAGCAGATGAATCTACAGAGACGACAGGGGTTCAGCGTGGCTCAATTTGTGGAGATTGCCAATATACCAGAGGAATTTGCCACAGAAATCAGGGAATCTCATGACTTACGCCATCCCATTGTTTTCACCCACAACGACATAGCCATGAGGAACATAATGGTCAGTGGTGATCGTGTCACTGGCTTGATTGACTGGGAGTGTGCAGGTTGGCTTCCTGCACATTGGGAGTATGTCAAGGCAACATGGACAGATTTTGATGCAGAAGAGTGGGTTAGAGATCTTAGGGAGTTTATACCTCCATTCGACCTGGAAGCCCGAGCGGATGAACTCATTGGATGGTCTCGATCCTGGGAGCCAAGGTTGGATCTATGAGTCTGGATGATTTGTTTCTTGAATGACTAGCCCAAGTTGTACATGATATGAATCATATCCTGTCTGATTCGATCAAATGTGTACTGTCTTTGTCCCTTGTTTTTTGAGGTAGTATGGATATAAGAATGGACACTCTTCCATGAATGAATTGCGCTACTTGTTCTCCGATTGCAAGCTACAGGAGGGCTGCTCAATTCTTGCCTCACCTCACCTCACCTCACGAGCTGTCACGAAATTCCGCTTTTGGATGTCCGATTGATCGGTACCATATGTGTAATCTACAGTAGTTGCAGCAAGACCCAGGCAAGACCTAGCAAGACTTTATATTCATTATGCCTCAGATTACTTGTGCAGAGGTGCAGAATGAGTTGTTCGACATCGCGCAAGCCTTTACTGTTGCCTCTCACCTCATGGAGGATTCCGATAACTCCAATGATGATTCCTTTCAACTTGATGATGGCTTTGATGATGAAGAAGCACAAAATTTCGATGGTGAATTTACTGATAGTGTTGTTGTAAGGTAGGTGTACTAGCTACATACCATCAATGAACGAAGATGAACCGGACAGTCTTGTCGAACGAAAACGAGAGGATGAAAACGAGAAAACAAGGCGACGGTAAATCAGCCCGGATCAATCAGACATCCAAAAGCGGAATTCCGTGACAGCTCGTGAGGTGAGGCGGTGAGGTGAGGCAAGAATTGAGCAGCCCTAGGTGACCATTCCCAATAATCATTAAAGAGGTCGTTTACTGACAAGATGTCGCAGATACACCATGTCTATTCGTGTAGGAGTTGCCCTCTATCTCGTGAAAGGAAGCATTTACTACAATACCCCTTCATATTTCCACTGGGTGCTTGTGGCGTCAGCCGCGGAATCATGGGCTTCCCAACCTGTACGAACAGGACCCCGGAAGCTCCTGCCAAACCCCGTCCGAATTAGCGTACTTTAGGGCGCGATTTTGCTATTTTCGTTGTCCATAATTAGCGTACTTTAGGCCCCAAAAACCAACTCCTTATGCACTAGTTAGCGTACTTGAGCGTACTTTTGATGGATGAAACCGAAATTTTTAGGTAACTAAAGAAGCTCACCAGTGGTTCGAAGACGTACACTGTCATAGACACTGTTCTTAGACGTAGCCTGGAGCAAAAGACCGATCTCACTGTTCAACTTACAACGTGCAACGTTCACATTCAACCACTAGGCACTATGTCTGCAATCTTCCCGCCGGATGAAATCCAAAGTATTCAGAGAGCATCCCGAGCAGGCACAAGGATGATCAGGGACAGCGACATTAGCTCACTGCATTTTGACATCTTGATTGAGGGGGGAAAAAAGCTTAACTCTAGTATAATGAATGCCGTTGCAGCTCAAATCCAACTCGAAGCTGAAGCTCAAGGGGAATCTCCGGCATTCTGTGTTTTCTCATCCTGGCTTGGCCCACACCTTGGAATGAATGTAGAAGATGGAGCTGAATAGTCAATCTGCGAAGAAGTGGACTGCATTCCAGAGACGAGAGATGAAAGAAGTCCTCAAAAGTATTCCGGTTCTCAAAATTCGCATTCCAGCTAAGGTACAATGAAATACACTACGTAGAAACACTCGCAGGAGCACTCAGGAGCATTAGCAATATTTTTTGGAGTTTTCTGGATTTTCTGCGATTTTTTGGCATTCACGTGATTGTCCCTATCCGAATTAGCGTACTTGAGACCAAAAACCTCCAAAAACGTAGCGTACTTGAGGCCAACTAGGCGGATGGGGTTTGGTAGGAGCTTCCGGGGTCCTGTACGAACACTCGAGCTGAAGAGACCATTTAACTACGCAGGTTATGCACATTCCTTCGATAGCTATGATATCAGTCGTTCCAGTGCGTTTCGAGGCGTTGTGCATCTTTTCACGACTTCCAATTACACTGAGAATTCATTTCAAGCCATGATTCAATCTAACTTTCCCGCCTACGATTCTGGTTGGCGATTTCCAGGAAACTATGGCCCTCAAGGATGGACATGTGCTACGTGGATTCTGCAAATCCTATGGCACCTGCTTGGAGAAGGAACTTGGGTCTCAAATCGACAGTTTGAGCAGACCTATACTCGGGTTCTAAATCTTGGAGGTGAATTGTTGGAAGCAACGAACAATGCTGATTACCAGGGTGCAGTTCGTGTAATGTACTTTTGATTAGGACATCTTGTTATACTTCACAATGTCACTACATGTACATATTCTATGTAATTTAGAACCAACTATCCCCCAGAATTGTTCGAAGAAGGAATTATGTATCAAGGGCAACTTGAAGGTGGGTAAATAAATGACACAAGAAGCAATATATGGTTCGAAATGTTGCGTTGAGCCTTAATGAGGACCTTTCTTCTTTCCGCCCTTGTCTCGACTCCTCTTCGACCATCGGGGAACCAAGTCCAGCGATTCGCGTTTCATAGAGGTGGGCAAGAAGTTGAATTGTGAGTCTCGAGGTGTCTTGAGCGACAAAATACACGATGCATGAGAAGAACCTTTCTGCAAGACCTGGATGATTGTATGAAAATCACGAAGAGCTTTCATTTTGACCAATTGCTTGTCATCGTCGTTCAGTAGGATCCGAGTCGACCTTAGGGATACATAAACAATATTCAGTTGAAGCCACAGGCCTGAGGATGGATATGAGCACATTACATGTTCAGAAAATTCACCTTATACATTATAAATGACCATGCTTATGACACTACCACCCGCCAGTTCGGTTACATCAGAAACTGGCCCTTCGAAGAGTTCTCGGCTTTCTGAGACAATAAAATCAAAAGATCCGGTAGCTTTGAGGTGGTGGACCATAGATCGGACCATAAATAATTCACCAAGATTAGCTGAGGGAAAGATGTCTCTGTCGAATAAGAACTTCAGCAAAGAAGACGGAAGGAAAAATCGGACGGAAAGTGGAGTGGGACAGCCGGTGGGCCCCGAGCTAGAAGCTGTCCCCGTTCAGAAAAGTCCTGCCGGTTGGGATTGATGATGAATGGTGGTGGTAGACTTCAGCGGAGAGAACGACGAAAGCTGTACTAGAGCCAGAAAGACACTAGATTTTATCCTGGAAAGAAGGAGAAATGAGGATTCATCACATGCACAAATATCATTAGTACTATCTTCATATGCTCATCCGCGAAGAAAAGACATCATTCTTAGTCGAGTTCAAGGCCTTCTAGGGTATCAGTTTGGGCTTTAAAGATTATAGAACGTCTTATGACTACCTGATGACTACCTATGACTACAGAGCTCGGACCATAAACTGGCGTCGAGGAGGTCCTTGCAAGACCACCTCGTCTTTCTCTACTCCGACAACAAATGTAGGCTTTAGGTTCTTGTAAATCAATGCCGCATCAAGAAAGAAATGGCAGCAGAGCTGAAAATTAGCCGCAAGCCGAAGAAGCCGATGACAGTGTCAACTTTCTCCGAAGTGGTTATGATTCGATAACATTGTAACTAACCAGAGAACTTGAATGTATGTAGCTCATTGACGAAGAGTCAAAGAAAGAAGTAGCTTGTGAGCGCTTATTTAATTTACTGTATGCCGAACGCGCGTACGACGTAGGTACCAAGGCCGTAGAAGCTCAAGCGCTCATACTTTAGGTAGGTTTTTCGTGTATTGTATCCGACGTTTGATCCTGCCCAGTAGTCGGTGGGCTTGAGGTTCTACCAACGGGCCTCTTCGGGTACCTTGATGTTCGCGACTAGGAGTCATCTTATAGCCAAAACGACTTCGCTAGCACCGAAGGCGTCATCCTACCTTGGTGTACGAATAACTCCCTTCGTTTGGACACGATATGAACGCCGCAGTCACAGGTCTCTCATCTCCAGGCCTGGTAGCCTGTCATTCTTTATTCCCTCTAACCTTTCGGGGGTTGCTACAGTCACTTCATGGCCTTTGTTTTCAAAATCCCTTGGATCTAAGCGAGGATTATTTCATTCGTCTGAAAAACAAATCCCTCAATCTCGAGGGTACTCTACTTCCTCTGGCGGTGACGGTGACCCTAAGACCAGGTGGTGGAAGAGATTCCTAGACCGGTATGACCCTATTCTGATATGTACGTCGTCCTCTTTCTACTCATAGATTGTGACTACGACTGATGTTCGGGCTCCTCTCATTCAATGCAGATTTACCTTGGGTCACGACCATATACTTGCAACTGTACATGCGATGGCCACATTATTGCTTCTGGAAAATGAACACCACAGAGTTCTCATGCGTCAATTGGGATGATCCTTCCCAGACTGCAGTCCAGTTTCGCCGTCTGCTTAGGGCTTACATACAGCACGACGCCTCAATAGTCGACATCCTAGACACTCTAGAGACCATTGCTTTCTTTCTTCTTCCAGTGCCCCACGAAGATCTCGAAAATTTTGTCTCAAACGTGTTTAGTGACGACGACGTCTCGAAGGCCTTGCCATTGGACATTGACAAATTCAATAAGACAGTGGAGGCGTCGAAAGTTCGGATGCACGAGGCAATGAGGCTTGCAGCGTATGAGATTCACGAGCTGTTCGCCACTCAGCCTCCTCAATGGCTACGTAGTGATCTAGGATATGGCTCGGAAGTAACGGAAGAGGTTGGAAAGCTCTTCCAGGAGGCTATGCGGGTCCTGTTCGAAGTTTGTTACGCAGATGAGCTTGCTATTCAGAAGGTTTTAACGATTATGGCGGTTAATTTGAAGGATATCGAAACTGATAAGGAAAAGGAATACCGGGAGATAGGAGAATGACCAAGTTATGTAGTTACTCCATCAACCTCATAAATACAAAACACATGTACCTTCGTTATTACTGAATTAATGCAAACTCCTGCTCGCTTTTTGAGCGTGAGCGACCTCCAAATTGGGCGATGGTCACGGTGAAAAACAAGTGTCATTGCTTTGTCATCGTACGAATGTTTTCATTCCTATCATCATGATCAGAAGCTTAGATGCTATATCTTTCGACTAGTAAGCTGCTTCCCTTTATATATTGTTTTCTCTTTGTTGTTGAGCTGACCAGTGCTGCTAATAAAGTCTACAGTCAATTGTTATGTCTTCATATATTGAACGATGGTCTGATGCCAAGTGGCCCTCTCCAAAATACGACGGTCTTTGAACTCAAGGAAGTAATTAGTATGAATGATCGGTGAGGATAGGATAGGATAGTTAAATTATACTGGCGAGGTCCGATTCCCGAACGGTGAGGTATAGGTAAATTCATGTAAATTACCTCCTGTTCGATCACTTCACTGAACAAATTCTCTCCCTTTTCCTCTCACCTGCTCGCGATATATATTTTTCCTCTCATGTTCCAACTTCTCTCGCCCACGTTCAGTTCACGAACACGAACACGATCTCCAAAGGATGATACCAAGTCATTGAATCCGCTCACGCCTATTCGTACTCTCGTTGAAGCTGGGCGAGATTATCTGAAGCCCTCGCCGACGTTGGCTCTCTCCGGCTCTGGTGCCCTCGCTCTGGGAAAACGTCGAAGAAGGTCTTCCGACGAAAATGATTCGCGATCCAAAAGTCGCTCAAGTCTGGATTCGAATTTGAGTCGTTCTGATTCTTCGGCTATCTGTAGCTCGCCCGCTCATTCTGGCTTACCTATTTCTTCAAGTCCACCTTCCAGCCCTTCCACAGCCGCACAACCCAGTTCATCCCCCTCGATCTTATCATCGCCTTTGCTAGCTACATCTCACAACACCTCTATCCCCCCTCTTCCTCCACATCCTACGCCTACACCTGTACGTAGACGTTCCAGAGTTGCGTTGCAGAACTTGGATAATCAGTATAACGCCGTAGTCATCACAGCATTAGAAGACATCCCGTTCTGCTGCCACGAAGATCTCTTGACGATGTCTCGCGCACAGCTTGTTGCCGTTGCTCAATCGCTCAACGCCAAGTTACCTGCTGCCATGCAAATTGACGTTACAGATATTCGCACGGATTTTTTCATCCGGAAGAGCATCGAAGTTCTGGTCGGGATTAGCAAGCCTGTTGTGCCTTCTGAATCCATCATAGCTGTGCCCGAACCTCCTGGTGCCCCGAGAGCAGTCAAATCTAGAAAAATGCATTCTATGGCTATTGTGGAAGATAGGAACACCAGCAGGCTGGAGCGAGTCGGAGAAGGTCGGAATGCTGTGAACGATGGGGATATAGACATGAATACATGGCCGCCATCCAGTCCCGGAATCCTTTCGAGCCCTCTCGCGAAGCGTGCTGTAATTCGCTCGACTAAGGTGGCAAGAGCTTTTGAACTAGGCACTCTCGCAACAACGGGTACGCCCAAGCTTGCGAGACTCGAAGAGGAAGACGAATCGATGGCCTCAGCTTCGAACGAAGATCCGGAAGGATATGGCGATAAACGGGTGAAGAAGAGGCGGAAATTCTCTGACTCTGAATTTCGAGCTCGTGGAAGGGGATTCCGACGCTGGTCTGGGTCGCTCGTCAAAAGGGCCACTGCCAAACCCAGCTCATTTTCATCTCCCATGGACGTAGATACGGATGTTGCCGCCGTCCAGTTGCCCTCCCAGATTCAATCATATCGTCTTCGACCGATTTCCTCTCTCAAACCTCTTTCTCGGCCTAATTCCTCCTCTTTACATTCCAGCCACGCTTACATTTCCAGCTCAAACTTGACCCCTACACGCCATTCAAGCTTTAGTCCCGGAGGACTTTCGGACCAGTCGAGGGGTTCGAAAAAGCGTTCTAGAAGTGTGTATGTGAAATCCCAGTTACCAGATGCCTTGAAGAAAATGGCCATTGCGAGTGAGGCGACGTCGCCTAATCGGTCCTAGGCAATCTATGGGGACTCCGGCAACCGAAGAGTCGGAAATTATCTTTCTTCGCTCCCAGTATGCTACATAGCCTATTAGGAATGGTGTGTTACTTATGTAAGGTCTGTATCTACTAGATGTAGGAAATGTAAAATGTGGGGCCTATGTACTGTCGTAATAGGTTAAAGTCGGTGACGATTTTTATGCCCTCAATTCATCACATTGCTAATAGTAGTCCATACAAGCACCAAGACAAACCTCCCATAGACTGTCTCCATACTAGGCTCGTTCCCATAAGTAAGAATGTCTGTATGCATACCATTCTTCCTTGAATCTGGTCGTACCCAGATTATATTGTTGACCTTTGTAATTCCTTCCTGTTCGAATAGATCATCGACAACCGCCTCCGGTTCCATAAACCCTGAGCCTTCAAGAAATTCATGCCCAAGGTATGTATTATCCCCGTAATTTTGCCAGGTTCTGTATTTATAATATACTTCCAAAGTTGTGTTACTCGCAAGCACAAAAAAAGGAGTGCGTCACCGCCTTTGAGTTATTGAGAGAGCTCCTCAACTGTGTAATGACCCTGCCCGTAGCCTTTATGTCCAACTGGATAATAATGAGCGAGGCCAAAGCAAAGGACGTGATTGCCTAGTTCAGTCATCTCAGTCTTTTTTTTTTTTTTTTTATACTCTTTATTAACCGCAAGCAAGTAAGACTATGGTTCAGTCATCTCAGTCATTAACTCGGTGATGGCGTCTTTCAAAATCGTGAATTTTTCTGTGGTCAAAGAGTTTACAGAAAGGTGAGAGTGGATGGTGAAAGACTCGAAATAGAGATTGAACATTAGTACCGAGGGTGATAGGAAGGACTTCGTGGGTGACGTCGCTGTAAAAGGCGACAAAAGTAATTTCGGGTTCGGAGAGGGTACTATTAGACAAAGACTGAGAGGCATGAAAGGTCTAGCTTTTGTTATTCTCTGTTAAAATCAATTCGCCGCCCTCGTGGGTGGTACGGAAGATGATGACGAGAGAACCGAGCATGTTTGGACCACAGGGAGTATCTCTGTGTGGTTTGAAGAAGGAGCTCTCGTCTATCACGATTGTGAATGTCTTCACCACTCCATTCATCGTTTGGGAACTCACTATAAACATTGAGCTTGTATGGTTCAGCACGAATCATACGACGAAGGGCAGTATCTGTTTCCACAAGATCTTGCTGAATGCTGTGTAATATTATGGTGATAGCCAAATCGAACGGTGTAGCAAATTGCAATAGATTGAGCTTGAGAGCCTTTCGGTAGGATTTGTCCAGGAACGTTTCGGTGCCTTGTCCGAAGGGAGCAGGTTCGCATACAGAAATCCAACTGGCTAGCTGCTCCTTAGTTGCGTTAGCAGTGTCCAGAAATTTTGCTTCACTAAATTTGGGAAGTCAACACGAAGGGTCTTGGAAACATAAAACATTTGTGTTCACATACGTGCTTTCCAATTGCCTTTTGAAGTAGAAATGGCAGAATTCGTGAGGAACATTACACGTCCCGTTTGTGAAAGAAAAGTCTTCCACGGATTCTCTGATGCGCGCTATAGCTGAAGAGGCAGAAGAGGCCATGCTTATAAGTACTGACGGGTAAACGACAGATGAAATGGGGCTCTTATAGTTAATTCCAAACTGACTCATGCTCAACGCGCGCGCGATTCCTGCGAAAGACAGTCATTTCGAATTCAAAGTTCTAATTACTTTATACTCATTAACTGAGGCATTCACGAATCACACGTACGCGTCCTTCACAGCATCCTGCTGAGCTTGCAGCCTGTAGGAAAAAGTTCAAGGTTTACTCGTAGAGTTCCGAGGGAATTAATATTGCATTTGCCCACCTGCACAAGAAGGGCCTAGAAGACACCAAACTTAGCATCACAATGTCACTGTGTTTAATTTAGCCACGATGGCGGCGGCCTGAGTCCCGGGAAGGCGGAGGTTCAAAGTGGAGTATGTCCGCAAAGGTGAGAAACTCGATGGGTTCTGTCCCATTAAAAGCGAGGTGACCATTATGATGAATTGAGCCGTTGATATTCACTGAATACGCCGTCCCATCACAAGAAGGATTGCAATAGCCTCTATAGTGATAATCCACCGCCTTGAAGTGAACCATGCCACGCTCGAATGATAGATATTGGTTCCTGAACGTCATTCGACGATCGCGAAATTGTGGTAATCTGTGTAAATACGACTGGACAGCGATGATAGCATTCCGTGTAGTAAGATTGTGAGGGTCTGTTGCCCCTTCAGCTTGGGGGAAAAAGATCTGGAGGGGGAGAAGTGAGAGTGAAGGCGCTGGATAAAGGGGTCTGAGCGGTCGTCGAGTCGGTGGTGGTCCTCGGAGTCGTTGTGGCTGCGGGGGTTCTTGTTGCGGTCTGAGTGAAGCGAGGTTTTGTGTGGACGGTTCTGAGTCGGAGGAATCCGAGGATGATGTTTGGGAGGATGAAGAGGAAAGCGGTGATGATGGCGATATAAAATAGGGCAGTCCCCGAATCTGTAATATTTGGGTATGATTCTCCCTAGAATCTGAGTCTTCAGCCATCTGAGCAAAAGATTTCATGATCTGCCTCAGGGATACAAATAGAAAATTACGCACCATAAGAGGTGCTGCAAAAGTAAGAAAGACGAGTCGGCAGTGAGCTAGCAGGGTCACCAGAAAAACAAGAATGAGACGCATAGCCAGGGGACTTTCTTTGGCCAGCAAAGATTGTCCGAGAAGTTGATGACCTGCAGCGAGCCTTTTATCTTTGTCATGAGAGCTTTTTCCATGTTTTGCCAAGTTTTGCCCATCCGAAATGATTCCACTGCCTCGCAGTGCCTCACCCTACCCTAAAACAACCTTTGATGTGTACCAAAATTGAATTTCCCTAACAAGAGACCGATACATTTGTAGCGATAGAATGGCTCGAGATGAATCGAGCGGGTAGAAGTCGTAAGTCGGAGCACGAGAGGGAACGAAGTATTACATACATCCAGACCCCGGATGATAGACAGAGAAATAGCGTAAATATAGATATGCGTACAAGAGGGTACAACAGTACTAGTAAGGATATGAATCTAAGGTTAAACAAGTGCAAATTCATTATGAATCATCATCATTCGTAAAGGAGGGGAGAGAAGTACACGACCAACGACCATGATCGAGAAAACGCAAGGAGTCCTCAGATATCAATGCGAGTGAACGCTCCGAATAGGTCCAGGACTAATGGTTCTTCGTTTCCCCAATCCAAATATTCTATAAACTTCCTCCCTCGTCGGAAATGACACAGTTAACGTCTGTGTGACCTTCTTCGCTAAAGGAGGGACTGAATCGAAATTGAACGCCAACATTTCGAATGTCGGACTAGGCAAAGGAGATAGCGATGAGAGTGTCTCTAAGGAGGGCAAACGCTGAAGGGTCGGTCGGAGGGAAGGAAGGCGTTTACTGAATTGCTCTTTCACAGATACTGGCCCTCGAAGCCCAAGACCACGAAATCGGGCACGATAATGTGCATATCGGGAGGAATAGTGTGCATAACGCATAGAATAATACGCGTAGCGGTCATAAATATAATGAGTATGAGGTATTGAGCGTCGAAGGTTGTGACGGGAATCTGGAGAGGAAGATGCCTTCGCTAGCGGAGGTGATAAGGCTGGATTTATAATGGGATGGGGGACCGATTTGAGCGTCGATTTGAGTTCAGTCTGGGAACAAGCAGCATAAAACTCTAACGAAATGACTGAGGCAGCAGAGCTCCTTGATTTCGCCTCAATGACTCTCCGTAACTTCGCCCTCTTCTTGAACCCTTTCAGGCACCCCAAGAACCAACTGGCGTGCATCGGGAAGACGCATATGAATAATACGGCAGGTGCAATAGAGCCTATCGGTGCAACCGCTGAGGTTATTGAAGAGGAAGAGGCTGTGAAGTTTGGGATCGAGGTGGCTGTGAGAGTTGACAGCGCCAGAGGTCGATTATTCGGAAGGATATACGTTATACAAAGTACAATGTGAAAGAAGATCCGAGTAAGGAAAAACGAGACGGCGAAAAAGACGTTCGACCGCAGTCGAGGGAAAAGCGTAGCCAAACCAAGGACGAATGTCGGGAACTAGGAGGAATCAGATAACGAGAAATGCTCAAAAAAAGCATACAGACCTCCATACATGCAGCTAAACAAAATATGTGAGCCCACTTCTGTCGAATTGCGTACTCGACAATCCCGAGATAGATAACATGGTGGGACCAGCCAGTGAAGAGATTAAGCTGAGAACGGTAGTACACTGCGCCTAGGGAAAGATCACTTTGATATGCCAATGTCAGGCAGGGTCAAGACATCCTCGTAGAATTTACACTCACACCAGCAGATAAGCCTGAAAAAACCGATTTGCAGGTACAGCCAATTCCGGAAACGCGCCAACGCGTTTGACATCTCCTCGCCCAGCAAAATAATCCCATACGAATGGTAGACTGGCGATAGTCATGACGAAACTGGCGGTAGTGGTGATAATCCAAGCGACTTGCTTTGAACTGGTGAAGCCGGAAGGTCGAGCAAAGACATGATACACCAGGATGAGAGCCAGGAAAGAGGAGAGGAAGGTCAAACATTGTATACGTCCCGAGGGAACGCTGATATCCATATCGTACCCAGGGAAGGACAATATCGAAGAGGACGGAAACATCCTCAGGACTGAGTACTGAGGCCGAGGACAAAGTGTAGCGTTGAGGAAAAGAATTCTGAACCGTCTTGTTGATATTTATCGGTTCTCGATCTATTCGAAATCTATCGCACGTTTGCGGCTACCAAGATTCGAAGATAAGAACCTTGAGGACGGAGGTAGGTCGGTAACTCATTACAGGTCCTCCAAGGTCTTTTCAAGAGGAAAAAAGACGCGCCGCTTCTCACGAGTTTTGACAAAGGAGACCATTTCGCTTCGAGCCACGTTGGGTTGTACGTTTTAGTGTAAGTACGGATCGGATTGGTCGGTCCGCGAGATTCGAATTCGAACGTGCGCAGAAGAAATCTGGTGGCGGCGGCGGCGGCTGGCACAACATATAAGTCTCGAACGGTGCGAACTTAGTTGCTGCTAGTCACCACTGTAGCGCTGCCTGGCATCCCGTCAGTGACGTCCTTTTGGAGATGTGGAAGACGATAGCAAGCATTACCTGCATTTTTAGGTTGTCAGTTCAACATATCCCTACAACATCAGCAAACTTATCCAAATACACTCACTTGTAGAACGAGTAACTTTATAATCGTAAACCGGCGCGAAACGACAGTTTCGTAGGGTTCTTCTATATCCCAGTGCAGGGACCTTTTGGAGGTGAGAAATATAACCATGCGTACAAGAAAAATCCGGGTCATGGAATTTGACGATCTTCGCCAACGTTTGCACCGTGCTCGAAGTCTACATGTAATATAATTTAATGATTAGAGCATTGGCGATAAAGCAGGAAACTTGCTTGTCCAATCAAAACATACCCCAATCGTGAACGAGTTCCCAGCATCAAGTCCAAGAACTTTGGTTATCTCAATATTCCGCCTTTCGCTTCTAATATCCGGAGAACGGAGCGAGAGTGCATGGCCAAACATGGTATGAATTGGGAATAATGAATGAGTGCCATCGCGCTCAAATTCTACCAGAGCGAGATTCTACAGATGCCAAGTTTCGAGTAGCACCCAGATCGCGGAAAAGGTCCACTATACCAGTTCCCTTGACAGGATGGAGTGCACTGTATTAGGCGTTGTTAAACCTAGTAGGCTGCCAAAACTGCGGCACAGACTACAGACTACTCGATCGTTTTAGGTGTCATCAGGTTGTCCGAAGAGCGAATCATATGTCCCATAGAGAGTTGGAGCCAGCGGGGTTGGGAACGAAGACATGTGAGTCAAGAGAATGACCGTATGAGCCCGTATGGCGGTAAGGGAAGGTCCAAGGTTTTCGGAAGTGTACTAGGATGCCATCGGAATGCACGGAACATAGACATTCAAGCAATCATAGCGGGTTCTTGAAAGAACGAGGTCTGAGGGATATTAGAGACCCAGAGCCTCAGGGGAAAAAGGACGCGCGTTGGTCAAAGTGACGACCTAGAGGTTTTATGAGATTTGTGTCCTTTCTGTAGCCTGTATACCACTCACAAAATTTCTGGGAAGATTTTATACAGACACTGAGCAAACAGACACTAAACAGACGCATTTGACAATTCGCCCGATTTCTTTAGAGAATTTTTGCGAATAGTATGCATGCTGAGAGGACCATGCATGGTTAGAGGACCAGAGGTTTCCTTATACATTCGTATGCCATCCGATTCTGAGCTCCCGATTTCACCTAGAGAGAATAGTAGTGGAATGAACTTGATGAGGTTTGGATGTCTATTTGGTAACTCGTATACGCGTAAACACTCACGCGTTCAGGTTCATTCTCCAGAATTATCTACGCTCTATGCAGCCACTTTAGATGGTACAAACGCATCCTAACAGTGCGGTGCGACAAGATGCTGGTAAAAATAATATAAAATGATGTTCCCTTGCGATCAATCACTGGACAGAAGAAGCACCGTTAATTCTGTATGGTGAGATGGCCGAGTGGTCTAAGGCGCTAGATTTAGGTCATTGATCTAGGACTCTAGTCATTCGTGGCGTGGGTTCGAATCCCACTCTCATCAGAGGGAAAGTCTTTCTTAGACAATACAGTGGTTCTTTTTAGTCACCTTGTACAAAGATTAAGATTGCTTTGGTTGTACAGTTCGATAATCTGGCATTGTTTTCTACTCTTGTAGGCAGCTTCAATTTCATCGAAGTCTTTTGGTCTTCCTTGGTGCGTCCAGCATAATACTCGATTGAAGACTGATCATGATTATCAGCCGTTTAGGCAGTGTTCAATTTGAATGTAAATAATTGCATGTACACCTGTGTACACCTTTTCCTATCTCTCTCTTGACCATCGAATATCACCTGAAGACCAATCAAATGGACACGATGCAAATAATCCAGACGATCGTCACTTATTTGGATTGAATCAAAAAGGTTATTCGCCTCTTCAAGGTTTGTAATGAGTCTACATGTACTGAAAACAACCGATGATCTTTACTGCTCGAGCCAGACTTCAAGGATGACTACGAGCAGAAATATCCAGAGGATCCCGTGTTTGAGGAGATGGGTCCTATTGCTAGAGTCTGGCGGATGTACTTGGCTGAAAGCTCTATGTTTGAAATATGGCCGGAGAGGCTCGGGATGGATTGGATGCGATGTTAGTTTTTGTAAGTCGTTCTTTCCTGTATGATTGTTCACAGAAGTAAGCTCTGCTGTGCGATGCAGGCTGGTTTGTTTTCCGCCGTCGTCACGACATTCGTAGTCCAAACATCCCAAAGTCTCCAGCCCGAGGTGGACTATACCCAAGTCTCAGCCTCTTTATTGTCTGAGTTGGTCTTCCTTTTGCGCGCGGCTGCTTCTAGCAGTCCTCTCAATAGCATCCCTACATCTTCACTGCCACTGAATGCAATGACGCCAACACATAACATTCTTGATGTCTGGGTAAACGGTCTCTGGGTGATTAGTTTATCCCTTAGCCTCGCCGTAGCTCTTGCTTCAGTACTTGTGAAGCAATGGCTTCGCCGATACCTTGCTATACACTCCGGAACACCTAAACACCGAAGTCGTATCTGCCACTTTCGGTATGTAGGATTCGAAAGGTGGGGCGTGCTGCACATCGTCGGGTCATTGTCAGTGATCATGCATCTCTCCCTGGCTTTCTTCTCTGTTGGGCTGCCAGTGGTGCTTTTCCGGATTCCTCTGTAGCTGGTTCTTTCGTGCATAATAGACGCAGTGACGCTTATGCGCATTATGTTCACAAATATCCTGCCCATTTTTGATCCTCAAGGTCCTTGCCAGACACCACTCTCGGATTTTATCCTTACAGTTTGGATAACTCTGGGTGCTTTCTGGAATATTTCTGCTCGTGAGTCGTTTCCTGATGGCATATCGAGCTCCCCGCTGCGTTCACTGAAGCCGACGGAACTTGAGGCCCAGTGAAAAACCCGTCGAATTAGACCGAATGAAATCGTGTCAGATATTATTTACGGCGCTTTGAATCGAGTGTCCTCGTGTTTTCCATATGCCACTCGATTTTGCCCAATATTCAGTCATTTCTTGCCTGTTCTCCTCGAACGAAATCTTTTCATTCTGTTTAACTCGTAGTCCACGTCGCCATGTAGATTCAATCGACGATTCAAATCATATCCTTCGAGACTGTGCGAACAAATTTCAGAAAAACCCAAGTATCATGCAAATCTCTGAGTCTGATGTTGTCCACGGTCGCAAACGACGCCATTCCGACCAAAGTGATGACTTCGAAAACACTTCACCGCTCCGTCCCACTAATCAAAAATGTGCCACTCATGCTGCTCATGCCATTCAATGGTGCGTCATAGTTTCAAAATTTCATGTATTATCCCGATCTTCTAATCATTTTTATCACAGTCTGTATAACTCTGGTGTTGAAGATTCTCAAGTCAAGTCACAAACATGGGCTTTGAGTATATATCAACATGCAGGTCAGTCCGTTCTTGTTGATACAAATATGTCTTAAGTCAAGTATACGTTCACTTGATGTTGATCAGCAACTTGTTAGCATCTTCCAATGCCCAGCTCCTCCAGTCCGACAATTTCGAGGGAACGAAAGGTTCTCTGGAGTATGTTTTATTTCCATATATCTCCGCAAATCTTCATAACACCCTTGTTTTTCAGCTCTGTTGCCGGCCATGGAGAGCATCCTCAGAGTAGAGATGCAGCTGCAATCATGGTCCACTCTGGTGCGTACTACAACATGTTCCTTAATTCGATAGAAAAAGCGCCATTCACTACGTTCGAGATTGAATCCAATGCAGTCATGGATGGTTCTGAAGATGTGGGAACACTCGAAATCAAGGAACACGCAACTTCGATGTCTGCTAATGATGTCAGTCCTTCTGTCCCTTCAACTTCGACTTCTGCTGCAGCCACTCTCACTCCTTCGGATCCTGTTACACCAACTACAAGTGGCATTACTGATGACAGTGCAATGTCTCCGGTGATTACCCCAACTCTGGTCCCAGCAAAAAAGGCCTCCGGGTTCATGAAGCCTGGAAAGAGTACAAGCGTGAGGTAAGGTGTTTTGCTATTGATTGTGAACGGAATCTGACATCACGTGCGGAAGTGGGCCATCGCGCTTCGCGCGTGGCATGTACGAGTCCTCATTGGAATTCTTCAGCTGTACTGATAAAAGATATGTACATGACTTACAATCTTGAGGGTAAAGGGCGCCGAAGCAAAGGATTGGGTCACACAGACTCACATTATAGGGTCACGTGAATTTTCCAGGAACAATCAGTCACAGCCCATAAAAGGCAGATTGCACTGCTGAAAAAGGAAAGTCATCACGTTTTCCCACATTCAAAGTCACCATAAGGACGAATCCTACATTTCATTTCGGACTCGTAAATGCATCAACCCAGAAATCTAAGCGCCATCGATTGGGTTAAAACAAATAAAGGTGGTAGTACTGCAGAGTTTGCAGCTCACTGGAACAAAATTGAGAAAACTCTCGAAGCCGAGGTAAGTTTTCCATGAATGCCTCTTTTGTTGTATGATCTGACAGTCTACTCAGCCATACCATCAGGCATCGGCTGCTGCTAAGGAGGCTAAGAAGCAGGTCAGCATTTCTTTTGGTCTAGGAACGACATGCTAACCTCAATCTACAGGCTGCGCAGAGTTAATTGAACTGATATTGGGCCCATTATCAAACCAGCAGGATAATTTTCTCTTTCATATCATATGACCCAACTAGAATTTATTCGAATTGAGAACCACTATGAATAGATTACAATAGATCCTTTTCTGCTAATAGGAATCATTCTGAACCAATACGAACAGAATTTGCGATAAGCAAGTGCAACAGAGAGAACAGATCCGGAACAACGTCAAAATACGGACAAAACGATACCACACTGCAGTAATCTATCTATCCGAAATCGTCATCTGAAAATGTCTCATATTTCGAATAAGGTTGGTTCTCATCGACATTAGCCGAGTGACTCGCTTTTACCCGTTCTCATTCGTTCTCATCCGACGCGATTTTCGCTGGGCTTGAGGAGCTATCGGTTCATACTCTACATTGGCTATGCAAAGTATCATCTATTCTCCGGCGCGTGGATTACAGACCTCTACTTCCGCTTGCTGTCCCTAAGTATGAAATATAATGCTAGCTCAGACTTGTTTTGTCCGTCTGGACTTGAACCCAAGGTAGAGAGGATTCAGCGAGCCGTTGTGGTCTTACTATTAGGGGGAGAAAAAGAACTTACCAATCCAATCAACCCTCATGCTAATCGACTGTATTCAGATGATTCCCGCTACCTCTTTAGAGGTTGAAGGGTTTAGTAGACCCAGTTTTTTCGAAATTAGCCATCCCTTGTCATCGGTTTTTAGTCATATATCTCCTTTTGGTCATTCGCTTTTCGAGTTGGTGAGGTACTACTACTGCTGGAGAGTACAGGTTGGGCAGATGCAGCTACATGCGGCGCGCCCTACGCGCGCCGCATTTTCTATCTACAATACAAGTATATTAGCCATCACAGGTGTGGTCCCATTGTAGTACAGACCTCTACAAACACTACCTCTTACTACTCATCCTGTGTCAGCGTTCAATCCACCTTGTACTTAGTGCTCACAGACACCCATTGACTGGTAGCGGGCCCTGCCGTTCACCGGCGCTACTTCGTTACTGTATTCAGATGATCTCTCTAATCAACAACAGATACGTAATTCTAAAGTCTTGTTACTGCTTATGCAGGCTCAATTCCATCAGCAGTTCCTTATCAGTCTCTTCGAGCATTCATCGCCCACTGTCAAGAAAAGCATCATCCGTCTGTCTGGATGAATATAGTCCAGAACGCTTTCTATGCTGATGTTGGTCGAATTCTTGGAGATCTCGAAATATTCAAAGTTCTTTTCCAGTCCTTGTGGTCTCGTCATTTACAGCATCCGGGTGACATTCATTCTGTGAATTTCGCAAACGAGGCCGAGAGTATCGAAGTTTTTACCTTGCCATGTACAATGCATATGACGATCCATGATTGCATGAATGCATAGATTTGTTGTAATTACATTGTTGGAGTAAACTAGGGCTCCTGGGCTGTCTCTATGCAAGAAAGATAGAGCTGCTTGCTCAGATTTGTTTATTGAAAAGGCTAGTAACTATGCACTTGAGCTCCTCCACAAACAAAGCTAAGCAGTGCTCCTATGATGTGAGGAGGCTGGTTTCGTCCTAGGCTTTCGGAATCCGCTGTATGTTCGACGAAATTCAATAGAGTCGCATATATTCGAGTAAGGTATATATGTGTATGAAGGTATGCTACAGTATTATATGATATTATAACGTCGTTGTGTTTCGGGTGTTTAAAAAATAATCATGGTGATCAAGGATCAAAATCCAAGAAAACGCAACTATATCTTTGAAAGATATGTTTGTCATGATCATACTTGCAGTTTTGCAAGGTCTATTGGGTGAAATTCTCCGGCCTTTAGTAATTCATTTACTTTTTCGCGTATTTACTCTTCATACGAATTGCTTTGCCGTATTTCCAGAAAATGACGGGTCTATACATGCAGGTCTACGTCAGTAAGTTGTTGCAAGAAAATTGAGCGAACGGAAGATTAACGGAGTAGAGGAGACACTTATTGCAGAAAGAAATAAAGAAAAGCGAATGATCAAGGTACTCACGCAGGCAACCCGATAGCAATACTGACAGCCGCCAGAATTGTGTCGCCTTTACCAAATCCTATTGCGTTGTACATCGCTGGTGCAAAAAGCGGAAAACCAAAACCGGCGAGGGAGCGGAGGCAGGAGATTGAAGCGAGAGCTGTCAAGAAGGAACGATTAATGTGGTTCACGACAACTAAGAGAGCATAAAAATGATTTCGGAGTGGAAGAACGGAGAGCGAAAAGGTAGGAAATAAGATATGATGAATCGGGGAAGGAAGATTAAAAGGACACAAGAACGGATTGGTCAATAGAGATAAACAATGAGGAGATTAGAGGAAGTAGAAAACGAGACTACATATTTGAGGTCATGAGATGAAAACTCACCACTAGCAGCATGCAAGGTGAAGCAATCTACAATGTATGTTTGCATCGATTGAAACGTAAAAATGACACCAGCTCCGACGAAAGCCATGCCCTATGCAATGAAGGAATGGCTAGTTAGCACTATCGCGGAATAAGAGAATGCCTTATAAACTCACAAGATCAGTAACAACCCAATGGACACGCTCTTCTGCTGCCCACCCGCTGATCAAAAGTCCGACAGGTAAGCAAAAGCTTCCCAGTATCATGGCGGGTACACGAAATTCCGGTTGACCGACTCCGTTATTTTTATTCTTGAAGTGCACATATATTTTGTCCATATAATGGGCGTTGAGTTGAGAGGAGACAGTCAGACCAATGCCAAGTCCGATGTAGTTGAGACCACCTGAAGTCGTAGAGGGACAAGTAGCAGAGTCAAGTTTCGGGTCATTAGAGCACAGATATGTACTACAAACCTATTCCTGGCGACTCGTGGTATACCTGCGTGAAAATCGTCGGTATTGTCGTGAGATAAACTAATCAATGAAATAAGTGAAATTCGTTGAGCGACATGAAGGAGACTTACGATAGAATACTCCATATACAAAGGCCATGTACAGGCCAATAACTTGAGCGATAGGCTCACGAAAGAAGAGAACAAAAGGTCGGGTGAGTGATCTTTGAAAAATCTCTTTCATTCTGTAGGATAAATGATGAGGACGAAGCAGTCAGGAATTGTAGAATACTCACGTCCGGCCTTCTTGATTGGAATACACCGTCTTCACATCCAACACCCCTTTCTCCGGGTCCCCGGAAATTTCCTTTCTGATTTTCTCTGCTTTCCGTTCAAGGAGGATAGGTGCGAAAGCTTTGAATAGCATTAGTCCACATGGCGGATTATAGATCGTCACATCAAACACTCACTCTCCTGTAGCCAAAACGTCCCAGCCACCTGAATCGCTGCATCTACGATCGTTGTCGACCAAAAGACCCATCTCCACATGTTACTCTGACTACCAAGTGCGCCTCGATCTCCCACACTAATTCCACTTTTATCCGCAATCCACGCTCCCGCGATGGGACCGACTACCGGACCCAGTAGGGGTGCCAGACTATAGACAGCGATCGCTTTCCCTCGTTCTTCTGGGTGCCAAACGTCGCCGAGAACACCTCCGCCGATGGAGAGAGGTGCAGAACCGCCGAGACCAGCAAGAAAGCGGAAGACTAGAAGTTGTGTAGTGTTTTGAGCGAAACCGCAGACGAGGTTCCAGACTGATATAAGGTTCAAAAAAAGAGGGTGATAGCAGGGTACAGTAGAACGTACCAAGGTAAAACAGATTAGCAGCTTGCAACACTCTCGAACGACCATAGATTTCACTCAATGGACCGAGAATCTGTGGAAATAATTAGGCTTAAGGGAAGTTTGTTATCGAACACGAACGAGCTCACCAGAGGTCCAATAGCTTTTCAAAGAACACAGGTAATCAGTAAATTATGTATGAAAAGGAATCAATCCTCACCATACGCTAACACGAAAATACTCGTTGTCATTGCTATGAGAACATCATTTGTGATTCCAAATTGAGCCGCAATAGTCTCAGTTGCAGGCGCAACCATGGACGAAGAGACAGGACTAATGAAGGTGAACGCTGAGACGATAGCAGTTGCAGCCCATTTGCGACGGAAAGTCCAACTGTGAAAATTTCTTGTCAGAATTCGGCAAAGGATGTACGGATGTAACTTGAACATACTTTTTAGGATTGCTAGGATCATCTGGTCCGTCCCAGTCAACGACTATTGTTCGTTCGGATTCACCGTCTTCATCGATTACTTCCTTCGCCTCCAGTTTGGATTTTTCTGCTTCCTTTGCTTTCTTTGCGTTCATGACCTCGGATCTTAGTTCGGGGTCTTCAACAATTGTCGAAGTTGGTGTGTTAGCGTTACTAAATTGTAAGCTATTTGACTGCTGGCTCTGAATTTGTGGAGAAATCCGACTTTCTGGCTTCGTTGTTGAGCTCATTCCGGAGTTTGTCATGAGGTTCGTTGCGCGATGAGGAAAAATTAGCGTGTGAGGGGGGCACCATGGTTATATGTAAGTTTTCGGAAGTGGATCCGCTATGTTGAAAAGGTTCATCGTTGGATGACGCGAGGAAGATGACGTTTGAAGCGAAAAAAACGGGCGCTAAATTAACATGCTCCCAATTGGGCAGGTATTTCGTGGGACCCGGAACCACCTCGGGACCCTTCCAGAATTTCGCAACTAACGAACACTTACACACTGTACACTCCGCTTACACTTTTGTATGCAGACTGACAACCCCCGCCTAGGTGCTGGTAATAAAGTCGAATATGGATGAATCATGCCGGTCATGTTCTCCACTTCTTTGAACTATTGGATTGACAATCGTTTGATAATCTTTTCTGCGTTTCCTTCATGGATGCAGCGTGCCTCGCAACTGGTCACTCCATATCGTCTATCCACCTTCGTCTTTTTGTCAACCTGTCCCGTCATCCGAGCATCAGTTCTTGTAACGCTTGGTCTTCGACTCTCACACCCAGCGCGTGCCGTCTCTCTTAAGTCCCAAAGACTAAGAGGAAAGGTCGCGCCAGGATTCCGCCACACCATCTTTTGATGTTCCGACGATTCCCTTGAGTGGTTGATGTAGGATGGAGTTTAGCGTTGCATCCGGAACCCAGGATCGAGATACTTGGTCTAGTGGAGTCTGGTCGTGATCATGAGCTTCAGTCCCAGTTGGTCAATGACATCGATTGGATGGTAATTAGGATTGGCCCCTTCAAAAGGGACAAGGAATGGGGGATACGCCGGGTTCAAACTGGAAAGACCGTGCCTTGTCTGTCTTGTGAATCCCGAGCTCCTTGTATGTGGATTAATTTACTGTGACTGATGTACATGATAACTTATACACATCCCAGATCTCCTCGATGGTATCAGATTTTACCAAGAGTATCCGCGTAATGTGAGTAAACTAAATTTGTATACTTCCTGCCACAAACTTCTTTCCTTATCTGAAGACCGCTTCACCTCAAACTGTCAATTCTTTGAAAGTCAGGAAGAGTAGTTAGCCATACCTCAGGACGTAAGTGAATTCTTGAATGGTATATTCATGATGTTTTCGGCGAAGGTTAACACAACTCTTCAGTCGAGGAACTTTTGTCTTTGTGGGTTGAATAACTGTGTCGATGCTCGTCGGCAATGTTGAAGCCACAGGTCACGAGTAAGAAACCGAACGAAATTAGAGTCGCATCTCATGTATGTATGGCTGATATCAAGCGATAAAACCTCAGCTCGCAGCACTAAATATGCAGTAAAGTCTATACATAGTACAGGAAGGGGACAGAAACAGAGTGAGTGCACTGTTACAGAGTTGCACTCCAGTGGAACGACGACCAGATGTAATTTTCGTCGCGGGGCTATGGTCATAGAATGGTTTCATATCCCTCAGTGATATTCTGCTCCGAGTCGTTGGCTATGTATATTTTCCCGGTCCAGGCATAAAATTTAAACCCTCATACTGGATCTCCCCTCTAACACATCGTCTTATCTGATCTTCTCTTAGTTCCGCTACGTTGTCCCTACCCTTCCCTACCTCATGTCGACACCCGACGGCCTACTAAAACTATCCCTCGGGCTCTGAGCTTGTCCGAGTACGCGAATTACACCCTAACTCATCCTTCAAGCTTATAGAGGTCTTGTCACGACGAGGAAGCTCGGTGAAATTTAAGTCACCAGTGACGACCATGTAGTACGCTCTCTAGTACGTGCCCTTCAGCTGTGGTATCGACTGGTATCAATTGAAGTCATCGGAACACTGCTGTTACTATCGATCTCAATCCTCATCAATTCCCTCATCACATCGCCCCTGCAGGAGTAGGAAGGTATTCGTTCTCCGATTGAACATGCTGTCCTGTTGATATAAAGACAGCATACCCCCCGATTCGCCCTTCTTTACATCGCTGGTCGAATTGTTTTGCTGGTCGAAATCGTTGCTTGCTGCTTACTTTGTCGTCGTCCTAGTCGTTCATAACCCTATCTACGATTCCATTATGATGTTCCTCAATCCATGTGGCGCTGTGTTCAAGGCGTATGTTGTTCTTGTGCTCGGTTTTTCCTCTATCGCGTCGACACTTGCCGCACCCGTCGCTCTCTTAGTGAGTTAAATCTTTTGCGGTTTTGGACTTTGCTCAAATTTTGGTTTCATATTGTATAGACCGTCAAAGCTGCTGATTTGAAAGTTCGCTCCATCTCAGACAATGCAATCTTTCCCCGAGACGGAACAGGAACCAGGGAACCGTTTTCATCCGACTCGAGCACGCATGCGCTCCAGATGACCGCGAAATTTCACGAAGATCTATCTGTGAAGTTTCACGGAGATAATTACCGGAAGGCAGGGATAGCTTTGTTTGAAAGGCTTGTAAAAGGTTTTGCGAGGGAGCATTTCAAGGTCGATGCAAGTTGGGTAGCAGATAATGTTACTATCCAAGGTCTAGAAGATATAAAGCCCAGTGGAAACGAGAAGTATACGTGCGACCTCAGCGGTTTTACCGGGGCGAAGGTTACCGCCAGAGCTTCAGTGTTTAGTTGTACGATGGAGCTTGTGGAATCAAAAAGGCCGAAACCAGGTGCAAAGAGGACACTGTCATACAATGGAATCATCAAGGATAAAGACGGTCAAGTTGTGTATGAGGCCAAATTCGGAGTTAAGGTTCGCTTTTATCTACGTGTCTTTCATCGTGAATGGAATTAAATACTATCTATTATCTTTGAACTTCCAGGTAGACCATAACAAAGATGCAGCTGACGCTACGAAGGACTTATCGAGTGGTACCCCGACCAAGGCTGAAGGTCCCTCCGCAACGAAGCCTAGCACATCCACCTCTAGTTCAATTGTTATCACCACTAGTTCGAAAGCATGAGTTCTAATCTTGCGACACAAGCAGAGGGTTGAGAGAAGCAGGTAACGTACCTAATCTCTTACTCTTATTTTGTTTTCTGTAGTATTGATTAGATAGTGCAATCCCAGATGGCCATTCAATGTGTTCAAAGAAGTTACCGTTGGACTTCGTGCCCCAATGAATGGACCAAGTTCTATACAACCCGACACGATGTTATGTAGTTACTTTTTCAGAATTTAATCCCATGGGTGCTCGGCGTCTTATTCGTGTGTCCACCTGCGACCATTGCATTACTGCACCCAAAACCCAGCCGTTACAGGCCAAACCATTCGTATCAAGGCTACCATCTGCCACCATTTCATTATCCGGGACGACACCTGCTTTCCTCCAGGATGTTCCTCATAACCACAGTTGGATATATCTTCAATTTTTTCTCGATGCGATACCGTAGGCTAGTAGTTCACATTAGCTCACAGAGGCTTACTGAATTGAGCGTTTCTTCCCCTGCTCACAGTGCGTGAGATGAACAGTAAAACAGATTTTACAACAAACAGTTAGTCTACAATGATCCCAATCTACACACATTGAATTTCTTTCCGGTGAGCCGTCGCACTTGAGTCATACAAAATTCTAGAGGTGGGCCAAGACGGCTTCAGCGCCAGAAACGGTGACCTCTGTTCCTGGCTCGACCTTGGAGAGATGCAATAGGGATTATCAGCCCTGGAAGACAAATGACTATGTAACCACATACTTCGACATATTTTACGACAAGATCATCGATGATCAAGGCGTAACGGGCGGTGCGGGTACCGAAAGCCAAGGCAGAGAGATCAAGGTCAAGACCGAGCTTCTTGGACCACTCAACATTGGGGTCAGAGAGTGTGAGAATCTGGGGAAAATGGATATCGCGTCAGTCTGATAATGGCGTGACGATGAGGGTTTGTGATTATGAATCTGGCAAATGCCTGACTGAATAGACTCGGGAGAAGCGACAAAGGGAAGATGGAAAGAATAGACTGGACGATAACAAGAAACTTTGGAGAATCACCTTGTCCTTCAATCCTTCGAATCGTCCCCACCCGCTCATCACAAAGGCATCGTTGGCAGCAACTACAGCGATGACATCGACACCCTTTGCTTTGAACTCGTCGTACTTCTGAACGTAGGGCGGAAGATGGTTGACATGACAGGTTGGCTACGATATGATATTAGTACTAGTGTAACCGGAGCACTCAGAGGTAGCACTTGCAGTAAAGGCACCAGGAACAGCGAATAGGACGACTTTCTTGCCTTTCCAATCTTTGCTGACCGTGAGCTTGGTTGCTATAATGCATACATTGATGACTTGTCATAGAAGAGATTTGTGCAACACTCACGGACACCACAGGCTGCCTAGAAATCATGATTAACAGGAATACATATTCAGTTTTCTTCCCTTCAAAGTGATTCAAAATAAGAACACAAGTCCTTACATGGCTGTCGAGCTCGGGGCTGTAAGGAATATAGGTAAATGTACCATCAGGTACAGTATCGCCGACTTTGATAGTTGGAGCCATGGAAAGAGATAGATGGAAAGGTCAAAAAACGATGGAGATGAATGTGGAAGTCAAAGATGTTAGTTTTCAGCACAGATTCCACATTTTATAGAACGATTCGCAATCGATAATAGTCACATGAGCATTTAATTGCTTACGCGTTAAAATGTTGGTTCGACGCGTTTTTTGACCTTGCTTTCTCAGAAATCTAGTTTGACAAGAGATACACTTCGGATAACCTCGGTCTCAATTCATACCCATATGGTTCGGGAGGGGCGCATCATGACATCGACAGAGACGTGTCGATAAACTATCGGATAAGCTGTGTATATTACTGGAGCCTTGTGTGCCAGTGTGGTTCTGTCACCGAGCGATGACAATTCGCCCTCTAACATCGGTGGCTTTGAGTTGCGAACGTGTCACTCTAAGTCTACTTCTTTCCTTTCGAGATCTTTCCGTATTGTCTTCATGCACGATTATTCACTAGCGTCCATGTTGAGCAGTGTTAGGCAAACAGCTACGAATATCTTGACTGCTGAATCTCAGGCTCTGACTTCTGACTTCTACGGCAAGCTCAGCTGTAAGTCGCTGCGTGAACCGTATTATATCTTACTGAAGCGTTCTGGATTCTCTTTCTCAGCTGTGACAATGGTGTTCCAATGACTCAAGTGACAAGTACTTCATTTACGACGTATATATGCGATGATACATCGTTCATGTGGATCCTATTTACCTGGGTTATCAATAGGCATTTTTGTTTCGAGGTGCGCTGAGTAACTTATTCAACAGAGAACCTATCTCGGAGGAAATTCACGTATCTTTCAGACGACACGTTGAAGCTTGAACAGTCAAAAGAGTCCCTAAGCCTAAGAGCTCCCTGAAGACCATCGAGCAGGACACCCAACATGTTTGTGGAATTGGAAGTTGTCGAAAATAGCATTATACAGCCTCTAAGTATTCAACCTTGCCAATTATAATATGCTGGGGTTGGAGGGGGTTGGCGATTTGGACACTATCCATTTGGTGATCTTTCATCGCCGATTTAATATCGTCTACAGCCACAACATGATACAAACATATCAGTGGTTTCTTGTTATGGTCTTTTTTGCCCCCTCCACTCACTCTCGAAGTGGTTTCTGAACTTCTATAAATCATTGATTGATGTCAAGGCGAAAATACATCTGATGCTTTCATTTTCTCTCAAGCTTTATGTGCGCTTCTACTATGGAATTACATCTCCGGATCCTGATTCAGCTCGGATGATTTGCATGCAACAGATATCTCTTCGATACTTTAGGTTACTGGACCTGAAGGAACAATGTTAGAAATATTCACTTCATTTAGTCCAGCTGATCAATCACTAAAGTGGGGTCTCCTGCCTTCCTGTGATACATCGGTTCACGTACAAAGTCAATGAGAATCTCAAACAGCACGCCAAGCAAGATCGCGGGATGGCAATCCTTTGATGACTGTTACCCTGAGATTGCTCTGGAAGTCCCACCGAGGCTAGTTCTAGCAGTGATTTGCTCATATAGCATTGAGGTTCAAGTTCAACTGAAGGTATCGTACTTTCAAATACCTCGTCCTATGCTGTCCTCGGAAACGTAATGATACATATGCCAACATATCGTGTGCTAATATAACAAAAAATAATGAGTTAGGGCGTTGATAGTACATACACGTCGAGCTTCTGCTTTTCTCTCTTTCTCCCTCTCATTTCCCTATCGATAACGTACAGCCATTCGGAGAATTCACGAATGGGTTTGAGTTCGTGGAATGAGGTATCAATGCTGGATGATTTCCAACTTCATCAGATTCGCAATTCGAGAGTGGAAGCATCACAAACAAGGAACTTACTGTTCTGTAATAACGACTACAGGAATAGTTAGGAGGTCTTCAAAATGGTCTCGAGAATACACTTGCCTGGAATGATAGTTGTTATCCGGAGGATATTCAGGTTCATTCCTTGTTGGGGGTCGGTTTGGAGCCGTTGAGACGAAGAACCGTAACGATCCTGATGGATCGCCATATTGTAAACATATGTCGAACAGTCCCGAGTCAGACAACGCGCCTCCTAACGCGTATGCACCGATTTCTGACTGGTAGATCGAGTATCGCGAGAAGCTATTGTCTGGAACGCACATCTACATGCAAATGTAAGCCACGGCATCATTGTGCCGGTATCGAAAGTCACTTTGGAGAGGATTCGCTCTCGAATGAAAGATCCATTCGGTGCACCCGTTATTTCCACAACACGATATTGCTCTGCATTAGAGCTTACGATTATGCGCGTGGTCGGTAACAGCCTAGACCTAGCATGGTCAAAGGAGGGTTAGTATGGTCAGTTGTGGCTTTTAAAAGACTGGGTATATGTAAGGATAGCTCACATGAGATAGTGACAAGGACACAAAAACTGGAGACCTTCAAATAGGGTGTTCTTCGGAGCCTGCCTTTATGGGACGAGGACCACATCAATACGTTGTGATGAGGAAAAGTCCTCGATGATCGATTCGAGGCGAAAAACCAATAACATGAAGTGATGAGAGATTGATGCAAAGGCAAGCGAGGGAAATTCAGCCAAAATTCAATCATGACGGTTTGGGTAAGTGGAGTGAGCGTCCTGGACCACGGAATGATATCGAAGCTTGATTGAAGGACCCATCTCCAATACGCAGGAAACGTGTCTTGCAGAAGGGGGAAGGGATGTGTACCGCAGTAAGGAACGATATCCAGATCCTGCAAGTCCGGGGCAGAGAACTAGTCATTACATAACGAGCCTTGGTCTTTGGCCACATAGGAAAGAATTTTGCACTGCACGTACAACAGGGCCCAGCCACAACCTTGAGGGAGAGAAAAGGTCGTTCCGTAGAAGCCGAACTTGGAAACTGACAGATTGTGAGTATCGGAACTGATTGTTGTAAATCATCAGGTTGAATAGTCCATTGGAACATTTGATTATTGGACTATACTTCGGTCCATCTTCGCTGGATATTGGTGCAGTGCAAACACCGGGACGCCACAAAATCTAGGAAGTTGAGGCAACACAAAACTCGTTCGACCTTCTGGGATTGAGATATGTTCCCTTTCAAATCGATAGATCTTGAAGGAGTTTCTGTACGATGAAATGATTCACTGGGTAGGGCTGAGGGAACGCGATTCTCTGAACGCTGCTAATAGAAGAAATAGACAGTAGTAGACAGTCTTAATGTCAGTTCAGTTCGTATTCAAGTTCGTATTCAAAGTTAGTAACTAAAATCTAGTATTTGATAGTTATGACGCTCACCTTCGTTGATATCAACGGAACAGTTGAGCTCTGTTCTCGGTTCGTATCTAGTTTGGCGAAAGGAATTCGGTCGTGTCTGGATCTTCTCTTGTATAGGATTGAATTCTTGCAAGCAATCTTTTGAATTGACTGGCCCCAGAATGCGAAGGTCAAGCTCGGCGAAGACATGGAACTATGTAGCGCCGTGCAAATCATCCGCCGGCAGGACTTTTGAATCTTCAGGCCTCATGATCATGATCAGGAACTCATCACAGTTTCAGATTGACTTCCTTCACTTATGTGTATCTGCTTGAACACCCCAGTACCTCCCGCGTAGAGGAAGGACCCGTAGGTACAGCTATCATCTTTTCAGTCCTTTGCATGACACACTATCCGTTTTGCCTGGAAATCAAACACGTTTCTCCCTATTCCCTAGGGAGCACATCATCCAACATTTCTTCCTAGCAGCCAACTTGTGACGCTACCGCCTTAGCTCTACTCCAAAGAGAATCAGCCATAGAGAGACCATCAGGATCGAGGGATGTTGGACAATTTAACTAGACCTGCTTATAACAGTTATTGCACAGGATTCCGAGTTCGACGTTAGATTTTTCATTCCGTCCTTGCGGGTCAGAATTCTCGATAGAACTAAGATTATATGCGAAGTTCATCGCCTCCTCCACATCGCCACAAAGGAATAGTTGATTGGGCCACGGTGAATATTTCATCCCCTGTTCCGTCTAAAAATCTACTTCATCAGTGCACTTTTAGTACTGTGGTACTCGCGAAGCTCAAGAGGGTACGTATGGTAACAAGTATCATATAGTTATAGTGGCCCATGTAGTATTAATAGGTGTTGACGTTGAGTGAGGTTGAATCTGGTTGAGTGTTCTTCAACTGAAATTTCGTTGAATTCTCAACAAGCATGTACATCCTGTGGTTTGATCCAGTATTTTATCTCTTGCCTTTCATTTAAAAAGTCATCAGAGCGCTTTCCATTCGTTCCTTGCGCTAAGTACAATTTCATGAGGCCTAGTAAACTCGATCAGAAAAGCAGGCTGGGGTTGTATATTATCTGTAGTGCAGTGTTGAGCGTTGCATGTTGACGAAGAGAATGAGGAGGTAGTGCGAATCGGAAATGAGCTCTACCTATATTATGTGTTTAAATCCACCTATGATGCGAGGTGCCACCTACATTATGAAGTTTATTGATTTGTATACACTTCTAGTCCAAACGGCGTCCTTGGAGCGCACGACACAGAAAAGTGCCCAATAGGGACAGGCAGATTAACCATATACATTATAAACCACAGGTACAGTAGGTAACGCGAGAGTAAAAGAGAGTGCATGATGACAAGTGAGTGGGTACATATATGGGTAGTGAATCCTCTAGCATAATGGTATCACATAAATAAATGTGAAACGGTGAATGTTCCTAGGGCTAAAAGTAACATAGCGGTAGGAAGACGCAATTATAGGCAAGAATCGATCGAACAATATAAAGGGCACAAGAGAAAGAGTGGGGAGGCAGAGTGGTATCGCCCAGGTAGAACACGACGAGGCAAGGAAGGAAACAAAAAATTCCACGATCCACGATTCCACAAAGGAAAATAGAAATAGGGGTGTATTCAAGAACAAGTAAACTAGATGAATATGCTAATTTTGGGAAAGATGATGTAGCCTGGGAAGAGAGCGAGAGTATGGGAGCAAGGTCCTTGGAACAGCAGGTTTTGCTGACAATATAGAGGGAAGCTGGTCCGTGGCGATATCCATCGGAATTTCCGCCACTCTAGAAGGCAATTATTTTTGACACCGTATCAGAGGACTCGGGTATAAGACGGTTGTCATTTCGGGTGATCACGGAATCGACGCGCATCAGAGATCGAACCTCTGGAACCAAGGTCGTGGTGCGAAAGTCTCGCCAGTGGGCGACCTGCAGGAAAAGGATTGAGTTGTAAGAAACGAGTAACGAGTACGAGACACCAACAATGATAGAGGAGAGTCTGAATAAGCTCCCGCAGCGACTGCGGCTGCCACCGCAGCAAGAGACGACAATGAAGGCGAACCCATTGAAGCTATCGAGTCTGTGTCCGAATCTCCAATAGTGATGCGTTGACGTTTGAAGCGGTTTTTGAAAACACCATATCTCGGAGGAAGAATGTGCTCTGAACCTCCTTCATCAGGCGTACCTATTGAGTCCGAGTCGTCAGAGTCTGAATCGCGCTGGGTACCGATAGAACGGTAGCCAGGTTCATCAGAACCTTCGTCGCTGTCGTCGTCGTCATCCTCCAGAACAGAGTGGCGACGAATCTGGGCAGTAGAAGACCTGGTTCTAGATGGGTTTCTCGACACAGGTACAGAGATTTCGCCGGTGTTGGTACGCTTTACGCGAACACGAGCGTTTTCTCTGGACCGCTGGCGGATAACATCAGTTCGCAGGTGGACAGGTCGATTATGTCCATGGAGTTTAACGTAAAGACCGCATCTAACGATAATTCTTGAGAAATTGCCCTGAAGAAGTCGCTGATAGCATGGACTTACGCGTTACACAAGAGCTTCCCTTCGTCTGTCTTCCTCCAGAGAGGCGTTGTCGAAGTAGAGCAATTGGAGCATTCTTGAGCTGAACGCATACTTGTTAGGAGTGTTGTAAAAAATATCAAGCGGGCTGCTCACGCGGACTACTCTCAACCTGCTCTTGCTTCGACTTGCTCGCCGTCTGTCTCCTCTCTGACGGAGTCTTACCATTCAACGGACGATCCGAACCATTGTGAGTCTTTGAATATAGACCACAACTACATGATAAGGTATCAAGATTGAGTTACTATTTCTTCCGAGCTGAGGGAGGAGAAAGGTTTGCTTACGCATTGCAGAGTATTTTCATACCAGTGCGATCCCGTCTCCAAAGAGGTGTCGTCGTTGTATGACAGTTATCACATTCAGCTAGAATGAAGTATAAGAATTCGGTCATAAATGTTTGACAATAATACTTGCTGAAGGCACCAGGCATTGTAGATGAAGGATAAGAAGCACTGGCAAAAGACGAGCTCTGCTGGTCCTCGATGGAATCGTCGTCGTTGGGCGAGCTACGGTGTGGCAACGTCATCATCGTTGAAGTTGATGAAAGGGAAAGAAGAGACAGAAGTCTCGGACTTGCTCACGTCGTGTTCACATCGTGCTTATTTCTCAGGCCGGCATGATCGGCCGGCCACCGCGCGAATCTCCGAATAGAAATAGAAAGCTTCCGTCATCAGTATTCCGACCCGTCCTAGCCCATCCTTTTCAACAAACGGAGGAAAATCCTGCGTCCAGCATATACAGTTTAAACAAACATTTTGGAGAAATACCACCAACTCGAGCACTTATCCACACTTGTGCAGAAAGGAGAGGAGCTAGGTATACATTTCGAAACTGCTACAACAAAAATTTGAATGATGGTCAAGTAACATGTTGATGAACTTTGATGAGGGTCAAACCAGGAGCCTGGCGGCGGGAAGTTTGAAGGGTCAACGGTTGACAAACTTCTCGTTGTTAATTGGTCATTACCCTGTTACTTCGTTCCCATCCTCATGCTAAACATCACATACAGCATCGAAGGATGTTGAACGTTAGTACATATCGCCTCAGATAATAGAATGGGAGCAAGTCGGGAGCAGCCCAAAGCTTCTGGACTACGGGCGTCGGAGACCTGTTGGATACTGGGAACAAATATTGTTTTCGACCCTGACAAGTAGTAAGTTAAATTATTACACTCTGGAAGAAAACGTTTCAACGCGCCGCCCGCGGTCATTTTGAATCGGTCATTCTTCAGAAGCGAACTTCCAAAAGCACCCAAGATCACCACAAATTCCCTTATAGTCAACCTCCACGCTCGTCGACCAAGTATGGCCAACAAGCGCCCTTACCCCGCATTGGAAGCTTCAAATTCCATATGAACAGACTTGAGGCGCTACAAAAGACAGACTTTGTTGTTCCCTTCGTTGCCTGTAATGATGATAAGAAGACATTTCCGATTGATATTAGCCAGGAGATTTGAAGGTAAATTTACGCGAGCCGGTTATACCGTTATTTCTCTGTTACTGATACATATGTGCATCTATGTGCATGCGCATTCGGGAAAATCAGGACCGCAGCCAGTCTTGAAGTTTGAACGCCGTCGAGTCTTGCAACTGCAGCAACTAATGAGGAAGAGGAAGGGAAGCTTATAGGAGCTTTGCCGAGCTGCAGTTCATCCCCTATGTTTCATTCGGCGCTCAATGTCACCGTGGAATTGAAAACTCAGAGTAGGTTCAGCGTGAGTCGAACAGAGGGGCTGCTGCAGTAGAGACCAGGTAAAGACGAGACGCAGAATAAAATCTCGAGTTTCGACTGCGAGTTACTTTGAGCAAATCGATGGCTTCGCCTTATCATAACGCTGGGATTAAGCCGTCAGAGAAAAGTATATATAGGACTGCCACGAAAGAAGGACGGCGTGACGATGGAGAGAGATATATTGAATACTCACAGCGGCTTGTTTCAGGCAGGACTTTAACTGATTGGTAAGTTTGGCGATGGTGGAAGTGGTACGGGTAATCTCGAAGGCAAAGTTTCGTGCAGCGTATTGATAGTCAATTCAAGGAAGAAGTCACTGTTCACAACCAATATCGATCAATGGTCTCTGAAATGAGGAAAAGGAGCAAAAGTCATTCAGAAGATGGAAAAATTACTCGAGATGAGAAATGAGAACAGTCAAGAACTTCATTTGCGCCTCTAGAACCAGAGTTTCGATGTCATGCATACCACTCCGTTGTACCTGCTCGTACATGGAACGAGCAAGGATAGTGGAACTGCAAGTCCGGTTTATTCTGGGTTTATTCTGAGTTCTGGTATTCTCTTCCGATTTTTCGACCCTTGCCTATCAACTCCTTATACATAGCTTTCGAGATGTGCCAAACACCGCCTTAATGTCCCAGGCGCGGTGCGTGCTTCTGATGAGTGATCCAGACTGCATCCAAGTAACGGAGAAAACCACGTCCCGACTTGTTCTTCTTGATCTATCGGGTTTTCTTCATCCCAAATAGTACGTACCGGGATTCGGTAAGTGGTTAATGTAGTGGTAGAAGGAGAATGGCTTTTGGCGTCAATGTTATTTTGGAAAAGGGAAACATGTGAATTCACTTGAAATTTTCTTCAGCAAAATCAAAAACTTCAAGCACCCATGATGCTGTAAAAGGTCTGAGGCAACCCGGAGGCACACACCTTCGTTGTTCAAGGCTATACCGGGAGAGTCACTCAGTACTCAGATCCTAATGTACATAGGTCAGAGTCACACTGTCTAGCACTGTCTCCCTTGACTTCACGATGCCCGACTGCTGTAGTCGTTCAGAGGCTCGCATAGGGTCTACATTGACTATTGTCTTCTGACTGCCCGCATCCTGCTTCCTTCGATGAAAACTATCGGTGGTCGAACAACGAATTTGGTTTGGAATAAATCTACAACGTAACACGCACGTTGTGACCTGAACAAGTTGATAAACAAAAAACGCATGTAATGCAGATATAATGTACGCTGGTGCTTTGAAAGACTACAAAGTATACGCATATGTATGGGAACAAGATAAGTGAGAGAGGGAAAAGTCCAGAATCCTTTCCCAGGAGAGTATGAAAACGCTACGATAGAGGAAGCTGAAATACGGAGAACAATGTTAATGGGCCAAGTTATATAAGCCAAGTAAGAAGAAAGCACTCGAAGAAGTATGAAAGAGGGGGTATCCGACCTCCCAAAGCGGTAAAACGTCAATCACCGACATACCACCATTTCCCTCTCCATTTCGTTTTAAAACTGTCATCCTCCAGAAGCTCCAACAATTGCGCTCACTCCTCCGATAGATCCTCCTACCACCCCCAACTACTGACCCAACGACTTCAGTTCTTGATCAATTCCTCCCAGCATCTTCACTAAATCCCTTACCACATGTATGCTTGTCGAACTTGCATTTGATTATGTCCTCCTTCACACTTCATTCATCATCTCCCTGACCCCTCCTTCAAACTCGAGGCATTCATGCTCTAAACACCCCCGCAGCAGGCGAGGGTCCCATCTTCGGGAGTACCCAGGACGGAGTAGAGTTTGATATCTGAGGAACATTTGCGGGTTGTGGGCCTTGTGGAGAGTTAGGCGACAAAGGTATCGGTTGAGCGTTCGGTTGGGAGTTTGGTGGAGGGGGAGAGGAAGATTGTGGTGGGAACGTCGACGGCGCTGACGGAGTAGATGCAGAGGAGAACGAAGACAAATTATTATTCACCGTTGGAGGAGCGATGTTCATCGAAGGAGATGGTCCGTCTGTGAGTGTGACACCACGGTACAACGAAGTCTGCTGCTGCTGGTTCTGCAGTTGCTGATACTGCTGTGAGTGTTGATCCGGGTGACCCTGCCACGTACTCTGAAATGTATGTGGAGAATGAGGCGAATGAGGCGAAGTCAGGTTATTCAATCCGCTCGGACTCGAATCCTCAGTATAAGGCATCTGTGTCTCTCCAGGATAAGGTAAACTCGAACTCCGTTTTGGACCATCAGTGTTCTCAACGTCTTCAGAATATGGATTCGGGAAACTCCCGGCAGTAGCCGTACTTCCGAGACTCATAGTACTGTTGACAGTTGAGGACCGACTAGGCTGTCCAGTCGGTTGCTGATTTGGGTGTCCAGAATCAGAAGCAGGACCAGGATATGGAAGACTTCCCGTACTTGCTGATCCACCGACGATAGAACCGACATTGTAAGGACTAGCACCGTACGGACTGTTCCCGTACCCTTGCTGAACTTGCCCTTGAGTCTGATTCTGAGCTGCCGAAGCGTGAGGGTGAGAATTATCGATGGAAGATTGGGAAACCTGAGAATACTGTGTAGCAATTCTTGTTGCAGACTGTCCTTGACCCTGACTCGAGCCACCTCTTCCCTGCTCTGTGTGTAATACCTCCTGAGTCTCTGCTTGGACCTCTTGACCCTCCTTTATCCCCGGAACACTAATGAAATAAACTGCCCCGGTCGGATCCGTCCCTCCTTGAGCATAGTACTGCGCCCAGGCTTGGACATTGGGGTCGGTATACGTGGTGGTTGGAGAATATATGTATGGTGGCGCTGATTGGGATGGTTGAGATGAAGATTCAGATGACGTTGCTTGAGAACGAGACGAGGACTGAGACTGTGTGGACTGAGAATGAGAATGAGTTTGATTTTGGGGCTGAAGCTGAGGTTGTTGCATCGGGTGTTGTTGCTGAGGACTGGATTGCTGCTGCTGTTGTCTCGGCATCTGACCAGCCTGATCAGCCTGACCCGATTGTTTACCATACACCTGCTGCTGTTGCTGTAGCTGCACGGGTCCTTGGATCTGATGTCTCTCCTGTTGAAGACCGCCCTGCGTAGCCTGCTGATTCTGGGTTGCAGCTCGCTGTGCGCCATACATTGCTTCGTATGCTGACTGCGGATGTCCTGATTGTCCATGTACCGCTTCGTATGCAGTTATAGGCTGATCTCCTTGTCCGGGTAATCCGAGAGACGTAGGCGTACCAAGGGCTGGTGACTGTACCAAACCTTGTACTGGTCGTTGAGCGGGACCTTGTACAACTGTTCCACCAGGATACGGCTGTTGCGGATAAGTGCCAGTCGGATATCCAGCAGTTCCACCGGCAGGCACAGGCGTCGGTGTAGGGAAGTATCCTGGCTGCACTGGCCCACTGTACGATGGAGACACCACAGGATATCCAGCAGGATTACCTGTATAACCCGGCGCGCCGTATGCATTCGAATACCCTCCTGCTGCCCCGTACCCAGCCAAACTCTCCTCCATCAACCTCTCAAATATTGTTCGTGCCCTGACAAACGTCTCATTCATCGATACCAAATCCGCTCTCTTCTGACTATACTTCTCTATCAACTTGACGATTTTGGGACGAAGCGCCATACAGGATCGGTACAACTCTTGGAGTTCATCGTTATCCGCTAGACGACTTGGGGGAGGAGGAGCAGGAGCAGATGTATTGGTAGATTGAGTTTGACTTTGCAGGTACTCCTGCTGTTCCCTATCCATATCTCTCAACAGCTCCAACAATCTCTCTACATTCGTCGCCTCACTAAACACGGCCGCCTCCTGTTGCATTTCCCTCTTCAATTCCTCTTCATCTGGCGGCGGGAGAACCTCAACATAATTCACCGGGAAAATTCCTGTGCGGCCGCGTAATTGACCGCGCCACCAATCTTTATATCCACGATCGACGACAGTGATTATGTCACCTGCGGAGAAAGCGAGTTCACCAGGCTCGGTGGGCGTGAATGCGTGCAAGGCACGGACACGGTTGGAGAGGTGTTTCCGTTTGGTGGAGCTAGTTGACGAGTTCAGAGAGGTGGTTGAACCCATTGACATAGTGCCAATTCCGGAGGTAATGGCGGGAGTGGCAACTTTTGGTGATGTGGAACGAGCATAGGATGATACCGCAGATGGATTAGTCGACGGTACGTAGCCATTGTGCGACACCGCTCCAGGACCAGTAGCAGAACCGGCACCGGCAGGAGTAGACGTTGAATTCGTCGCCGTTAAACCGTACGCATTTGTCGATGAGCTCGACGACCCAGCACCACTCGGCTGAGACCACGACGACGATGAGTAAGTGCTATTACCGTTGTACCCTCCACGATCTTGCATCGACATCTCCAGCACACGTTGAAGTTCTTCTTCTTCACGTCTGCGGATCTCGTCATCGACGGCTGGTGGGGGAAGTTCGTCTATCGAGTCAAATTTGTAGTCTGTTATTGTGATGATCATCGTCAGTGAAAACCATCAAATAGACGCAACATCAACGACTAAAACTCACTCTTTTTCCTCAACCCCTCATAACACTCTTCCATGATACCCAGTTCCTCTTGATCTTCCCATTCCTCTGTCCACTCTTTGATCAACGCCAACACCCTCTTCTTCACCTTCTCGTGCGTATTTCTATCACCCACCAACTTCTCCAATCCCCCTGTAAATGCTCTTGAGGCAATCTCGCGATTAACGGTGAGCCCGACGTTCTTAGAAAGCGCGTCAGTGAGGGACAGCGTGTATAGTTGGACGTTGGGATTCCGGTGAGAGAGACGTTTGAGAAGTGAAGCCACAGCGAGGCGGGCGCTATCATGAAGAAAGATTAACCTGAAATAATAGAGAAGAGTACGAGACAGAGAGCATACCCATCTGAACCTTCTTCTTGTACTTTATCACAGAAATTAAGTATAAGTTCCCAGTTCTCGGTTGTGAGGTTCTCGTCTGTCGTTTTGGCTGCGGAACAAAACAAAATCCAGATGATTCATTCACGATGAGATTATCGAAGAGGAGCAGTATTGATGTTAAAGACATACAAACGATCTCGTCATACGGATTTGTTCCTCCTCCTCCAAACATTCCAGACATTGTTCGTTTATTTGCTTCTTCGTTCAAGACTTCGGGTGTTTGCGTCAACCAAGCGCCTGAGATTGTCGTGGATTGCGGCAATTGAACTTTGAGTACGTTGCCACAGAAGCGTTCAAGCAAATAGGATTTTCAGTCCAAATAACAATTGCTCTTGACTCGCAGGGATGAGGGAAGGATTCAAGGTCGGTCAGCAGGATGATTTCCGGACTGCCTCTCATCTATTCCCACGATCGATTTCTGTTCCGTTCGCATACTGTATAAGTATCTGTCCAAGTGCTCACAATGCTATCAAATCGTCCTGTAGCCTTGCATATAGGCTATGATTGAAAAGCCCTGTTATATCGTAGCACAGAAGAATTTCCAGAGAGTTCAAAATCAATACCTGGTTGATCCTCGACTTTGGCCACCCACGCAAGGACCCCATGGGTTTATTTCAGACCGGCTCCAGTCACCCGTATCATTTAATACACTTTACAACGAGAGAAATGTTATATGCCCATTGTCTAGCAGAGTATATGCCATCCTGGTCAGAATCTATAAGCTGTAGAACTTGACTCGATACAGATCATAACTCTACTTCCATGTTGCCGTGGTCTTCAGTCTTGTATTACCCCCCGCTCAAAATGCGTTCAGAACGACTACCTGACTTTGATTTGTGTCGATGTCCTATATTTACCCACCTTGCAATCCATCGTCATTTACCATCAGTATTCGTCGTAGCGATTTCATACCCTATATTATCACATACACCGTAGAAATATGAAGGGATGAGAAACAATTGCCAGATTTTTTTGAGGAATTGGGTGGCAGAAACCTAACATAGTATGGCCTTTAAGTCTCAATGCTTTACTGTATTGCCAAAACAACTTTTGAAAGAAAGACGCGGATCGGGTGCAGAGACTCGGATATAATATGTAGCAGGAGAAGCACTATTCAAGAGCCTTTGAAGGATATGTTGGTGCTGGTGCGAGGAAGAGCAGGATGAAGCTTTGAACGGTCAAAGGCCGTTGTCAAATGAGTATGGAATACATGAAGATCGTAATTGGAACAATCAGTGAATGAGACAAGCTCGGCAAGCCCTTGCACACTAGCGGCCAGAGAGAGGCGACATTGTCCGTCTGCTCATAGGTACCTAACGCTCCAAAAAAACAATCAGTGAATCGAGATAACGGCAAATGGAGACAGCAAGTTATCAAACAACGGGAGACTGTCCTCAGTTACAACGTACCTTCCTTGTCCCGTTCCAGCTCATCGAAGTATTCAGCAGCGCCAGACATGAGCCACACAAGCACACACTGCATAAAGATTGATAGGATAGGATAGGATATGAATTATACTGGCGAGGTCCGATTCCTGAACAACCAGTTTACCATGTACTGTACAATATTACTCTCTTCTGAGCAGCGTTGACACTAATTTGGCGAAAATTAGTTGTTATAAAAGTTATATACACAGGTAGAGCTATCTCATAGCAGTAATCCTACACTATTTCTAGCCAATATAATTATAATTTGCACCCTCTAGAGGTGAATTGGTACACGCAGGAGTGGGCGTCTAAGTAAATCTCACAGTTGACCTTGACTTTTACTTCAACTTTCACTTCGGCTTTCAATTCGACTTTGACTTTGACTTTGACTTTGACTTTGACTTTGACTTCGGCTTAGGGTTCGACTTCGACTATCTATATTACA